GGGGGGGGGAAGGAGGAGGGTAATAAATAGATTAGGAAAGGACCACATCATATATTCGAAGATTGATGGATAGTAAAACTCCAGTCGCGGAGCTAGCTCAAATTTCAATGTTAAATATTTAATTTTATTACGCTTTCGAGTGCATTATTCGCCAATAAAGCTCAAATTACAGACTATAGGGTATCAGGATAACGGAAGTTTTCCGACGCAACAAATTTATAAATTTGCAAATTTTTAGGGGCCACTAGCCACCTGTCTAGAAACGGCCTTCTAGTTTTGCAAGTACATCTGACAGGTCGGTGCCCTGACAGCTAGCACAGCTGTGGTTTGACAGTTACCCGGCATTCGCAGCTTGAAAACAGCTGGACACAGTCGCCATCTTTCTCAACGATTGGGGGTGGAAAATAACGATTTACGGCCAAAAGCAGAAATATCGAACGGAAAGTACAAAATAAAATTTGTTCAGAGGAAAAATTTGAATCTAAAAATATAATATTAATTCAACTGTCAAAATTGTCCCTTTTGTCATATTATTGACTAACCTGATAACACACTGAGTTTAAGCCTAAGATTGTATCTGCTAGCGTGCTTCTTGGATTTCTGTGCGCGCTTGTAGAGCACCTCGAGCTCCTTGATCTGCTGGTCGAGCACCTGGATGTGCTGACCCGACTTAATAACTCTCTGTTCAGCGTCTGCCAACTTCTCCTCTAACTCTGCTCTGTCAAACCCAGTGAGCGCCATACTACACTGGTGCACTGATTCAGTGGAATTAGAATAAAAACATCAGATGTTAAAGTTAATTAGAATAAATTTAAATGTTTAATCCCTCACTTAGTTGATTCACCAACCACCCACTCCAGTGACTCCAAAAGTACAAAACCAGCCCCCCCCCCCCCACAAACCAGCCCTTGTTGTAACGGTAGTGCCGATGATTATTAAAGCTATAAAGGTAGAGCAGGGTAGAGGTGGGTGACCTATAGTTATGTGGTATGAAACCATTGAAATTAAAAATATGGTTTAGCCACAAAGCCAGGGTACTCAAACATGCTGAGCATTTAAATTGAGAAGCAAAGATTAAAAGGTATAATGCTTAAAACTAAGATAAAGAACAAAGATTTTAAAATATGTTGAACAAAAAATGTCTACCATTAAGAAATTTTGAACTATTACTGTATTGTATAAGAAGTTTAATCTACTTTACCCCCCTTCTATTTGAACTTAAGTTTAATGTAAATTCTTAGATATAAAGAAAGATATAACATTTCATCAAGTGGATATATAGAGATATAATTGTAGATTGCATTGTATAAGACTAGCTGTATGAAAATATCTACAAAGGAACTGAATCTTTGCTACACACCTAGATTTTCTAATCCTTATATCTTTGCAACCTTATGGTGTATACCTTTGATATTCCAGAATGGAATTTAAAACGTTTAATATCTAATGTAAACGACGACAAAGGGTTGCAAAGAGGGATAAGAAAATCACTTTGTGTGGCAACTACTCAATTTCTTATATCCCAAGATTTTTAAATTCATAACAAAGCTACAAGAACAAAATATTAAAAACAATTGTTAAGAATTTGTCGAAAAAAATAATTTTGGGTTAAACATTACTTTTATTTAAGACCTGAGGATTAAGAAATATGTGCAAATGTATTGTGTAATGTGTATATATAAAAATAACAGAATAAATGCATTATTTAATTGAATTTTTAGGTCTTTTTAACAAATGAAAAGTCTTTTATATTTTCTTTTACTTTTTTATCATGAATGAAAAGTCGACTTGATTGCAACAACAGGGTTACCCACAAAAGACTACAAAGAGGACCAAAAACTCTAAAAATATGACGATTTAAAGCTTGATTTGTGGTTTCTGCATTTATTTAAGTATGTTGAATGGTTAAGCACAGAAATACACTACAGGCAACCCTGACTGCAAGAAAACAAGATAATCAAATTTCGCACAATCGTCTCTGAAGTCTTATCCTTTGTGGGTTTGCAAATATATTTTATCATGTTTTTAAACCAAATACCTTTGAGAGTACTGCATATAGCAGCTTAGTAGAGTTAACAAATAAATTTTTAGAATATTGTTTTGAATATCATATTTTTTTTATGAATTTTTGTTAATTATGAAGTTGTTTAGAAGGAAATAAATTCAGGTTATTATTGTTATACATACACACAATACAGTACAGCTGTACAATGCACATACATTAATGTGTAATACACATTAATGTATGTACAATTACATTGTACAGCTCTACTGTATGATGTATGTAAGATAATGTGTGCATATTGTACAATGTACATATCAGTGCTAAACCAAATTAATATCTATTTATATATATCTATAAAAACTTGTATTCCATTTATTTAATTTAATGTTACCATTTTTTGTCATTATTTTATATTCCATTCATACTTAATTTAATGTTAAAATTTTATGTCGTTGCAAAAAAAAACTTTGCGAGGAGTCAAGGGCGTACACAGAAAAAATCTAGGGAGGGGGGGGGCCAATTATGCGCGAAGAGCAAATATTATTTTTGCCCCCCCCCCCACAGGGGGAGGGGGCACATTTGAACTGTAAATTCAAAACATTTGGCTTCTTAGAAACTTGAAATGTACACTAAAATCTCTTTAAAACAACATTGGCATTTAAGAATTCTTGACTTTCTATTCTAAGTTAAAAATAAAATCATATTTGCATTTATTATGTAAAAAAATAATTTTTTCTTCAATAATTCAAACCTCATTGGTGGCGCAAGAGATGTCATGGAAAAGAAAATATGAATATATGATACAGCTTGAGCTAGTCAATGCAAGCTGTCTCCTGGGCCACTTTTAAACTGCCGCTATTCAAATAATTTCAGGTCCTTCAAAGCGGCCTTTGTTCCTCCTTCAGTCCTTTTTATTTCAAAATTCATCGAAAAAAGCTGTCTAAGAGTTTTTGTGCCTCACATCAAGTTGGGAAAACAGGCTTTATAAAAGAAACAAATTTGGCGGGATAGTATAAAAAAGAGGTCTGCAAGAACGACCGAAAGTATATATTCCGGACGTGTCGTACGGAAGGATTGCCTGACGTCCTTTCTTTTTTTCTATGTATATATAATGTATAAATGTAAAGTGTAAATTGAAAGTTGTTATATTCATGTGCGAGACTCATTTAGAGATTCATTTAGCAAATATAGCCTTACAGGGAGTGTTCGCGAAAAATGAAAGGAGGTATATAAGCAATTACGGCGAAAAAATAAGCGCATTTGATCGAAATCAATTACTTCTATCTGTTGCGTCTAAAAGGAGAAAATTGTTTGAAACGAGTTATATTGAAGAACGTAGCGTCCATACAAATTCAGAAAGTTGCAACTTTCAACTCGGATCGTTAAAAAATCAATTTAATTCAAAACAAATCATTTAGATATTACAACCAATAATCATCGATAATTTTTCGACGCATTCATATGAAGTTGATGTTTCATATTACTTTTTATTTTTTTTTTTCATGAAAAGATAGTTACTTTGGAAAACATTTATTCCTCTTCAGAGGATTTTTGATAATGAAGACGACATTTTCATATTTTCCAGGAATGTTCGAAAATCCAGTCCCAGCGAAATATTATTTTAAAAACAAAATCAAAAATCTTAGGAAATATTAACCATATGCGAATGCATCGAAAAATAATCGATGACTATTGTTTGTAATATTTGAATCATCTGTTTGGAATTAAATTGATTATTTTACGCTCCAAATTGAGAAAGTTGCAACTTTCTGAATTTGTATGGACGCTAAGTTCTTTAGCATGAGTCGTTTTTAACAATTTACTCCTTTTAGACGCAACAGATAGAAGTAAGATTAGTAGCGATTAAAAGCATTTATTATCGCCGCAAGCCTATCCTCCTTTCATTCGCGAACACTACCTTTAAGCTAAAAGTCCAGTCCAGTCTACTCAAATGTCTCCAATTTAATGGGCTAAAAGCCAGTGTCCAGACCCAAATATATTTATTTTCAATTCCAATATACTCTCTCGAATGGAGATCTAATAGCTGAAGAAGTTACCAACATTTTTTTAAATATTAAACACAACGTAATGCATGGTTAAAATGAGTAAGAATCAATGAAAAAGAACACTTTATGGATATAATATTGCGTTCCTAATGAATGTCTATGAGCGATAAGATTTAAGACTATAATGCGTAGATATTATGTGATACAAAGTAAACAATGCCTATTTATGAATGTTTGCACTATAAAAGTACAAATGATGAAAAGTTTGAATCTAATAAAATTATACCGTAAGAGACAAAAGTATTTTTACACCATTTTGCTTTTCCCTGTTAAGAATACTAATGAAGTAATTTGTCGGTTTAAATAATACAGCAAATTGGATTTTGGGTCACACAACACTAGGTTTTCCGGTATTAACTAGATGTAAAACCTTTAAACCCTAATCTAATATTTGAGACATGCGAACAAAAAATACTGTTTTGAAAAATTCGGATTTTTAGTTCTGAATCTAAGGCGCTCAAAAGTTATAAGATACTTTAAACCAGCCTGTTGTAAAGGTTGAAGGGTTCCAGTGAAAGATTTAAAAAATAATATTCCTTCTCGTCATTCTTTAGTCTTTATACAATATACATGCATCTTTACCAGACTGGAACATAACCCATTCATAGGAGGTTATGCATAGAGATGGGGGGGGGGGGGGGGGGGGGGGATGAGAGAGACCTTTCCCATACTTACTTATCTGAAATAAAAATATGTATGGCACACGTTTAGCATTAAAATCTTCAATACAGAAGTCTTGACAACTAAAAACAGAATTCACATAAATTATTCAAAATGAGAATGTAGGATACATTTTAAATTTTCATCAATCCATCTATCACATTATTCAAAATGAGAATGTAGGATACATTTGAAATTTTCATCAATCCATCTATCACATTAATCAAAATGAGAATGTAGGATACATTTGAAATTGTAGTAAATCTATCTATCACAAAAAGGAAAAAGGAACAGCACACAAGTAAACATCAGAGATGAAAAAATCATCAACATTTTAGATAAGCTGAGAAAATCACAAAAACACATATGTCTGCGACTATCCTCCTTGCTCCTAAAAAATTATATATACTTTTTATAATTATTCACTAAAACACAATAAATGTAAAATACTTAAACAAAAAAGATATTAGAGTTTTTGGGCCAAAAGTTTAATAAAATAGGAATTTATTTGTATTTAACCAAACAAGTTTTGTTTCCCCTTTAAATGTAGTTAAATTCAATCTATATTCATTATAACATTTTCCGCAAAGGAATTGAGTCAATTTGCCACAAACTCTGATTTTTATCCCTATATCTTTGCAACCCAATGTCGTAGTCCTAAGATATTTCAAACTATAAAATCTGTTAGATCAAAAAATCTATGTTTGAAATATTTTTTACATTATCAGGTTGCAAATTTGAGTTTGTGGCGAAGACTTAATTCCTTTCTCTTTAATTTCAATTGAAGTACAGATAATAATTCATTTTAATTTTTAACATTTCACACAAAAGCATTGTTTCTCTATTTGCATAATATTTAAAAACTTACCCTCTAGAATCTTGGAGTCCAGATCTCCTGAATTTCAGGGTCATATCTCTTCCCAATACCCTAAATTCAATAGTTAATTTAAAAAAAAATAAAAAAAGCGACAAAATTACATAATTGTTTTGAACGCTTGAAATTGTTTAAATGTTACGAATAAACTTATACCATTCAAACCATATTAAAGTTTATTCAAATTTAAATATGATAATTTTGACTATTTGGTCTATCAGAATTCATAGTTTAAAAAATATCTACGGTTTACGACAATGGGTTGCAAAGATATAGGTATCAGTTTGTGGTAAAGACTCAATATCTCTCAATTTCAAATTTAGAAAATACAAGAACAGATTTCAAATATTTTTGAATATTTCCATCAGTGCTTAGGATCCGGATCCAAGGGTCAAAATATCAACAAATATATCCCAAGAAAATCTTTTTCTCTCAAAACACAAACATGAACTGTTGTAAAAAGAGAGATTAATAAATATTTCCTTCTCTATCAAATGTTCATCAAGTTTTAGCATAAAAAATAAGCGAAAAAAGAAAGAAAAATAAATTGAAAATTTTTCTTCTGTAAAAAAACCCGGTAAATGTTTATGACCTGGATCCGGATCCGTATCAAACTTAAATGGATCCTAAGCACTGATTTCCATCTTTTGCCACAAACTCTGATTTTCTAATTCCTATATCTCTGCAACCAAATTTTGCAGAACTTATATTTCAAGCTACGAGTTTGAAATATCAAAGGTGTACAGTGTACACCATCTGAATGCAGATATATAGGGATTAGAACATTTGAGTTTGGTGCAAAAACTCAATTCCTTTAGGTATTTTTTAAAGGAACTGAACATTACACCAACTGAATTCTGAATTCTGTTGGATCAAAGTGTCAAAGTTTGAAATATCTTAGGTTTACACTGTTAGGTTGCAAAGAATCTAAAAGTAAAGGCAGAGTTCATATTCTTTGGCGAAGACCGTTCTCCTTTTAGATTTTTAGATGAACTTGTTTTTTTCTACGCTAATAATGTCTAATATGCAAACTATATATTGCATTGAGTAAAATATTATTGTTAATTAAATAATTAAATATTATTGTTAATTGAATAATTAAATTCACCTTAGTCCCTCCAACTCTATCGTAGATCTGCTGGAGAGCTGACATCATGTTTCCACAGCTTCCCTCAATCTTTATGTGGAATTAATTAAAATATAGGAATCGAGTTTTTGCCACAAACTCAAAATTTCTAATTTTTATCTCTTTTAATATTCTAAAATTAAATTCTGTAAGATCAAATAATCCAAATTTGAAATATCAGATTTTGGGCACCAGGATGTAATGATATAAAATTGCTAAAAAAAATTCTATCTTAAAATTGATAATTTTTTATTGTAGTTTATCCGTAAAACTATTTGTGAGTTGTGGAATGTGGATTTGTAAGAAGATTATTAAAGGATTCAAGACTTTTTAAGATAAAAACGTGGATATCTTCCTCACGGTTGTTCAGATAAAGGTTAAAAGTTCGCCATTGTGAATAAGACATGAAACTACACAGATTACATCTTCCTTTCATATCAAATATCTACTAATTACAATTTACTTACATTTCAAAATACAGAAATCCAGAAATAAGCAATCTTTTAAATATGTCATTACAAATAGGTCATAACATAAATAGCACTACTTATTATATTTATCTATTATTTTAAAAAAATATTGTTAAATCCTTAATTTTAATAATTGAAACATAATACTAAAAATTATGGAAAATGCTGGAATAAATACCTTGATGACTCTATCATCTGAATGCAGTGCAAAATTGGTAGAAATCTACAAAAATAAAGAAAATATTTTAAAATAGGAAAAAAAATTCAAAACAGACGATTTTTTTTACAGTTTAATCTAGATATAGTATTAAATTCAACAATTTCCGAATTGGCATGGATGTATACTTTATGTTTGCAATTATGACAATTTTTTAATAAAAAGTTAAATAATCCCTTTAAAAAATCTACCCTCTAAATCCATAGCAAAATTAGGCACAATGTACCAATATAACGAAGTTTTTTTTCATGAAGAATACAAAAAAAAACATGTAGTTCGTTCTAAAAACGAACAACATGCTGAAAGTAAAAAAAATGAATTTCTAGCTATCTCTGTCAAACAAATATTCTTTATTGGCAAAGATATATATATTTAACTAATAATTGCAAAAATCAATTTGAGAAAATCTCAAATGTCAAATCATCATTAAATCTAATTACATTTTATAATTTTATCATAATTAATTTACTTACCAGAACTTTAACATCTTTAGTTTCACAGATACCCTGGATCTTCTCGGCACCACGTCCAAAGACAATGTCAACAATATGGTTGTTCATCAGAAACATGACAGATCTTAACAAAAACATCGTACAAGGAAAGTCTCACCCATGTGGTTGATCTCGATATCTCCTGTAGGCACCAAGGGATAGATCAGGGACAGAAGGGAATCGGTGTTATAGGTATAGATCATGTAGTGACATACAGTACATCGGATAAATGAGAATTACTTATAAAGTTAAAATATGGATATCTTACTATTTTTTTTCTTCAATATTACAAAGCTTATATAGGGGCCCATACGTCTACAGTCCTTTAGGGACCATGGACAACGGCTTAAAAACTATTCTCTTAATTTTGATTTATAATCAAAAAAACGTCTTCTTTATATGTACATGTTGACCTTTTCGTCAAATTTTGAGGGCACCGTACATTTTCCCTGTACACATTGCCTATCAGCATTCTATACTCTAATCTTTCTCCGGTAGGCACTTATAATTTGAGGATCTATAAAAAAATACACCTTTCCATATCTTCATTTTAGTTATTCCTTTCCTGGTCAAAGCTCCCTTCAACCCCTGACTGGGTGCGAATATCATGCGGGATATCGTATAAAGTTTAAATTAATCTGCAGATTAATAAGTATGAGATGAAGCATTAATCTCAATATCTACATATAGTTCACGAGTTCCTAGCACTGGTGCAAGACAAGCTGCTATGAGATGGTTAATTATCTACCCATTATACCTTGGTTCCGATCTGCTAGGTGTCGTCTTCCTTAAACCAGCCTCTAATACTTTAACAGTGGCTTGGCAGGTTTCCCCATAAGCGTTAAGAACTCTTAAGACACCATTGTTACGGGAAGCCCTGCCGAAGCGAATCTAAAGATTTTAATGTAAGAATTTTTAAAGGCTTTTTAAAATCTAAATGGCTTCATCCATATTTGTCTCGAGCATAAAAATCTGAAAAACTTTGATTTGAGTTTAAAGGATTTTTTTAAAACCACCAGTAACAAAAACGAAAAAATTTCATCAAAACATTCTAAAAGAAGTATCTAATGATCCGTCTATGAGGCCGATAATTACGGTCCTATTTTTTATTTTTCGATATTTTAAAAAGTTCGGGCTTAAAAACGATTTATTTTCGAACTCTAACAAGAAAATCTTACAACCGATTACAACGTTTTTGAATTCTAAAATAATTTCAAAAATATTACTCACAACTGCATTATCTCCAGCCCCGTTGATTTGGTCGATTGTAGCTCCAGCTTTCCCGATAACATATCCTGCTTTCTAAACAAGTTGGGAAATCTTTGAAAAATATCCAAATAGTAAAAAATACATTATATTAAGCTAAGGGAGATGAATACTTGCCAAAATTAAAATTTTCTAGTTCTCTTATCTGTGCAACCTGATGTCGTAGACTTCTGATATTTCAAGTTATGAACTTAGTTGAATCATAAAAAATTCAAGTTTGAAATATCAAAGGTTTACACTTTTAGATTGAAATGATAATGATTAGAACATTAATGTTTTAAGTGAGTGATCAATTCCTTTAAGAAGCGATCTATAAAGTTTTGAAAAACCTCTGACGGATTATCTCGGGTAGAATGAGAGCTCTGATAAGAACAGGAGCCTCCCTGTTATAAACCCTGATAACTAACTCGGGAGAAGGAGAAGAGGTAGTGCTTACCTCAGGTAGAATAAGAGCTCTGATAAGAACAGAAGCCTCCCTGTTCTGAACCCTGATATCTAGATAGGGAGGAGGAGAGGAAATAGTGCTTACCTCAGGTAGAATAAGAGATCTGATAAGAACAGGAGACTCCCTGTTCTGAATCCTAGTATCTAGATAGGGAGGAGGAGAGGAAGAAGTGCTTACCTCGAGTAGAATAAGAGCTTTGATAAGAACAGGAGACTCCCTATTCTGAACCCTGATATCTAGATAGGGAGGAGGAGAGGAAGAAGTGCTTAACTCGGGAAGAATAAGAGATCTGATAAGAACAGGAGACTTCCTGTTCTTACACTGAATCTAGGGAGGAGGAAAGGAAGTGGTGCTTAACTCGAGTGGAATAAGAGCTCTGATAAGAACAGGAGACTCCCTGTTCTGAACCCTGATATCTACGGAGGAGGAGGAGAGGAAGTAGTGCTTACCTCAGGTAGAATAAGAGCTCTGATAAGAACAGGAGCCTCCCTGTTCTGAACCCTGATATCTATAGATAGGGAGGAGGAGAGGAAGAAGTGCTTACCTCGGGGAAAATAAGAGCTCTGATAAGAACAGGAGCCTCCTTGTTCTGAACCCTGATATCTAGCTAGGGAGGAGGAGAGGAGGTAGTGCTTACCTCAGGTAGAATAAGAGCTCTGATAAGAACAGAAGCCTCCCTGTTCTGAACCCTGATATCTAGCTAGGGAGGAGGAGAGGAAGTAGTGCTTACCTCAGGTAGAATAAGAGCTCTGATAAGAACAGGAGCCTCCCTGTTCTGAACCCTGATATCTAGATGGGGAGGAGGAGAGGAAGAAGTGCTTACCTCGGGGAAAATAAGAGCTCTGATAAGAACAGAAGCCTCCCTGTTCTGAACCCTGATATCTAGATAGGGAGGAGGAGAGGAAGAAGTGCTTACCTTGGGTAGAATAAGAGCTCTGATAAGAACAGGAGACTCCCTGTCGGAAAGGACATTCGACCACCACATCAATACAGAATATCAGTAACCACATAACAAAAGGACTCAACAATAAGAAATAAGAAACCAGTGAACCGAACCATAACAATTGATCTGTCAAGAGCCTTTGAAACATATGCTGATGACACCACAGTCCAAAAATCTGGACCCAAACATGAACCAATCTGCCTAGATATAAACCTCTACCTTGACATACTAGACAACTGGTTTAAAGAGAGAAATCTATTTTTTCCCCCTTTAAAATCATCAGCAACCATTTTCACCACTTTCTCAAATGAGGCAAACATAGCATCCACACACTACAAAACACTTATTCAACTGCCCTGAAAACCCTACTCCCCTCACAGTAAGAAACCTTTGGAACAATCCCACAGAAGTCGCAAAACTTTTGAAGTTGGATCGTGAAGTAGATGGCCATGGATGAAAGCCAGCCCAGGCTACAACAACAGGAAGTAGTGCTTACCTCGGGTAGTATAAGAGCTCTGATAAGAACAGGAGCCTCCCTGTTCTGAACCCTGAGGTCTAGAGAGGGAGAGAGGAAGTACATATGGATAGTCTCCTCAACCATCTCTTCATATAGCGTCATATCGGTAAAATCCAGAGCACTACAAGATAAACAACTATTTTATCAAACTTTTGTCCACAATATAATTTATGCTCAAGTCATGCTCAACTTTAATATGGATTTTAGATTAAGTGTTTATTATATATATATATAGCTTTAAACTATAAAGTTCGGGAATTTTCTTCGAAAAAATTACAATTCTAGAATTTTTCAATTTAAATGAAAAAAGGTTCTTATTATTTCTGCTATCTGCATTGTAAAAAAGCAAATGTTTTATATAGAAATAATCACATTAGTTCAAGACAAATGAACAAACCTTCAAAGCAAATATGTCAAAAATAAAGTTATATGTTCCTTATGATGATCCGCGAATTTGTGTCAAAATAGTTATCGCGTTTTGTAAATTTAGTAAGAAAGTCTAGATTTAAGCACGACATTTTGTATATTGTCAAGTTTTAAGGTACTGCATGAAAGAGAAAAAAAATGATTTGTTGTAAAAAAAACTCTTAATTTTTTAAGCTCTTAACTAATTTTTTAATATATTTTTGTTTTTAAATTTTTAAATTCAAAATGGTCTTATAAAAATTATCATTTAATTACAAGTCCTAGTCAAGACCAAATCACCTCTTCAACTTCTGATAAAGGTTTGGAACTAGCTGAATAACATCACAAGCAGCATAGTACTGCATATCAGGGGTGAGAGGCCTTCTGTCCCAGAAGTACTTATCCTTCCTGAACTCAGCCAACACCTGATATTAAATTGTAGAATTTAGCAAGGAACAACACTTGGTAGAAAGAAAGGTTTCTCGCATAGGAAAAGACTTAAAAGAATTAATTCAATTTTATTCCTTACATAAATAGCTCCCTCTAGCTGTAAACTTGTTTTTTTATTTACAGAATCAGTTAATATACAATCCTAGACAGTATTTCAGGCAAAACCTCAAATACCTTTAGATAATTTTATTTAAAGAGTTTCAGGTTGTCATTAAAGAGTTTCAGGTTGTCAATAAAGAGTTTCAGGTTGTCATTAAAGAGTTTCAGGTTGTCATTAAAGAGTTTCAGGTTGTCATTTAAGAGTTTCCGGTTGTCATTAAAGTATCATCCTTTGTAGGAAATCGTGTACACTCACACAAACATTAAGTTTGACTTGTTAGTAGTTCATCCTTTGCGGTTTTACCTTTCACATCGGTTCAACTAAATATACAAACAATGTATACAGTGGGGCCCAAAAATCTGTGGAAAAGTAGACAACTGTTAGACTTAAGTTAGTCCAATGAGCATGAAACACAGCAATGCACAGCTGCCCATTTAATTTTATAATTCAAATTCAAGCAACCGGTAAAACTGTTAGCCTTCTTATAACATCACTAAAAAGATGACCTAAATGTTGTCTACCTTTTTCACAATTTCTGGGTGCAATATTACCCAGCAAACTTCAACCCATTGCACAGTACATATTTACATTATTATATATTCCAGTTCTTATTTTGAATAATGATTTTCGAAAAGGGTTTAAACAAAACAATTAAGGAAACTTCTGTTCAAAATTTAAAATATTTAGATACTGCAACAAAATAAAAATAATTTATTTTTTAAATTATTCTTTTAAGAAAAATATTTGTGTGTTTAGGCCAGGAATTTTGCCAAGAGATTAATTTTGTATAATCTTCTAATAGCAGACAATAAAAACTATTTTTTCAACTTGGTTAACCTCCATCTTGATGGGATTGGTTGGAACATCAAAAACTTCACAAATATGGTTGAAGGATTTTTTTGAGGTCTTGTAGTATGGAATCCTATTATTCTTCATCTGTAGAACTTCATCCGCAACCTAGACACCAAATTAGGGGTAATTTATTTTCTTCAATAGTGAAAATTAGTTTTAATGACTTTTTTCATGCATTTTTTTAATGAAAAAACAGATAACCCTGCAATAAATTTGGTGAACAATTATTTGAAATAAAGAGCAAGGAAGACAAATGTTATTCATGGAGAGAAAGGCTCCGGATCTGGATCTGAAAAAAACAGATCTTGGTGGACAAAAAATCCACAGGATCATAAAAATACTTGGAAATAAAATCAAACAAGTGTTTGTGTTTCTAGAACCTTTTACACAAAAAATTGAACACATTATTTGGAATCAAACAACAACCAGATCTTGTTTTAAAAATTTAATTTTCCATTTCATTTTTTAAGTTTTAAAACAACTTTCCCCCCAATATTTAACAAACAAGAAGTAATCGATAGAATTAAAAAATGAGAGCATTTTTGGTTAGCAGTGCAGTGAGGTGAAAAATCAAAGAGAATGGAATAGAGAATGAGTCGACCTTATCATTATACTATCCTTGCAGAAAAATGCTCAATTTATAAGAGGTCGCTTTTTTGTTTGGATGTGGGTTTTTACTTTACTTGTGAAAAGTACACCCCTGAATTATATTGTACTCTGACCTGTGTATCAAATACATTCTGTAGAATAATTCCATGCTGGAAGTAGAAAGCTCCAGAATCGTGCATGCAAGCATGAATTACCTGCGAAAACATGATTTGCAAATTACAATAGAATTTAAAAAAACAAAGAATAAACAAATAAAAACTTGTGGCGTACCGGGATGGGGGGCATTGATAATTACATAAAAATAAAAATTTATAATTGCATAAAAATAATAATAAATTTAAAAAGGATGAATTTGTGTTTCTGAAAAAGAAGATATTTGCTATTAAACATCCTCCACGGAACTTCACACAGAAAGTTAGCTCCGCTAGAAAAAACTGATTTTCCTACTGATTTTTGAATATCTGCAAGTTCAACTTCCTTGACAGAAACATCAGGTAGAATTCAACTGTTCGAGATCTTTCTTTAAGTGCAAATATAACAATAAAATCAAAATATGTTTAACATTCAAGATGCAACTAAACTAAGATCTCATAAAAAAAAAAAATTTTTTTTTAGGAACTGTTCTTCCTTGTAAAGTTGTAAGTCTTGAAAATGAAACTGGATGTGACCGAATTTATTTGCTACAAAAATATTTATGGTGTTCTCCAATTGTACCTTGACAATATCCTTGGACTGTAGAAGTCCTGCTAGTCCTCCACCCAGGAATAAAGATGGATTAGATTTCACATCAAACAGTTTAATCTGACCTTCTTGGGTACTTATCTGTACTAAGGTGACCGGTCCTTAACAAAAACAGAAAGTTCAGATAATCTTACCCTGATAATTTATGAATAGGAAGAAGTGGTTTAGCTAGATAAGCGGTAGTTGAACTTACCCACATGGATTCAACCTGCTTATAAAAAGTCACAATAATTTTAATTTGAACAACGCCAAAGGCTTTGATTTTACCGTGCTAACTCACTTTGGCTTTTCTATAGCCCTTTACATGTTAAATTTTAGCACTTTAAAGCACTTATTGCTAGCTTTGATTGTTTATGAAGTAATTGGCAAAATTCTCATTTATTTTGGCTTGAGAAATTTAAATCACAGTGAACCATACCTATTCAACTATACTTCTCCCATACATTAGATATGATCTTTGAAATAAAAAATCTACATCTAAATCATGTTTTTTACCTTTAGGTCCGAGTTCAATCCCTTCTGCGTCGAGTCCAATAGGTTGACCTGCTTTGATCAGTTGATCTACGATCTCTCTACTCCTCACTGTACTTGTAATAATCTCAGTTATCTCCAGAACTGATGATTGGTCCATTGTAATGGTGTAATATCTTAATAAATATAAGAATTTTTTTTTAATGACACATAATTAAAACGTATTTCTGTTTTACAAGCGTAAAAGATATATATTTGAAATGAGTGACAAAATAACAAATTACCAAAGGATAAAACTACATAATAACATGTTATAAATTTAACTAAATACAGGATAATTAACTATGAATATCTACTTTTCCATCTGTAGGTAAATTTTGGGGGATTTAACTAATTATATCGATGGTTTTAACTGGTATCTTCTTTAGTTTGATGATCATCCATAAATTGATCTGGTTAATCTAATGCACTTAACACCTTTTTTATTCTTAGTCGATTTTTATAATAATTTAATCTAAAAGTGTACACCACGTTTACTCAGTTTATCTTCTTATTTTTAAGCTGCAGATTAAAAATATATCGGCCGGGGTCCCAAAAGAAATTTCTCACCGTCAACAGATTCTTCCATGCAGCCCTAATCATAACAATAGTTTCATTTGTCATAAACTTCTACCTCCGGTATTATGCACTTTAAAATTTTTTAAAAAGATTATAAAAATGATAAAAAATGGGGGAAACCATAATTTCCAATAATTAGAACTGATCAAATTATACCAAATTGTGTGAATTTTTAATAATTAAATACATGTAGATTGTAGATTAAGTCTGAACTTTTGTGTAGAAAATCTTGGGGTCAAGCATTGATCTCTATCATTCCGATATTGCGGTAAGTCGGAAGGTTAGTAGGTCAAAAGTTCAGTAGGGGGGATGTTGCGTATAGACGATGCAACATTATACCTTTAAGCGGTGTCTCAAATCCCCCAAAAACCGGTTTCAATTGAGCGCCGGCTTAAATCTTTAAAAATTGAATATAATTTGGAGTGAAACCAATCATATTTGAGCCGCGGCTCAAATTCTGTAAATTTGGCCTCTGGGCTTTTATTTATTCACTTATCTTTTATTCGACGCTTTCTCCTTGCAATTCGTCATACAATGAGTTATTGTTAAATCATTCAACAAACTAAGAATAAGAAAAACAACAATGTACAAAAAGAAAAATGTGATTTCAACTTTGATTCAAATACAATTAGTCGCTAAAATATCCTGAAATTCACAAGAAAATAATTTCTCGTTTTTGATTCATAAATTAACCTGATGTTCATTTTATGTTAGCATAAAGACAACTAATTTGTCAATGGATTCCTTTTAAGTAGATAGATAAGGAAATTTTGTAGACAGGTTCATCAACAACAATTTTATCTCTAGTCATGTAAACAATTTGGTTTTTAAGTTAAAAATTATGCAGAAAATATGATAATTATCACGCTCTCAAAAATGATAATTAATAAGAGTTATGATTCTTATTTACACTCTGACCTGCACATTTCAAATGTGGATTTTAATTTTAAAATCTGAATGAGTCAATGTAAAATATCATATAAAATATAAAAATCATGTACTATGCAGATAAATTCAAATAAATCTAATAGATTAATTGTAGACAATAAAAGATCTTCATTTTATACGAACAAGGTTTAAGGCAAGGTGCACTTCTATAAAATGTATTTATAATTTAAAAATGTGACAGATTAGGTTAAATTTTGGCGAAACAACAATTAAGATATTATTTATTAACCCTATTTACAACGAAGGGATCTTACCCTGTTCACACCTCAGTTTTAGTGAATGGATAGATTCTTTAGAACTAAGTTATTTTCAGTAAAATTATACAGGATACTAAAAAGGGAAATATGATCTTTTGATGATGTTGAGCCCTGTACTTATAGTTTCTAAACTGTTAACACCAACCAACTAATGCATTAAACTAAGACTAAAAAGGTGGACCTACCTCAACAGCACAATCTATGTGACTTTACTAAATCTTAACTAAGATTGACGACCTTACGGCTTGTATTAGAAAGGTAAGAAAATCCGACTTTGAAATTATCTTTTTACAAAGTTATCCTTTAATTCACTTCTCTACTCCTCTTTCCTTGGGAGACAAAGTCACATGTTAAAAATCATATGTACATAACAGTAAATCACATTCAGTACAACCAACTAAAATTACTCATGTACAGTTGATATCTTTATGTATCCACCAAAATTTAAGAATATTACTACATTTGTATCTGGATAGAAAAATTAAGATAAAAAATTGAAGTTTCCAATTCTGAACTTGCATCTTTTATCTTTTCATTCATCTAGGTTATTACCACCTCGCTACTGACTATAGAAACTCTTTAATTAAAGCTGGATAAGAAACGATATCCTTTATGTACAAGAATTCAGATTTCAATTAAAAGAGTTAACGATGCTATTTTTCCATATGTTCACAAAAACAATTACATATAGTGAGTATAATGTTACTTAGGATCTCAGATCATGGAAATGTATCGTAACAACGCGTACGTTGATCCCGCGATTGAACATGGATTAGTCAACCCCCCCCCCCCACCCTCCCCCCGTCATTTTTACAGTTTTGCTCGCAATCGGAGCACTTGCATATCAATGTTAAATGTATACAATTAAATGGAGATTACTTATTGGTTTCAAAGCTTTGAAGAAAATATGATTTCCTGGTTGCGACAGGTTAAATGTTTTCAGGTATTTATGCAGCACGTACAACGTTCTCCGAACCCACTAGCCGGCGGACCGTAGGGTCTAGACCAATCCGTTGATCCTTCCTCTATCTCCTGCATCCCTCTCACATGGCAGCAGTACAAGGGGCACTGCACTATGGAATAGGGACAGGAGAGGGTGTCCCAACGGGTTTTAGGCGCTGAAAAGGGGTTTGGCACAAATGAAGGGGGATAGGCTCCTAGAGTTACAGGAGGGTAGGAGCTGGATTGGTTCCCAGCAGGTGGATGGTAGGCAGAACCATTAGGAGGTGGGGCATAGTTCTGGTTGGTTGTCGGAGGATAGTTGTTATCAAACGGACCGGCTTGGTATGGAGCATAGGGCGAGTATGGATTGGATGGAAAGGATGGAGGTTGGTTAGGATATGATTGGAATGGAGGTTGTTGGAATCCCTGGTTAGGATCAGGATATGAAGGCGTGCTGGCTGGTGGGGTTGGAAAGGATTGAGGAGGAGGAGTGGGTTGTTTAACAGGAGAACTGTGTTCCTGAGAATACTGATTAACTAGTTCCTCCGGGACCGGAGGTTTTGTCGCCTCCACCTGGCTTGGGGGATCACTTAGTATATTTCCTATGCTGTGCTTGTTTACAGCAGGCTTATCATTTCTCTCTGATCCTCCGTCCTCTGAACTGGTTTTATCCTCAGGATTGGTAGGTTCAGGTTCAGATCTGTTCTCAGCCTCCTTGGTAGGGGAGGAGAGATCTGGAAGCGGAATTGCAGTTTTAGGATCTGCCTTGAGGGCGATGACGTCACTGAGTACCTCGATATCTTCATTCTGTAATAGAAACATAAGTTTATAGTTGATCTCTGATTTATAATCTATATTGAAGGTTTCTAACTATAACACACACCACAGGGTTAGTTGTAATATTTCTTAGCAAATTTTCACTCGTATACTTTCGTCACAATTCTAAAATCTTTTTAATATGTTCAGAGATAGCATTTTTATAGATTTCGGTACATTTTTGTACACAATACAATATGTTAAGTATGTTAGTGCTTTACAAGGTGTGTATATAAATGCGTGCAATTAGTGATATAAACGAGAAAGGAGATAGAAACAAGATTTACAAATAACAAAAACTAGGGAAATAACATTGGTTTTAGAAGATTTTAAAATTGACATTAACATGAATCCTGATGTTTTAGTGCAAAGTGATAAGTGGAATGTAGTGCATGCCGAAGCCTTAACATAATGGTAATGCTTGCCGATGTTATAGTGCAATATAAGAATGTACATGCATTGAGATCTAATCTACTAGTTTTAACTAGTTTCCTGCCTCAGGTTTTTCCTCCTGATTCTCCTCTCCTCCATCTCCCTCTGCTGTTACTTCAGCCTCATCATCTTCCTTGACATCAGGTGTACTCAGGTCTCGACCTTGATCATCTTCATCAGGAGTTATCTGTACAGACTCCATGTCCTCTCCCTCTCCATCTCCATCCCCATCACCCTCACCAGCACTATCTACCTCCTCCTTAACTGCCACACCCTAGTATTAAATTTAAATAATATAAAAAATAATTCGGAATGATATTTTATTAAAGATTAATTGTTTCTTAAAAATGGAATTGAGCTGGAAAAGATAATAAAAAAATATTATATAAAACTTTAAGCGCTTATCAAAGACTAGAAAGTTTATCTTAAGTTTAATTATATAATAATGAGTGCAAAACATTTCATTAAAATAGGGGTTTAAGAATAGAATGAAGGTTTTGATTCCGTGGGAAAAATGGGAATAAATAACAGCATTAAAACGAAATACATGGAACCAGGAATATTTTATTAACACAAAACTTAAGAAGGGAATGTGGAAAAGGGTGAAACAGAGGTCGGAACTTTGGTATAGTTAATTTGTCGGAAAGCACTAAGCTTAATCTTTGCAGTCCGACAGATGAAGGTATTTCCCTTAGGATTCTTTAAAGTTGCGCCCAACAAAAATGATGGGATGAGGGTTTTCTCATCAAAAAGTTCCAAACTCCGTTCCAATAGAAATTATTTAAATAATTTGAATAATTTAAAGAATTTGAGCGGCGGTTTAAATTTAAGCCGCGGTTTAAATATGGTTGGTTCCACTTAAAATTGTACCAAATGTTTCAAGATTTAAGCCGGCGCTTAATTTAAACCGGGTTTTGGCGAATTTAAACCGCGGCTCAAATTCTTTAAATTCCATCTCAGATTCTTTATTTTATGTCCGATAAAAATAAAACAAATGAACCTACCTCCAGCTGAATAAAGTCCTCCCCCATCCCCATCTCTAGAAGTGTGAGAGGGTCTAGTTCTACCTCCATTGCATCATCCCCACCTAGTCCAGCTTCTTCTCGAGCTATTGTATCATCATCCACCCTACAGTAATAGTTTTCAAAAACATCGGTTATTCACTATTCAGGGACCGACTAAATGAACTGAAGAGGCCGCTGAACTTCCTACCCCCGGTTCAAATTCTCATGAATCTGATAAAAACTGATCTTAAACGGGATTATCATCTGTCAAAGTAATTTTCAACAATTCATATCTAAAACACCATTAAAACCCTTAACATAAAAACGCAATGTGTATATGATTAAAATAATTATACCTTCCGCATTAGAAGGGGGGGGGGGGGGGGTGGGGGGTATTTTTGATGACCTAGGAAAAACATAAAATTGGACATCAAAATCCTTTATAATGCATTTTACCCAAAAATCATCCAACTTCCCTAAAATCTAAAATTTCCCCAATACGGGGGATAAAAACCGTATAATAAAAACAGCTGGAAAAAAATTCAAAAGGGAGGAGAAGGAGAAAATTTAAAGTTACATCCATGGATAAACTATATACAGATCTTGAGACTCCCCTTCCTGTAGAAGTTCAGTAGTATTTTCAGGATTGCAAAAGTATTATGATGGATTTGCAGATTAAAAAAAACATCGGCATCGATAATAATAAAACAGTAGACTAAGATAAGCCAGGAGTTTTATTTTTTAAAGATTCTGTTTCAGGAAAAGGGGTTTTACGGATCATCAACAGGGGGGCTGAGTCTTAGCTACCTCTCCGTGTATATTAGCCTCAGATGTTAAGAGATTATGGCCTATTCATACAGTACAAATATCAAATATTCAGTACGCTCTCGGAGTACAAGTGTATGGGGAGGTTTTGTATCTTGAATTTCACTCATTTTTCTCAGAACAGTTTATGATGAAATATTGCACGGTAAAAGACTGTAATAGTTTGTCTTTCTGTGAAAATGGAATCCTGCACACGATAAAGGAGTAGTGGATTTTAAAAGTTACATGGAAACAAATTCTCCATTTAAATATTTTCAGAAATCACCCCCGAGTAATGCAGATTGACCTTTGGAAGTGAAGTACATGGCCTGTACAATTAGTGAAGGATTAGCGTACATCATCACTCTATATACTATAACCTCGTTGATCATCAACGATAACGATTTTAAGTTTGAAAATCTCAAAAATCTCATTATAACTAAATTATTGTAAAAGTATATAAAAAAACTTTATTTGTAGCTGTTACCTGTTTAGCATAACTTTAGGGTTAAAGTTTCCATTAACAGGTTTATTTGTCTAGAAATTAGAAAATATTAGTCTATAAGTCAACCGATCGCAATAGGAAACCATTAAGTGAAGCAAAGAAGACGTCAGCCCCAATGCATTAATTATCTTTAAAAAAAATCATAAGCGGCACCCAGGAGTGCAAACTAAGAAGTCCTTTTTATAATCCCCATATTAAATGTTTTAAGATAATAAATAATGTCTTTAGGAATTTGTAATTTTTTGCGATCATTTCAATTTTTAACGATCATAAATTAATAGGTTTAAAGTGACCTTCCATGCTCTCGGATGGCAATGTTCGATTTACAACAGTACCATTAAAAGCTTTGTCTGATTAAGTGCGAATTATTATTATTTTTCATTCATGTTTTCGTTTCTTAAACTTTAAAAATGTGGAAGATATTGTCGTTTTACTAACTCGAAAGGTGTTTAATTCAGATAATTTCTCCATTGTTTCTCATGAGCAAGAAATGCGCAAGTCACTTTAGCAGAGAAACCACAAATGAAAAGAAACAGTTTAAAAAACAAAGCATGGATATCTAAATCATACCAAGCTTTAAGGGTACCATTGTAAATCGGACATTGCCGACTTTAAATAAAGGGTCATTTGATATTGCGCATACAGCCCCTTAAAAAGTAAAAAATACCTGAGTTCCTGGTTGCCTTAAAATTGGCCTGACTCCTCCCCTGAACTGTGGTTGGAATCCTCCACGTCCTCTTGGAGGCATACCCCCTCGGACCCAGCCACGCCCTGCCATGGCGCCCCTCAAAGGTGGTGCAGTCCTTAAGGGACCTGTGTAGGATGCTAGAGCTGAGCCCTTAGGTGCAATGTGTTTAATCCAGTATTGACGAATCGTCAAACCATGTTTCTTCATGTGTGCGCTCAAACTGAAAGTCAGAAATGGTTAGAAAAAAAGCTCGTTTAAAAAAACGATCAAATGTTAAGAACTTAAAGTTAAACATACAATATTGCGTAAATAAATTGAGGTTGCTTTAATGCATTACGACTGAGTTTCTTTCTTTGAAAACATTTTAATCATTTCCAGAGAAGAAAGATCACTGTAAAGCATAATTTTGATAACTTATCGACATTTTCTTCTATTCTTCACAAAAACTTGCGATTGACTATTGCGATCCGGATGTGCGAATTCATTGCGTAAACATGTGGCAGATTTTAAGACATGAAAAAATAAGATCTTTTCACCTGCTTGGTATTCTTTTCACTTTCTGTTTGCACTCGAGACAAGACATGTTACCGCTTAAAATATAACAATGGCGGGGAGATTATTAATATTTTGAAAACCAGTAACCAGAGTAATACATCTATATATATATTAAGTAGTAATATCTATTTATCTTTTTAATGTCTGATGATATTTTGATTGTTTAAAAGTAGGATAAGTTTTGAAAGGAAAACTTATTTCAGGGAAAGCTGGACTCCCAATATAGTCATATATATTAGATTAAATACTATTACTAAAAGTAAGTAGCAATATATATATATAAAAGTGCCTTTATGAAAGTTCTACTAACCTCCTATTTTGTGATTTTGCTCCAAGTGTTTGATCAATGTATTTCTATGGAAGGTTGTGAAATTCTTTCCTTCTCTTCTACACATCCTGCAACCATGCTCACAAGCGTTCGACCATCTAAACATTCATTCTTGATATCAAAACCGTTCATTTTAGAAATAAAGATAAAAACGACAAAAACACAGGGGTGAGAATATTCACGAATAAATATTCCCCCCTCCTCATAGAGAATTTGTTCCAAACAATGTATGCTAGTAATTAAAGTTTGATTTTATATTTTCCCCGGAATTTTTTTTAAAAAACCTGTTTCATTTGATCATTGACAGTTCGACAGTCAACACTAAACAGGGACTTCTTACCTTTCTATGGCTTGCTCCTGTTGCCTGGCAATTGCGCTTGGTGGGCGGTTCATACCACCACGCCCACCTCGCCCCATGACTGCCCCGGTTACAGGAGATCCGCCCATGTGTATATCATCACTTACTTTCTGTACAGTTATACCCTAAACAAGAGATATTTTATTAATCCAAAAATAACTTGTACCTACTGTTCGATACAATAAACAGCTTCAGCGCAACTAAATCCATCACGACGTGTCTCGACATGTCGCTGAATCAATGTCGTGGTGCCAAAATACAGTAATTACAATGGGAAATTCTTTATATAAAATGGAAAATTATTAAATGTCCCTTTTTTATAATAATGAGTTGTAGAGGCAAAACTGTTTTTTAATTGGGAGGGGGCGGGGGATTTTGTTGGGTGTACAATTACGTGATTCTATCTTAAATGATACGCTCCGATTTAAGTTTATAATTTTTTTAATATAATTTCGATTTTTTCTTCGACAAAATCATGTTATTTTCACCAATCACTAAAAATTTTTACATGTAAATTTTCCTTTTTTCAATCTGGGGGGGGGGGGGAATTTTTATCATTTTTCTTTCCGTGTGCTTGGCTAACCTTGATATTAATGAGGGAATTAGGGACTCCGTTGCTGGGGCTGCTGGTGTCCTTCGTGATGGTGATTCCCTTCATCCCCAGTATACTCGCTACAGAGGAGAGGGTAGATCCACCCCCTCCTCCTCCTCCTTTACCTCCTTTACCACCTGCACCAACAAGTAAAGTAACAAACAGAACTTTATGAATATATAATAGACATCTTCAGTAAAATGTGAGAGAAAAAAATTGAAAAGTTATCATACGAATGATTGGGTCTAAACTAAAATCGCGATTGTTCATTTGAAATTTTACATGCTTTCACATTAAAATAAAATTATGAAAAATACAAAATGTTGAATGGAATTCACTATCCCAATAGTGTAATAGAGGGACCTTTTGTTGTAGTTTAGTGATCCTTCATTTTAAAAGCGGGGCATGCCGGATTCACCGTACCCTTAAAACCTTCAACTGATCAATACCGTGGAAGATATCGTTTCTGACAGTTTCTGCAGCAGAATGAATTGTGCACGTCACTTTTGAAGAGAAACAACAATTAAAAATTATCAGTTTTTATTCCTTAGACAAAGCTTTGAAAGGTACCATGATTGAATCGGACATGCCACTCTATAAATGGAGGGTAAGTATAAATAAGCTATATTTAGTTCAACCTGATAGGTTCTGTTGAGCTAGAGTCCAGGTGAGTAATTTCTCTGAGTTGTGTTGAATACCGTGAACATTCTCCAGATGCATTTTGTAGTACCCTCGGTTTAAACTCCCTACCATGATAAATCAGTTCAATAATGTTCCATACCATGGGGAACTAGATGCAACTTCTTGAAATGTTTCTTATTTGAACTTGCAATCAATTAATCGACCAAAAAGTCATAAAATTTTTTTGAGAAAGAGGAGGTGGACAGTGGATACTGGACAGTTATTTCTAAAAAAAAATATGCGCACTTTGCAAAGTGCTTTTGATTTCATACCGTTGTCACTGCAAAACCTTCACTAAAATGGTAATTTTATACCGAGGCTGACAAACACTTGAATACAATATTCGGTAATGAAATACTAGAGAGTGTCGGTGTATATACAAATGAATTATCAGGTACAGAACTAGTATAATATCACCATTTCAGTCCCCGTCGCCACTGTATTGAAATATATGCTGACCAATGTATATAAGAAAAACAAAAGCTAAGCACATATATCCTTAATTATGTGTAAGGCTGAGTAGGTTGGGTTGCATCGAACGTTTAATTACCTGTAGAAACAGTATCCGAGCAGTAAAGACAGGATTGCTTCCACGTCGACATTGTTAATCTGAACTATAGTTCTGGTTCTAACTAATTAGCAGCAGCAGTAGCAGGTCAATTCATTCTCCGCAGGCCGGCCAGCTCATCAGTTACATAGTAAGAATCAAGTCCTCTGTAATAAATGCATCAATTACTAACAAATAATTAACATAAAATCAGTATCATTAACTATTAAGAATCGACATTGTTTAAAGACTAGTGTCGTGATTTATCTTGTCTGGGGGGGGGGGGGACTCATTAAAGTTTAGATCCCCCGCGCCAGGAACTAGTCGAATATGAGGCTGAGGACGGATCCGAGGCTGTATTCAAGGGAGGATATGATGATTGTCCATATCCTGATCCTCGATTATCCGCGGGAAATCCGGATTCTTGACTAGGGATTTGATATCCAGCTCCAGGTCCGTAACTGGAATATCCAGAACCTTGATATCCGGTTGATGCTCCCGAGTAGCCTGGAAGACTCTGGGGATTGTTTGTGTTGAATCCATGAGAAAACTGGCTTCCTGGATACCCTGGTTCACCCCTAGCTCCAGACCCAGGATAACTAGAACCTCCAGATCCAGCTCCAGGATAGCTAGAACCTTCAGATCCAGCTCCAGGATAGCTGGGAGCTCCAGATCCAGCTCCAGTATAGCTGATACCTCCAGTTCCAGTATTGCTGGTTCCGCCAGCTCCTGGATAGCTGGTATCTCCAGCTCCGAGATAGCTGGAACCCCCTGCTCCTGCTCCGAGATAGTTAGTACCCCCGGAGAAGGATGTACCACCAGGAAAGGACGGATTCTCGTTGGCAGGATAAGATTGAGATCCACGAGGCTGAACCCAAAGCTCCTAAAGTAAAATAAAAGCATCTTAAAATAAATAAATGTAAATTTTGTGTCAAGAAAAGATCGATAAAAATGTTACCAATTTCAAAAAAGAACGTCCTTTATTTTAATCCAAATAGGTGAATAATCGTTCTCAAATTTTATTTAATACCTGTTGAATCGGAAGAGCGCGAGGAGGATGGGAAAATGATGAAGAAGCGGAGAAACTTTTATCAGCCGTACAGAACTAGAATAAAAATCAGAATTTTACAATTTTGAATTTTCTCAGGATAAAAATAATATGTAGATTGTTGAAATTACCACCCAGTTTATTGTCCTTCTAAAAGTATTTATTCTTTTTTGAATTAATTAATAAGAATGAAAAAAAAATCTACCTTAGCGAAGTGTCCTTGTGTGTGGCACTTGTTGCAAAAATAATTTGGACAGTCCTCACTAGCATGGTTCTCCTTCTTACATAATTCACAACGCTCCCCGATCCGCCAATCATCCCTCCACCCTCCCTGACTAGTATCCCTCCTGGGTTCCTCCTCTAGTTCATATCTCCCACGATCTCCGAACCTTTTTTCATTTTGTCTCCAGCCTATCCGGTCAGGACTCGGAGACCTCAACCCCCGGTAGTCCTGACTCCTGGACTTCCTGGAACTATCAAAGGTTCGAGGACTTCGGGACCTTGATGGACTTCCAGATTTTCGGTAACTACTTTCTTCAAACTTATCATGATCCCTCCAACTTCTAAAATAAAGATAAAAATCTGTAAAATAAAAACTATCCCCCCCCCCCCCAACACACAAATAAGTAGATTTATTGAATCGAAACTGCTCAATAAGCCACCAACCTTGACTTAGAAGAAAGCGCATCTGGATTGTTGTAGAGGGAGGGAGGAAGAGTTCGAACAGACTTCGCTCTACCCTTCTCAAGGTCGGATCTAGGAGGAGCAACCCGAACCTTACGTACACCAGACAACTTACTCTTTCTCAGTTTATCCCCAACTATGCCTTGGCGAACAAATCCTCGTCCGCGTCCCGAGCCTCCTTTTCCTCTCCCCTGGTTCGAGTTTAACCTGCTTCTGATGTCCTTATCCTGGTTCGAACCTTTCTTACCCCTGATATCCTTATCCCTTTCTTTATCATCTGTAGATTTTCCATTCTTGAGGAGGAAGTGACAAGGTTTTCCTTTAACATGTTCCAGGTCACATTTAACACATCTAGAGTCATTCTCCGCATCATCGCTCAGTTCTTGATCAGAGAGAATATCGAAAACAGCTTTCTCCGTGCTATACATCCAGTCTCGTTTTTCTTCTCCCTCGTCCTTGCTCTCTGCTTCCATGTTTGTATTATCTATCTCTAACTCAATTGGTTTGGATGGATTTTCTTCTTTCTTTTCCCCTTCTTTGATCTCCTCTTCATCTTCTTTCTCGGTTTTGATTTCATCTTTCTCTTTAATTTCAACTTTCCCTTTTCCTTCTTCTTCCTCACTTTCTATATCGGAGATATCATCGAGGATTTCTAAAAAATAAATTGTAATAGTAAAATCATCTTTTTAAGAAAACAATTTTCAAAGTACTATTCAGGAACTTTTAAAGATTTATAACATGAAAAGATTTGATGTAATGGAAATAATCGATGAGAAAAATAATAAAAAAATTGACAAGGACTAATAATGATTAATTACATTTTCAGTTAATTGATACCCTACATACTAATCATTAGTCATTACAATGATTACAATGATTTTTTCAGAACCCATCTTTTACCAGAACCTCCCCCCCAGCACACTCCATTTTAGCAGTGTGTCCCCCTTAGTTTCTTTTCTTATTTTTCATCTCAGTACAAACCTTTTGTTGGATTTGAAGTAAATGGTTCCGGAGATATTGGTTCTGCTCCGGCCAAATCTAAAAATTAAGCGCGTTTAAAACTTTGAAACTTTATCAAAGAAAACAACGTTGATATGAATTCGATTAAAATGAATTAAACTCAAAGAGAGTGACTAACATATTTGAACCTAGAAAGTTAGGAGTGAAAATAATCAAAAAATTATCTTCAAAAATTGTCAAATTAAAAAAACGCTAATTTCTGGTTAATAAAAGTAAATACTGTAAATAAATAGATAATAAAAATCAAGTTAAAAAAGCTGTATGCGTTCAACTTCCACAAAAAATAGTATGTCAAAAACTTAAAGTACAAAACAATCGGACTGACGCGACGCCAATAGTTACTAGTTATGGCGCTTAAAATGAAACAAATATTTTACAAGTACAGAATGTAAATGATGGTACCTCTAACCAAAAGAAATCCCATATATTAGTAAAATGATTCTATGCAACTATCAACCGAACAATTAACACTAACACTCAATAATCCGAACCGACAAAACCCATGATTTACCGGGATAACATACAACCTAGTAAGAGAAAACACATAAGGCGTTCCTGGTAAAATTCTGTTTAGTAAATAACAACAAAAAGGACTGAACAATTGGCGGAAAGGCCCATTATCCGCCATCTAAGTACACCCGTAAGGCGGACCGCGGGTCAACCTCAGCCCAAAACCTACGGCGGACCACCTTCCGCCCACTCATAAACCTTCAGGTTCCTGTTTACCTTGTTTCTGCCTCCTGGAGGTCACTTCTAAGATGAAATCCAGATGTTTGATAATATTATGAAACCGAGTCATATGCGAGGATACATCCTCGGGTCCAGGGAGCTGGGTGTCACAGTAGTAACAGAGCACAGGCTCCTCCGGACCCTCGTCAGAATCACAATTTAAATCACTAAACTCTTCCTAGATCACAGGAACATACATATACCTCGGGGTAAACACAGGAGACCCATTACATAATATTAAACCATGCAGTAATTAAAACAATCTTCGAACAGGATTAGCAATCCATATTGAAAAACATAATGTATTACACCAGTGTTAGACCTTATTTAGTAAGATTTTAACCCTTAAAAGAGAAGAAATACTTGTAAAAGTTAAAAGACTTCTATTTCAGGGTTATGAATTGGCAAACTGTCCCCAAAATTGTCAGAGTTTTTCGCAAATTGGTTGGGGTGGCCTGGCCCAAATTAGTTCTTGGAGGAGCCCTTATCGGTATATATAAATCAAGAAAGCCCCGAGATAAATGCTAAGTTCCTTGTTCATCTCAAGAGTAAGATCACATTCATAATCAACAAGATCATCTTGATCTTCTAACTTTTCACTAGTATCCTCACCAATACCATCTTTACTCTTCTCCGCCATTCTTTCACTTGGTTCACTTAATTTCACTAACTTTCTTTATGTCCTATAAACTTGAATTAGATATGAATCCTTTAAATCTTTATATGGAGCTAAGTTTAAAAAGAATGAACTCACCCTTGAATTTCTTGAGAACCCAAAGCTAGCATTATTTCGGAGAAGCAACTCTGAAAAAATGAATATAATTGTAAAAATAATTTGGATAAATCATGGTTTTTCATCATATTTGACTCAGGATGTATTATTCCAATAGGAAAATTCAATGTAAAATAAATATATGGCATAGTTAACATTATATGCATCAACATTTTCTTATAAAGAAAGTGAAAGCAAGCCATCATCAAAAAATATCAACATAAACATCAAGTTTCATGACATTACAAAGGCATTGATTGAACGTATGTCACAGGGCTTTCTATGCTTAAAGTTTATGTTCATTTTTATATTCTGAATAAATTGTAAATCATGCAAATGGAACTTGTGTCCAAGAATCCGGAAAATTCTCGTTTCTTCTCTGTTCCTTTTCCAGAATTTCTCCGGAATTGGTTTTGGCAGCATCTTGTCTATAGAAATGAATCTAGTTTCAAAGTTATTTTTAGTTTAACTACTGTGTTTCCTCAAGGTAGTCTGTAGTGATGTTTGTGAGGAAGAGTGAAGTTAACCCTGCCGGGAAGCAGTCCTCCAGTTTCACCAATTCATCACGCAACCTAATCAATATTATATCAACCGAAGGAATAAGTTCCTCAAAACGAAACAGTGTGAAAAATTAAAACTTAAAAAAAATATTCCTTCCACCCTCTTCGCCAAGAATGAATTTATTCCTGAAAAAAAATTAAATCATTTAAAACAGCAAAACGTTATGAACATTGTATTAAAAATTGACTTTTAAAAAGGTCGGTTTTGAAGGAATTGAGTTTAAGAACAAAAAACATAACAAACTGGGTTTAAGTAATAAAACATTTAGATTTAAATTATATCTAACAGGAGAAGGTTGAACACACCTCACAGTAACTCCGTCTCTGCCAGAGGTTAGCCAGAGCTGGCGGAGACTGGATATATTCCATCCTGCTCTAGCCAGCAGCTCTCTACCTCCTCGTGCCAGGCCCTACAGTAGGTTTAAGAATGAATTTATAATTTTCACAACAAAAATATAACATAAGAACTTAAGAAGTATATTTCAAGAATTATGATGCTTTGATCATTTGAGGAATTATTTTTTAGTTCACAAAAATATGCTAAGGCGCAAAACAACTGTAGAATAAGGAGATGACTATTAGAGTCAAATTATGATTTGAATTGAATAAATTGTACCTAAAAATGTCTAGGTTTGCAATTTTTTTTAAAATTATTTTTATGCCCGTGTCTGCTCCATTTAAATATTTTTTTTTTCTTTATGTAAAGCAGAAAATTTCTTTAAAATATAGCTCTTATCTTTCTGGCGAAAATTTATCAGAATCCTGAAGAAATTATCTGTCAAGTAAAACGATTCTACATTTAAATCTTAAATCTTAAAACATTTGATACAATTTTAAGTGGAACCAATCATATTTAAACCGCGGCTCAAATTCTTTAAATTCCATCTCAGATAATNGAAATTATCTGTCAAGTAAAACGATTCTACATTTAAATCTTAAATCTTAAAACATTTGATACAATTTTAAGTGGAACCAATCATATTTAAACCGCGGCTTAAATTTAAACCGCCGCTTAAATTCTTTAAATTCGGCCACTGAAGAAATTATCTGTCAAGTAAAACGATTCTACATTTAAAGTATCAATTTTGAAATCGTAGTAAGATACATATAAACCGTTTTATAATTGTTCTTTTTTGATGCGTTTTCGAACCATTTAGATTTGAAAAATAATGTACAATGAACACAACAACTGGTAAATCATTTGCCTTAAACAACACATCAACACACAAGGCTGGGTAAAAGTTGTCTTCTTTTAACAAAGTTTTACGGTTCTCACTGTATGCAGCAAATTGATACATCCTAAGCTTAACATTAGTTTCTTAGAAGGTGATAGTAAAAATTAAAACAAAAAAGCCTCATAGTATTAAGAAAAACTAAATTAAATGAGCATAAAGCAAATTACCTCTATGTAACTGCCGTCATATCCAAAATTTGTCATGACTGAAAACTTCTTGCTGAAATACTCATATAGATCCTGCAGACTAGCGTACTTTGCGGAGAAGGTAGGATCTGTACCGAATATATTCTGGAGGATAGTATACGCATGCTGGGGGAGTGAGTTCGTAAACAACTTCTGGGTTGGACCTCCGGGTTTAGGTAGAGTATTAGAGTTAAAGAATGAAGGGACAGTTGATCCTGGAGTTGAGTAAGAGATTTGGGTAGATCCTACAGTTTGGAGGTGGGAGGTATTTGGTTTACCAGGACATGCTTCGTATCTTGGAGTACTTTCGGTAGACATGGTTAATGGTGGTAATGTGATAGATTTAGAGAATGAGAACAAATTTGCATAAGTTGGCTTACCGGAAACCGTAGTTGAAGAAGTTGGAAGGTTGGAGACTTGAGTGGAGTAGTTGGGCAATATGGAGCCTGTAGTGGAGTAGGTTTTCAAGTTGGGGCCAGAAGAAGGGTAGGATGACATCTTGGGGCCAGAAGAAGAGTAGGATGACATGTTGGAGCGTGGGGTGGAGTTGTTTGGCAGGTTCGAGGATTGAGTTGAGTTGGTTGGCAGATTGGAACCTGGAGTAGAGAAGAATGACATGTTGGAGACTTGAGTGGAGAAAGTTGGCAGATTGGAGCCTGAAGTGGAGTTGGAATGCAGGTTGGAGGCTTGAGTAGAGCAGGATGGCAGGTTGGAGTCTTGAGTGGAGTAAGTTGGTAGATTGGAGCCTTGAGTAGAATAAGATTGTAGGTTGGAGCATGGAGTGGTGTAGGATGACCAGTTTGAGGCTTGAGTGAAGTTGGATGACAAGTTGGAGTCTGACTGCACCGAACCTATATTTTCATCTAGTGGGATTCCACGTTCCAGATATCTTAAACATCTAGTTTGGGGTATCCAGGGTTTATATTTACTTGACCGGCTTACCGTTTTCAAATAGGAATCAGGTTTAGAGGTTACTTTGACCGGCGGGGGTGCAGTATAGGACTGTGGTTGGGAGGTTAATTTTTCAACTGGGGGATCAGAGGTTAATTTAGCCGGTGGGGGTAATGAAAAAGGTTGTGATTGGGAGGTGAATGTGGCAGGTGGGGGTACGATTGAAGGTTTTGGTTGGGAGGTCAATGTGGCAGGTGGTGGTATTGTGAAAGGTTTTGGTTGGGAGGTTAATGTGGCTGGTGGGGGTACTGTAAAAGGTTTTGGTTGGGAGGTTAATGTTGCAGGTGGAGGTACCGTAAAAGGTTTTGGTTGGGAGGTTAATGTGGCAGGCGGCGGGGGTGATGTAAAGGCCTGTGGTTTTGAGTCTACTGGGGCAAATGGAGATTTTGATAAAGATTGTGCTCTAGGTATCCCCTCCACAGCTAGAACTGGAGGAGGGAAACTAAGCGTACATGATCCTAAACTGGGTTGGCTAGGTTTGGTTGAGTCAGGAATATTTCGGCCGAACAACGGAAAGGATTTGTCCGGAAATGCGCCAGTATACACAGAATGCGGAAGAACTGAAGCGTGAGAGGTATGCATATCCTAAAAGTTAAAATAAATAATTCAAAAATAAATAAGTTCAATTTTTTTTATAAAATATTTGGCTTTGTAATCAAATAGTAAACAAAACATCTACATCTAGCTGAATTTTATAGCCTTTGTCACCCCTAGGCTACTCATGAATGTCCACAAAAAAAAATTTAAAAAATTCGGTCCGGACATTTGGCCGGCCAGAGGAAACATACATACGAATGTCTTGTTATTATATAGATTACTGTCAGAAATAACTAAGAACCAAATGAATATGATGAATAATGATAGAACCTTTGTTAAGCAAATGAAATAGTAATTTTGAGACAGACAGGGACAAAATAACTGAATGACTGTGGCAGCTAATGTAGCTTACAGAAATAATAATAATTACACCTATTACATGAATGGTTCAATGGTGACAAATGTTAGCCAGGAAAAAGACATTGGTGTTATAACCCACGAATCACTCAAGCCGTCAACCCAGTGTTTATCTGCTGCAAAAAAGGCAAATTTTGTTCTTGGACAAATATCAAGGGCATTCCACTTCAGAGATAAAATCACATTTCTCAACTTGTACAAGTCTTATGTCCGACCTCACTTAGAATTTGCTGTATCAGCTTGGTGTCCCTGGACACTTGAGGACATCCGAGTCCTAGAAAATGTACAAAAGCGAGCCATAAATATGATCTCAAACCTGCAAAGTGTTTCATATGAGGACAAAATAAAGGAAGTTGGTATCCAAACCTTGGAAGCTAGGAGGTTAAGGTTTGACATGATACATACATACAAAACTCTGAACCATAAGATAGCTGTTAATCCAGATATATGGTTTACCAGGGTCCAAGACATCAGCCTAAGAACCACTCGTCAATCTGACAACTATATGAATCTACAAATAAAACAGTGCAAAGGTGAAATTCGAAGGAAATTTTTCAGCAATCGAGTTGTCCAACCATGGAACAATTTACCTGCAACTATTCAGAATGCCAAGAATGTAGACAGTTTCAAAAGAATGTACGATGAACATGTGAAAATGTGAATGATATGAACAAGGATGGCCAGAACTATAGTGAACTAAAATCATTTACAGTTAAATCAAGAAATTCTCATTATACTCCAATAGGAGTCCTGAGAATCAATACCACATAAACATAAACATAAACCTGTGAATTAGATGATTTTCCACTTCCACCGAGATACTCCGAGGTATAGTACCCGGGCTCTTGGCTTTCCGTCCTGTCCAGTAAGAAGGAAACCTCTGTGTTGATTGATTGATTAGTTGTCTCCGTGTTGTTGTACAGGTCCGGGTTCTCCGTCACAAAGAACTTGATGGTTTGGTCCAGCAGGTCTGTCACGTTTACAGACTTGGGTATCCTTGCTCCAGGTATACGAGTTATCAGCTGCGCCAGTACTACCCTAATCATACAAATAATAAAAATAGTATGAGAATTGTTTGTTTATGTTTATATGGTGCCGATTCTCAGGACTCCTATTTTAATACTGTTGTAGGCCTATAATATGGACTAAATTACTTTGCAGCTTAATATATTAGGATGCTAACTGCTGATATGAACACATCTCCGGATGAGTATAAATCAGTACCTGAGTTTATCCACCGACCTCGGGTTCTCCATGTTTATATACTCCCGGAGAGATTTCTCGTCCTGTATCCCCGCCAGTATCCAGGTTGTCATCATATCATCACAGTAACCCAGGGGCTTATCCTCCTTCCTGAAATAATATCAGCTCAACTAATTTTCCTCAGAACTTTTGATTGGAGATAGGCAATCTTAAATCTTGATATCCATTGTGGGCACTTTAGGATCAATACTTTCTCTCAATAAAGTTATACCTGCAGGGTATGACAACCACGGGATATCAAACATTAATAATTTAATTAATAATAATTGCCTACAGACCTTCATAAGATGCAGATTAATGCTTGATCCTGAACATAAACGTTATGACTTCAGTTCATCTAATTGTATAACAAGTAACAAAAATATGTATCTTCTCTAAAGGAAATTGAGTAATTTCTAAACGGCTGGTTTAGCTAAGACAAGCATAGTACGATGCGATTATTCAAGACTAGTGGCTGTGACTTCAAGAATTTGTAAGTTGGAAAAGAATATTCTTTCATAAGGTTCTGTTTTGTTTTTACCTTAGATAATCACAGTAGTGAACCATAAGTGATTTGGCAGGAGCAGTGTTATCAGAAGACTCAGTTGTATCCTCAATATCTTCAGGATATCCCAGGGGTTCACTAGAACCCAGCTTAGGGATCTCGAGAGACTTGGAAACCTTAGCATTAAGCAAACTCCTCTGGTTTCTGATTTTGTTTCTCATCTGTGCCACCAGAACCTCCTTGGAGGGTTTGTATTTTTCCAGAGCTGCTGCCTGCGCTAAAGCAAGTGTCTGGGCAAGGGTTGCTGTCGGCGTCTTAGCCATTGATGCTGACAGGCAATGAGTCGTTGAAGTGGCCAGATTTGCTGCCTGGCTTGTCATAATATTTAGAGCCATCTTTTTAAGTATAATTGCTTTAGGAGGTGGAAGCGGTTTACTAAAAAGAATAAGTTCATCTCGAGATTTTCCAGAAATCATGTTGTCCTCGCCACTGCTCCATCTTGTCTTCTTACTCTTCTTTCCCTAGACAAAAATTTATTTTAGATTTCAACCTACCTTGGTTAGACGGGTCCAAACTAGAAAGTATATTTTGATTTTTTATTTGAACTATCTCGTTATTTGTAGTTGAATAAAAATATGGAATATGAAAAAAATGTTTGAATTCATTTACCACACACATCTAAGAATATTAACCTTAATTTAATATTTTATCTACACATTCTTTTTAAAGAATAATTTCAAGTTACCCTCCATACAAAGATGGCAATTATCCAATTTACAACGGTACCCTTGAAATCTTTTTCTGATCAAGTATAAATTAGATACAAAATATCACTAAAAAGTACATAGACACTAGGACTTAGTCATAAAAGCGGACAGAATAAATCGAACAATACGTCCTATTCAACACTGCTATGATCGACAGCTTCTGGCTTTTCATGGCTCACAATGGGGGGAGGGGGGAGTGCAAAAGTAAACAAACGCCCCCAAACGTGTTTTGCAGCATGCGCGCTCCTCAATTGGTAATCAAAAATCAAAAAGTGAACATTAAGCCGTTTGTTTCTTAGAAATAAGAATATAGTGACCTCTGTTAATGGCCCTATGGCGTACAATATTGTTAAAGCTTTCTTTATTGCTCCTCAGTTTCGAAAATAAATTTGTAAGTAAGCCACATGAAGTGCTAAAAACAAATTACGAATCTCAGATCAAATTCGCCAATTTAATGACTGCATTTCATTATTGGAGTTAAGATACTAAAAGTTCCTTTTACAGTGTTTAGATTTTTTATTTGTTTATCCGAGTTCAACATCAACAACAAAACTAATAAAATGCATAGAAAGAACAAAAATTTAGAAAAATTGGTCTCATTGCACCCACTAGTGAAAATTAAGTATTAAGTTCACTAATTATCTCTAGTGCTTCATTGCTAATTGAGAATGGCGCATGCGCAAAGGTTTAAAACTAATTTTATTTCTAGCGCTCCATGTGGCATTATTTTCGAAACTGAGGAGCAATAAAAAAAGCTTTAACAATATTGTACACCATAGGGCCGTTAACAGAGGTCATTATGGTTTTATTTCTAAGAAATAAATGATTTAATGTTACACTTTTTTTGTCTGATTACCTATTGCGGTGGTGGAGAATACTAATTGAGGAGCGCGCATGTCGCAAAACAAGTTTGGTGGCAGTGATTATTTATTGAGGACTATCGTTCCCACCCCCTGTCAAAACTTGCTCAATGCTCATCCCTGTTTTTGCTTCTGTAATCAGTTTAATTTCATTAGCGGTTTCTCTTCGAAAGCGACTAATGCATTTCTTTCAATGAAGAAATTATTACAAATAAACAATTACAATAAACAATTTTCCAGAGTGAAAACCGACGAAATCTTCCAATTTTTTTTTTCTCATCAGATTATGGTTTTAGGGGTTCCTGTGTGAATCGGTCATTTCCATCTTTGCATAAAGTCCAAAGTGGAAAAAACTTGCTTGTGACTTACTGTCTACAGAATGATTTTTTAATATCCACTATATTTGCAAAAATAGGAAAAGTATGTATCATCATTTTTCCATAAAGATAATTTAATAAAGTGAAATTTTTTAATATAAAAAAATAATACCTTTTTTTGCAAGTCTGTCTCTTCTCGAGGCAAACTAAAAATATTTAATATTATATTTGTTAAGAATACTTATTTTTAAATATTTCTAATCAAAAATCTTGGCGCATTTTTAAATTTGAAGGAGTAACACAAATCGCCAATGATATTTATGACCAAAATTAAACAGAGTTTAAGAGGTGGAGAATATGTAAACAATTTTAAAAGTTGTGTCAAGGAATTTTCATCCCAGCCGAAAGGGATTGTAGCTTTCTATTTAATGAGGGATATGCCATATTCACAACGATATCTTATAAAGAATGTGATGTAAATATGTTCTATTTTCGAAGTCGACTTCACAAGTAAAATCAGTCGTTTTTCTAGCTTTAACAAGTATTTAATTCTGAAATTTGTTTTGTGAACTGTAAGTCACAGAGATACCAAACCAAAAAATATAAATAGCTTATTTTTTAATCTGTTTAGGGTACCGTTGTGGATCGGACTAATTACGTCTATATTCCATCTAAAAATAATTCAAATTGTTTACCTGGGCTGAAGCCGAGTGAAAACAGTCTTCTCCATGGAAGTGGATTTACGCTGCTCAGTTTGTCCCAATTCCTGCCTTTCTCTTGATCTAGTTATCTCCCTCGAACTCTTCCTTTTTCTCCCTGGCGATAAGGTTCTGGGAGATTTTCGGGAAGATTTTCCATCCTTCCGGGATACATAGCCATATCTTGAGCTAGTTCTGTCATCAGATTTTCTTCCAGAACCAGTGTCCGCCTTAGGATCTAGCGGAGGGTAAAGCCTAGTCGACGGCAGAGTTCTTCTATCTTCTCCGGGGTCTTCTATTTCAAAAGCACTCTCATTCTGAAGAATCTCGAAACCCTTTCTGTTTGTCTCCAAGTCTATATTTCCAACCAGCGCATTTGTTCTATTTTAGAAAATATTTAGTAAATATTTTGACATGAAAAAACAAAGCAGATAATATAAAAATCAAAGTGCTAATCAAAATCTAGAATTCTTTTTTGTATAACTTATTGGTCCCCTCACCTCATGTCGTCTTTACTAGAGGGCTCAGGATTTATCAGGAGGCTGATATCTTTTACTCTGACCAGCCTCAGTCTAGGTTCAGGTTCCTTCTCATTCTCCTTAGGTTTGGTTTGATAGAACTCCATGCACTCCTTCTCTAGCTCGTTCTTCTCTTTAGCTAAATAATCCAATTCTCTCGCAGATCTAAGCAGTTCACTCAGTGAATTATCTTTCAATGGAGATCGTGATCTCTTTCGTTGAGAGGATCGGCGGTCATTGCTGCGCTTTGAAGAGCTATCAGACGAATTTCGACAAGTTTTCCGCTGAAGCGATTTTGAGCGTCTTTTTCTTACTGGCGAACCTAAGCGAGCTTTAACTGACATCTTCGTTAAACTAGGTGATCGAGATTTCTTTGACGAAGATCCCAAGCGATCTTCACAGGATAATTTCGTTCTCTGATCATAATCATGTCCTGATTTACGATCCGTAACAGGCAATTTATTTCTCAGGTCTTTGATAGACGTTCTGCTTCTAACATCACTAATAGGCAACTTTCTTAGATCTCTGATTGGTGATCCTCTTAGACTTCTAACAGACGAACTTTTAGAAACTCTAATAGGTGATCTTCTTAGATCTCTGATGTACGATTTTCTTGGATTTCTAATCGGCGATCTTAACAGATCTCTGGTTGGCGATTTAGTTCGAGGACTTGTCTTCCGTGATCTTCTTTGCGAGTCTTTATTTGGTTTTTTATTTGAAGGAACATTAATTTGAGATCTGACGGTTACCTTGCATGTATTTTCTCCGATCGGAGATCTATTTCTTAACTCGACCACCAGAGATTCAGTTCTATGCTCCCTTTGAGGTGATATATCCATTAATGGTGTTCTCGAATGTGAATTAAGTTCTCTTGAAGACAATCTTGGTCTGGAGTTACTACTTCTCGGAGACCTTGAACGTCGATCCTTTCGCGGAGATTTTGATTTGATCTTTAATTTGATTTGATCTTTAACTGAAACTTGTCGATCGGTCGATTTAGGTTGACGCAATGTACCGTCTTCAAAAATGTCTGATGATCTCATTCTTTTCCCGGATGTATTTTCTTGAGAAATAAAGTAGGGATTCTTAAAACCCGAAACAGAGTGGTTGTGCAGTAATGAATCCTCTGTATCTATCGATCTTCTGAATGAATTATCTTGCTCAATTGGAAACATACCACTGCGGGAATTCTGGGACGAAGCATCATAAATTCTCGAGACGGGGATGGATATTTTCATATTGAACCCTGAAGTGGAAGAAATGTGTCTATGATGGGACTGAGGAATCGGCGACTGAGATCTACCATCTTCAAACTGGGACGGAACGCCATCTTCGTCTAAAAACTCATATCTCGAAATATTGAGACCCCCCTGATATCCAGAATCCCATTCAGGTCCATCTTTGTATTCTGGAGAATCTGCTCCATACACCCGCCGAGAGCAACCCTCTTCTCGGTCACTCCGATGAAACGGCATTTCCGATCCAAATTCGTCTTAAATATCAAAAATAATCCTCTCCAGTACCCAAAAACAAGAAAGTAACTTTTCTTAATCCTGCAATGGGTAAAAACACATTTACAAATCAGTTAAAATCACATGAATTTTATAAACATAATTCTATTCTGGACTTAACAGAAAAATGAAAAAGAACATAATAAGATACCAAATAATCAATTAATATCACACAACAACTCATTGGAAAAAAATGTATTAACACTTGGACGAGTTCACTAAAAAATAAAATACTGTTTTTAAATATTGATCCAAAGCCGGTTTCTGGGTAAACCTGCATTTCCCGACCCTTGTACAACTAACGCTACGCGGAGAAAAACAAAATTCGGCGCTAGTGCGCATGCGTATACTGGGAGGGTGCAATAAGTATCACATTTATCAAAGAAACCAAAATAATACAAACATATTCAACGTTAAGTGAGGGGAAGGAATTTTAAAAGTACTGTTTTAATTTGAAAACACACGTTCAAAATACTGGTCTTGTATATTTTTATGAAAAATACTTTTTTTGGGTGAAAAAATTTGTTTAAAACAAACGAAAATAATTTTATCCAAGAAATATATATTAACTAGCTTTGTTCCTTGTTTTTAGGGGTGATCGATTTTATACTTTTTTAAAAATCGTCTAACGAATCTAACCGTCCAGATATTGAATAGGCTTTCTGCCAAATTTTAGCCTTTTGAGTTGATATTTTATACAAAATGAACCAACATTAGGGAAAAAATCGGAAATTTCATGTTACCCATCATTTTCTTTGAAATATATGCTGAATTCAGATTCGAAAACCCTTTTTAAAAATATTAAAAATTGAAAAGGTTAAAGCTAAATAACAAAACAAAAACTGCATTATCTTTTAAATTATTTTTGGTAGGTTTTCGCGATCCAACCAGGGGCGGACAAGAGGGGAGGGGCCTGGGCCCATAGGCACCCCCCTGAGCTCCTGGAGGGGGGGGGGCATATGAAATAGAAGAAAGGGATGACAGATACAACGAAAATAGTATAATGACCTAAACTGAAATACCTTTTAAAATCGCTTTCTCATACAGTGATGACCAGAAAACAATGGAACAAAAAGCAAATACGCTCACTAGTAACTTAGCAAAGCACAATTTAAGTGAGAAGGGTCTATTTACACTGTACAATTGCTATGTCTAATGTTCATTGAACACAGTCATAACTTGAGTTTAATAGTTATCACTAAAAATTCATTAAACACGTAATAAAAGGATTTGTTAAATTATTAGTAAGCGCTCAAAAAAGAAAAGATGATCACCAACATTATTACCTTTGGTTATATATGTAAAAATGTTAAAAATGCTAAAATGCTCCATATTGTTTATCACGGAAAATTCGTTTTAATTGGTAAAAAGTTTAAATTCCTATTCGAATTATGAATTTGACAGCAACTTAATTGTTTATTTATTAATTACCGATAAGATACTTATGCTTAATCAATCTCAATAAAAATGTTTCATTTTCGATATTTAAATCTCGAAATGTGATAAAAAATAAGAAATTGGAAATTTACTGCTTTTTCAATCCCCCCCCCCACCCCGAGATGTTGTTTTGGTACGCCCCTGGATCATCTAACTCATTAAATTTTCAACATATTTTAAGCATGTTTTCAAACTTAATTCAGCATAAATTTTTTTAAAAAATTATGCATTTCAACAGTAAATTTTTATTGTCATTTAAAATTTTTAAATTTTTGGCCAACAGGAAAAAATTGTTCATTTTTTACATATGTCGACCTCTGCTGGGTGGTTAGGTGATTTCCAAAAAGTCAGAAATCGATCAACCTTTGAACAGAACACTTGCACAATTATTCAGCTCGTTTTGGCAACAACTAGACCAACAACTATAGACATCTTAAAAATCAGAAAGAAACGAACCTTTATATTGTGTATTGAGTGTACCTGCTGAAGTCATTTCTTTTTTCGAGAAGTAATTACAAATGAATCCAGCAGCATCAAACTCTAGACTTTTCATCTAAAATCTAAGTTTTTGAACATGCCAAATTACGCAATTGTGTCGAACTAACCATTTAAGGTGCAAAAGTTGAAACAAGCGAACGTCTTGAGATTTTTATTTATGGTTGTAAAACACTGATGAATGGTTAATGGATCAAAAAACTAAGAATTTGAGCAGATTTAAAAAATGAATTTGATATTTTTGACAGCACAAAAATCAGAAGCTTTAAGTATGGTTAGTCAACGTCAAGAACTATATCTTTCAAAAATAGAAACTAACCTTTAAGTCCTTCCTCTGAATCAGGTGCACACAGGAAGCTATAAAGGCATATCAACATAAAAAGCTTACATTTAACATCATTTTCTGAAACAATATCAAGTCTTAAAAATTTATTCGTCTGAGTCTGAATCATCATAAGCAGCTAGGGCACTGAGTCCACCGCTCCGCGCCTCTTCCCGGATTTCTGCCTGAATTTTTCGCGCATTTTCCAAATTTGACTTGTTCACAGCTGCTGTTCCATTGCTTGAAGCCGGCATAGGTCTAAATGAAGGGGGTGTAAATTTCGAAGGTTGACTGTGACTACCAGCGTATGGCTGACCATAGGATTGGATATTAGGGGGTGGAGTTGAGAAAGTGTTGAACTGAGTGAGCGCACTGGGTAGAGATTGTGTATTTTGAGATGGAGGAGGTGGGAAAGAGAAGGTCTTAGGTGGAGGTTGATGTTCGTACTTCTGCGTATAATACTTCAGATAAAAGTCGAAATATTGCTTGTATGCTTCAGGGTCAGCCTTCATATTTTCCTCAGCTCCTAGAAATTATAAATTAAGATGTTTAAGATACAACTCTGTACTTGAAGGGAAAAAATCAGCAAACAGCTACGATTATTTTTCTGTGTCAAATGTTAATTTATTTCCTTTCATGGCCAATGATATTTATTTACGAGGATTAATATTACCTAAAACCATTCCAACAGAATGAGCGCCTTCTTTCTCCTTGTTCTCACGTTCTTTATCCTGTTGATAAATATCTCCGTTCACACAAAACGCATCAGAGTCATCCCTGCAAATATGAGAATGCAGTTAACCACAACGTTTGATACTTGGATACGACCTGAATAAGTGGTAGGTCTTTGCATAAACAAATGTTAATCATGAATATACCAAAGAAGTTAATCATCAACATTAGTTAAATACAAGAAAAATCCCAAATATAGTATTAAAACTGATTTGAACCCATTAGAGCATAAAACTACAAAAACCTAGAAAATAAAAAATAAAAATAGGGTACTCCAGCTACTAAATATATTATCTAACCTGTAATTACATTCCTCTGACTTCATTATAACATGAATTACTGGATGCTCCACAACTACTCGCTCCCGCAAATTATATCTACAAAGATTAAATTTTTAAAAAGTTTTAGAGTAATAAGTCATCTTTTCACACACCTTAAGGAATGTTTCATGTTGATAGGATAATAATGTCTAATTTCATCTTGCTGGTTTGGTAAACTTTCACACTTCATGTACATTTGTACACCGCCATAGCCGACGGACCGGTACACATCCAGATCCGCCCCAGACACGGACAAATCAATTGAGTTTTCTCCAGGCTCCATCAGAGATTCGATTAGTTTCCACATTTTGGTTTTATCACAGATGCTTGGAACAGAAATAGTTTTGCTTATATGCGGCAAAACAAGCTCTACATGCCAGTATAACCGCTAAAAAAAAATTGTTTAAGTCTTATCCTCTCTTCATTTAGTAATTCATTACATAATATTAATCCTAGGTTTTCAAAATAAAATTAAAGCATCTATACTTTTTAGTATGGTCAGATAAATAACAGAGAATACTTTTTTATAAAAAGTTTTGATAATCTTGCTTTAAATGGATACCTTGGTTTTCAAGTCGTAGTTTGATGTGTTGGCTTTTCTGCGAACAAAATGCGGAGGAAGAATTTTCAGTTTTACTCCAGATCTAGTACAGAAAGAAAAATTAATAAGAAATGAAATAATCTTGATTCTTGATGTTCACAAAACAAGAACAGAAAAAATAACCTGTGTAAAGAATATTAATTTTTTTGACAATCAAAAACTATATCATTTGACATTAACAAGATCACATAAAATTTAATTTTAATTTTTGCTTTTTTTAAATAAAAATTTCCAATGATTTCTTCTTTCTTTCTTGATTCGATAATTAAGAATGTTTAATGATATCTCATAGTTTGACACTTAAAATGATTTTAGATGGCAACAAGATTTTTTTCGATGTTTTGCTACATGGATCCAAAGCCGAATGTCAAACTTAATTTGGATCACATTATGCTTATTCTACCTGTAAGCCTCTGTTTGGAGCCTTTTCAGTGCTTTAGGGAACCTAGGAGCACAGAAACCATCAACAGCCTGGCGGGTTGACCGCTTCAGCTTATCCCGTCTGCATCTAGAAAAATGGTTTATGTTAAATTGTTAAATGTTCATACTATATTAAAAAAATTTTTAATTATCGCTATGGAGAACTTACTCCTCTACCGGAGGGAAGAAATATTATGATAGCTATATAATAAAATAAGACATTCGTATATAAATATGTTGCCTAAAGCCGGCCAAACGGCTGGACTGATTAGGCTGAAATTTTTTGTGGACACTCATGGGTGGCCGGGGAGTGTTATAGGTAAAAATAAATCGAATTTTTTTTCTTCAATTTTTTTTATTTTCAAAAAGCATTTTCATTAGAAAAAAAAAAATTTTAATTAGATAAAAAGATTTCACGGGCAACGCCGGGTTCTGCAGCTAGTAGGAAATAAATATATTCAAATACGAAGAAAACAAATTAACTGATGGAAGAGAAAAAATATAGAAAAAATCAGATTAGAATTTAATATTAGAAAAAAGGGGAAATTTAACTAAGATAATAAAGAGGTAAAATATGTCAATATACTGATAGTTTTAACAACAAAAGGTAAAGAAAAAAATCCATAGAAATATCGAGAAAAAAAGTAAAAAAAAGAAGAAAAATCCTTATCAGAATTAGAAGATTTGGTGTTAATATGAATCAAAGAGATTGCTTACTTATCTACGGTTGAGGTTGCATTCTCTAGAATCCTGAAATCTGAAACCAGATCCAACTCCGTAAACTCATTCAAAGGAATATATTTAGTCTTCTTTCTCAACCCATCACAACCTTAGCATAGTAAATCATCATAACAAGGAAAAATAGGAAAGGTTTATCAAAAAGAATTGGTACAGTTGGACCCATGAAACTGTAGACTTGGGAAACGAAAATTTAAGTAATCTTCTGTCTATTTGATCTTGTAATGAAGAAAATAGTTTTACCAATTGCTAGAAAAACATTAGGCCTGAAAAAGGTCTGTGTTGTGTATTCTGCTCAATTGCCGTGTTTCATGTTCATTGGACTGTTAAGAATCATAATTCTAATCCACAGTGTTTTGTGGGTCCAACTGTAATAATTTTGTATTTATTTATACCGAAGGGACTCATTTGTCCTCTAAGTAAACTTTGAAGAAAAACCCAACCTGCCAGAACCCCCAGGCCATTAGATAAGGAGATGTGGGCCTCAGGGTATATAATTAGAAGATTTTTAAAGAACATGGAGAAAGGAACGATCTGGATATTCGTTCCCTCTCTTTTTCGCACATTTCTAATTATTCACTTTCCCTAAGGGAGGGAAGAAAAACTAGCGCCTTGCTGGAAAACAGGAGTGCCAAAAGCCTTGATTACGGAGAAAGAAACGAATAGGATAAGTGGAAAACACAAAGAGCAAGACAAAGGGATGTTCAAAAAGAAAAAAAGGAGAAAAGAAATTGAGCAACTCGAAGTTCTTAATAAAAAGACGGAGATATTTAAGAATCTAAAAGAGAAATTGTGAAAAAATATTTAAAATACAATATTTTTCCTTTTCTTATATAATCTTGATAATTAATTGATGGGAGACTTTTTACCTGATAATTTCTTATGCTGGTTAACACACTCTACTGAACAAGAGATAGTGGAACATCCGGGGCATTTATACTTTCCACTGTCAGAACATACATCACAGTTCTCGAACCCTATTCCCATTCTTTCTGAAAAAATATTAATTCATTCGTCGTGCCTTCTTTGCATTCTTCTTGGCTTGGTTCTGCTGGATTTTCCTCTTGGCGGCAACTTTAGGATGAAGGATTAAAGTTTGTTTTCTGGCGGCAGATCGTTCCCCTCTCTTCTTCGTGATGTCCATCTGGACCTCGAGGAGGGTTCTGGTGTAGACCTCGTCATCCACCTTGGTCTTCACTAGCTCCAGCACCTCATGGGTGTGAGACTTAAGCTCCGGGTTAGAACTAGAACTAGAGATTTCTCTTTGGAGCGGAGGAAGGATAACTCGGAGCAGATCTTCGACCTGGCTCGGCGAGCACTGGAGGCAAACTGCTGCTATATAGTTGAAGATCAAGGTTCGTCTCACAGTGTTCTTCGGAGCAGAGATCAATTCATTGTTGGATATTTTCACAGCCTTTTTCATCACATACTTCAGGGTTAGTTTCTCATCCGTCCTACTGATGATAAGTTTAGTGAGAGCGACAAGATTCTTGACAACCTGTAAACTCGTGTCCTCAGTTACACAGTCGGTTAGGTTCAACTGTTCGAAACTATCTAAGATAATGCTCTTGAGTGTGTCCATGTCGTTGAGCCAGGTTAGCTTCGGGTTCTCCAGGAGTCTGGAGAGGAAGAGTCCAATTAGCTGGGACGAGAGAAGACGAACCCAGGCATGAGGATGGAGCAAACACGAGTGAACCCCAGCACAGATATCACTAGAATTATACCGTTTTTTAAAGAATTGGAAGTTAATTAAAAATACCAGTAAACCCATAATTTTCATTGGAAAAAGGGTGCAAAAAAAGTCATGTAACAGATATATATGCAATAACAGTTCACATTAGTGCAAGTGCAAGTGCAAGTGCAAGTGCAAGTGCAAGTGCAAGTGCAAGTGCAAGTGCAAGTGCAAGTGCAAGTGCAAGTGCAAGTGCAAGTGCCCTTAGTTAATAAGATTTGGTAACTTTGAATATTTCGAAAAATACCTTGATTTCCAAAATATATTCTCTATATCTAATCTTACGATCCTCTGCAGCAAACTCAACGCCTAAATTATTTACAGTTTTTACCTCAAAAATCTTTTACTTTAGCATCTCCTAATATTAAGGAAAAATATTTTCATTTATTATCAGTTGTACTTTGTAAATTGTTACCAACGTTTCACGGTGAATTAAATCTCCCAAAGTTTTGAATTTTATTTCATAAAAATTACTAATATAGGATCCTATCATTTATTAATTTGTAATTATTGCAATAAGAACTGCCTATTCAAAGTAATATTACCTGTATGCAGAGTGAATCCGACCCCCGAAAGAACTCTGGTAGTTTTTCAGAAATTTCGGTCAGTTCAAGCCTCAGAACTTTTATGCCTTCAACACAACCCCAGAGTCAAATTTAGTAATTTCATTTTATGTCCAATTTACACTGTTACCCTTTTTTAACTGCTATGCTTAAAAAATATGATGGATTTATCCATGTTTTCCCATCTCAAATTTATTTACTTTTAATTGCAGTTTTTAATATGTTACTTGAGAATTTATGGAAATCACTTATAATTATGAATCACTTAAATTACGTCGACAGTCCCTTTAATGAAGAAAGAATTATATTTCTAAAACCAGTATTCTGATGGGGTTGTATTCCTAGTGTATCAATGAAAATGACAAGAATCCTACAGGCAAGTTGAGAATGCGCAATATTCTTCCCGCGGAACCAGGTCATCGTGCTCTTCTTTAGTGTTTCAATAGTGGCCTCGGGGAGCACATTCAACAGAGCACTAAGCGTGTTCGCCAGCGCCTTCTTGCACTCTGCGCTCTCCTCGTTGATAAGGAAGGGTGCTATGGAAATAAAGAGGAAGGGGGCATGTGGATTAACCTTATTTCCTGAAAAAATGGGATATCCTTGCAATGTACATTAAAATATTCATGAATTTGATAAAGCTTAATTATCAATTCATCTTTTGTTTTTTGTCCTTAACAAATGTCAAGAAATAGAATACTACCTAATGTGATGATGATTGATCTGATAGCGTCAGCTGCCATAAGCCGGCCAACCTCTACCTCGTAACTGAGCTGCGCCGTATAAACGTCCAGTATTCGTCCCAGTTTCTTTTTTAAGTCGTAGTTAGCAACGTATGTGATAACAGCCATTTTGGCCGATTGCCGAACCTGCTGACTATGCGACTGAATGCTCATTTCGATAAGTTTCATCATTATGTCGTGTAAGTCAGGGGAGACAAGTTTGCGACCAAGAACAGCGGCTAGGAGACCGAAGGCTGTGGTTTGTTTCAACGGATCCAAGACGTCGACAAGGATATAGTCGAAGATCAGCTTCAACTGGTCATCTTTTATTTGTGTCAGTTTTACGTCACGAATGAGAATCACCAGAAGTTTGGAAGCCATCACAACTAAAAAAATATTGCATTGAGACATAACGATAAACGAAGGCTTAGAACATAAACTTGCATATTTCAAGATTTTTGCCTTTTGTTACGCAATTTCGGATTTGGTATTGCTGTATATATTTTAAATTCTAGTTTGTAATGTACAAACAAGTGAAGCCATGGTAGTGCACCTTTTACGTTAACCTTGACAGTATTACCTAAATCATGATTTTCTCCTCTTCCGTCCGTCCCTCCTCCATACTTCTTCAGGAGCCCAAACACCTTGTTGGTCAACTCCATCACGTTCTCGTCGGTCTTAGTCTCCAAGGGTACCTTGACTACCCACTGGAAGCAACGCAGCGAAACCGTCACCACAGAGGAATGAGATGCGCTTAAAAAGTTTGTGAGCACGGGAAAGAACGGACTCAAACGCGCTTGATGCTCCGGATTAGTCGGATCAATGCTGGCGCGCTTCAGCAGGAAGTAGAGAAGGTTCAAACCAAACTCATGAATAACATACTGGCTGGTAGAAGCTGCAGTTTTTGCCACGGCTCCGCCTCTCTTTGGAGCTTTAGGAACTAGGAATGAGTCGGGGATTTCATAAATCGGTTTCGGTTTCTCCTTTTTTACTTTCTGATCCCGTCCTAGCTTGATCTGATCCGTTATCACTCCGAAGATAAACGTCATCGCAAAGATTGGATCAAGCGCTGTGTTGGCTAGTAATCCAAGAACAATATTTCTCATACATTCCTACAACAAACAATAAAGTTTATTTTTATCTTTATTTGAACCAGGTGAGAAATCATGTAAACTTGGTAAAAATCTAGAAAATGACAAAAACCAATAATTTTTAAAGTAAAAATTTGTGCCTTGAGGAAAGAGGAAGAGGTCCTATTATTGTTTGACAGATTAAAGGGACTTTTTTCTCGATTGCCATGTCCGAAAAACGGTAATTTTAATTTTATGAAATATCCATAATTTTCTCATTGAAAATAATTATTCTCAAATGTGGAAATTGTTGGAATAGAACAGCGTTAAAGCTAGAAAAAAGGGTACCATTTTAAATCGGGATAGTCCCTCTTTTTAAATGGACTGTCAATTGAAATTACGAAAGGTTCCGTAAGTTAAGGGAGTGACCAGCAATGTATGGTGATTAAACTGAGTATGCAGCATTGTAGAATTTTTTTTTGTATTCATTTGAGACTTAAGAAACGTTTCCACGGTGTACGATTACTGAGTTTGAGTGCAAAGTCGACCTTTAAAATTATGAATTTGGGTGGACACGTTTCCAGAATCGGTTTTTCTTAAATTATTAAATAACGACGACAAAAAATATAGTTAAATTATACAGTAAACTATTTAGATGTTTAGGAACATATTTCTCAAACGAAATTTGTCAATAAATCAATGCTAGAATCAATTATTTCGTTTTCATCATTATATTGAATTTCTTATTTTCTATGAATTTGTTCGCATATTTCTACAAATTGTTCAAATGTCGTCTTTTCATTAAACATTCCAGAAAATCTGCAGATAATCTTTGAGAATAATGAGAGATTATAGAAACTAATATTAAATAAGATTACTTATTTTCGATAATAAGAGTTAATTTTCATTTTCTCAACCTGTTCCTAAACAACTAATAAGTTTACTGTAGAATTTTCTTTAAATTTTTTGTCGTTGTTTTTAATAATTAAAAAAAAAACAGTTCTGAAAACGTACCCACCCAAATTCAGGATTTTGAACGTCGATTTTGCACTTAAACTCAGTACTCGTACACCGTGGAAACTTTTTATATGTCTCAAATGAATGCTAAAAAAGTTGTCCACAATAATGCATATTCGGTTCAACCACCATACATTGCCGGTCTGCCCCTTTAAGTTATTCCGGTCAGTCCCTTTAAGTTAAGTGAGGAGAAGTGTGTTCACCTTGATTTTGACAATGTTCTTGAAAGCGGAGAGGTTTGAAAGTTTCTCAGAAAAAGGTTTGACAAGTGACATGAGCTCCTGGTTGGAAAGGAACCTGGCGGTGATCTGTAAGGTGTCGTAGGACTTCGTGTTCTTAGCCTCCAGAAGTTTACCTACAGGTGAAAAGTTTCAATTTAAAAACTCAATTATATTTCATTTTAAGTTATTAATGTACGGTTAATTAGTATTAGTTATGAAGTTTTTCGGTATTTAACAGTGGTCTTCATTCTTGAGCATATAAACATCCACCGATTAATCTGAGTAGCCCCACCCCCAATCATAAATACGTATCCAAGTGAGAAAACAGAACTTCATCGAACTATAATATAAAAAAATTCAGTATTCCCCCCCCCCCTTTAATATCCCCTTATGAAGAAAGAAGTTGATATTATTGTATTTGAAGAGTATTTATTATGGGCATAGCCTATCATCACAACAATATTATTATTCTTTATTGCTTAAATAGTCTTATTATTATAAATTAGTATACTTTTAATAGTGCTTTAAATAGGTTTAAACTACTTCTATATTGAAAACCCCAAAAAAGCCCAATAAAACTAAATAAAAAAAACAATAAAACCCAGTGAAACCCATTGGGCTGTTTTTTTGTTTGTTTGTTTTTTAACCGGGTTTTTTCCAACCCTGGTTCTTATTTTAAGTTTTCAATCCATTGTTTAATGTACGTTCTTTCCGTGCGTCCCTAGCAGCGCCTCCTCATTAGATTGGAATAAATGCATGAGAAAAAGTGAGTCCTATTTTTGCAATAAAATGTTAAAAATTATGAACCACCCCCCAATATAATTTAAAAACAAATCTATCAATATATATTCTTCATATCCATTGTTCTAAACTAGTTTGTTTGCATACCTGTAATCTTCTTAACATCCTTCTCTTCAGCTGTAACCCCGAACATCTCAGACAGCGCCAGCTCTGCAAGTTGACCGACAGAACTATCTAGAATATGGGGCCAGTCATTTTACAGAGCTTAAATATCTAACATTCATAAATGATTTAAAATTCAGTGATGGTGATGGACCAAACCTCTGTAGAGTAAAAAAGTAGATGTTAGTTCCACATTTATTCATAAATGACTAATAATCGGATTCAATAACGCGTGCATAACATACTGACAAATCAAATCAATTATTTAAGTCCTAATCTCCTGTCCCAAAATCGAAGGTGACTATTGACTGTACAATATCAGTAATAGACTTTGATTTTACAGTTTGATGAAAAAGAATTAATGATCAGGAGTACCAGTGAAAAGATCTTAAAGCATCTCAATAAAATTTAAACAATTGTCCAAAATTTTTTCTTTTTACAGCGCTATCCAGAATTCATTAATGACGGACGATAATTTGACCTAAATCTAGAGTGGATGACATTATTCTCAGCTTACTATGAAAAAAAGATTTTATCTTAAAATCTGCAAAATATACAAAAGTGGATCATGAGAGTCAAGTTTGGAATTATAATGGAACGTAAAACAACAACTTAAAAAGCAAATTTTTTAAAAAGAAAACATGGTTATATCATTCGTTCTTTATCAGACAAAACTTATAAGGATACCGATGTTACATTCTTTAAATAGAGGGTTGCTTTAAGTTGCAAACAGCTGTTAAAACCCGAAGACAAAGGATAAATTACCTATATCTCCAGAGCTGAAAACTTTAGAATGGGATATCCTTAATCCTGAGCGTATAATTAATCTGGAGATTAAAAATGAGTGGAGAACAAGCAATATTTAATCTCGAGATAAAGAAAAAGAGTGGATTAAGCCTAAATCTCGGTATCCACCATTCTAAAGTTTTCAGCTCAGGTTGGATATGTTACTTCTCCGCCATAAAATTGAGCATATTGTGAATATTAAAGTGTAAGAATAAATTACCTATATCTCCAGGTTGGATTAGAGATTTCTCCGCCATAAAATGGAGCATATTGTGAATACTAAAGTGTAAGAATTATATCTCCAGGTTGGATTAGAGATTTCTCCGCCATAAAATGGAGCATATTGTGAATACTAAAGTGTAAGAATAAATTACCTATATCTCCAGGTTGGATTAGAGATTTCTCCGCCATAAAATGGAGCATATTGTGAATACTGAAGTGTAAGAATAAATTACCTATATCTCCAGGTTGGATTAGAGATTTCTCCGCCATAAAATGGAGCATATTGTGAATAGTGTAAGTCAAGACGTGAACCTGCACAATATAATTTCACAAGAATGAAAATAAGTTAAAGGGAAGATTACGAAAAAACAAGGGGATAAAGATTGAAATGTAAACGACTTGAGATCACAGTTAAGCATGAGAAGAAATAATGGATGAAAGAGATATCTAATATTAAAGTTGAAGAAGAGATCAGGATAAAGGTTCAGAAACTACAGGATCAAGGTTCAAGAAGAGATATACAGTATCAAGGTTCTAGCGGAGATAAAGGATCAAGGTTCAGGAAGAGATAAAGGATCAAGAAGTGATACACGACTATTGAAGATTAAGCTTGAAGAAGAATCAAGGATCAAGCAGAGAAAAAAAACAAAGTTTTAAAAAGAGATGAAGGATCAAGATTTAAAAATAGACGACGGATCAAAGAAGAGGTCAAGGATCAAAGAAGAGATAAAGGATCAGGATTTAAGATCAGATTAGGATCTCAGTTTAGGAAGATATAAGAATTAAGGTTAAAGAAGAGATTAAGGATCAAATATATAATATATAGGACAATTATGATTATACACTCGCTGTATGAATGAAGATCTGAAAGTTTCTCCATCTTGAAAGACCCAACGGAGTTTAAGAAATGCACCCGACTAATCAAAAAGAGTTAAGAAACGAAAGGATGAAGGATCAGGGGTTTAGAATGGGTCAGATATTGAACCCCCTAACCTGGTATCCTCTAGTAAGGAAACTAGAGAGCTCCCGAACCACGAATGATATAAACCGTGCTCCTAGGAGTTCCATCACGGAGCATAGAGTGCTTCTGGCAGCCTCACGGATCTCTACTGCCTTAACAACGAGTAAGATTTGCGGAGTATACAATATGCTCTTACTCAATTATAGAATGATCCTTTATTATTTTACAACATTAAATTTATCAAGTAATTGAAACCGGTTTCGATATAATGGGAATAGAAATATGTTGCACTACATTTTGCATAAAACGTGTACATCAACCTTGTTAGGTACATAAATTGTGCAATTTAAATGTTCTGTAAATTAGATACTATAATTAAGCGTACATGACTTTGGTTTGCATGTCACTTTTTTGAGAATTGTTACAATGTAAACCATTTATTATAGTAAATTGAGTTTGTACATAAAACATATTGCGGTAAATGTTTCAGTACTTTGAACTCGAACATGAAACCTGCCGCAGCACTTTGTACTGATACATAAAAACTCTTGCAACATTGCAGTACTATATGCGTGTACAAAAAGATCTGTTTCTAACCTTGGATCTGAGGAATGATGCAATTTTAGCAATAATCCCCGGAACAGATCTCTCTAGAACCTGTTTAGTGTTTAACTGCAGGATCCGAACTATAGGAACTGCCAGGGGAACTCGTTGGATCAGTTGATCCTCGTCAGACAGGGCAATAGGGCCTTAACAAAAAAACAACCTAAATATCCATGACCTTTAAAATTTAAATACCCCCACCTCTCACTAACTTCTCGCCTTAAATTTTATATTCCCCTTTCATGCAAACTTAAAGTGTAAATTCAACTTAAATCCCTTTATTCTTAAATAAGTTGGGAAAGAAAAAAACTTTTTACTTCAAAATCTTAATAAAACGAACAGCTTCATTTGAAACTTCTCAAATGATTTGTTTCATTCAATTATTATTTCCATTACATTTTTTATAAGAGTGATAATTCCGCAGTCCCCTTTAAGCATACTGGCTGGGGATTACAACTGTTGTCATTGGGTTTACAACTTACAACATTATAGGAGTTACAAGCTAAAACTTTGGGTTCAAGACTATCATGTACATTGTACACTTTGGGATTACAAGGATTACAGCCCTTATAACTATTTTTTGAACCTGTTTGAAAACATGTATGAACTAATTAAAGTTTACATGGAACAGTTTAATTCAAAATTTTACCTTTTGTTTTCCCCGCAAGAGTGCCAGTTAAGTTAGGCAGGAGGGAATTATTGACGGTGAAATGTATTTTTTTTCTTAGTTCTTTTTCCTTCTCCTCCAACCCTTCCTCATTGGGGTTCAGAGAGAAGTGGAAAGCATTCAGTATCTCAGTTGTAATCTTCACCAGCTGTCTCTGATGTGGAGTCTCTTGCTAAAACAAAAATGTTAGGCGCCATTTCATAATTTCCGCCATTTTGTTTTTTACCTTGTTGAAGAGTCCAGTATAGTATTTGATGTAAATTTCGTACTGAGCCCAGGGCAGGGTTTTACAAATAGCTCCGAATAGAACTATTGCTTGCTCCACCAGCTGGGAGTGCTTCACATAGTCGGGGTTGAGCAGGTAGGTGGTGCACAGGGGCAGGATTAATTGGGTCAGGTTTCTCTCGGATAAATACTTCTCATCGTTCTGAAATACAATTTTTAGATAAGAGAATTCAAAGGTTAACTATGATCGTGATTTTTTATTTTTATTTTACCTCTAAGTCTAACTGTTTAGCTAATCGAGTCAGCGCTCTGCCGCGTCGATGAAGCTGAACATGACGAACATTCTCGAAGAAATCTGTATCAATGTCAGCAGAGATAGACAGTTTTGCAAGATCCTTGAGTCTGGAGTTTATATCTTGACAAGACAGCACGAGCTTGTGAAGGACGGAGATAAAGTCACAACGGACCATGTCATCCTTAGACTTGATCCCGCGTTTGATCTGCTCCAAGCAGACCTTGTTGATCATCTTCCTAGCGGAGTCTTGATCCCTCTCCCCAAGTTTCTTGATCCCCTGACACACTGTGACCAAAGTGTCTAAACTGTTGGATCTCAAGGAGGAATCCTTCTCATGCTGTAGGAAGAAACTACAGTTAAAGAATACAGCTCTCAGTTCCTCCAGTGAAAACTCTACATCCTTTCTCAGGTTATCACGGATCTTGATAAACTCATTCATTCTCACTTCAAAGTCTGGCTCTTCAAACCTTTTCCGGTCATAGGCGTTCAGATTTATACAAATATCACACAGAGTTTTTAAAGATTCCTCCTTCTCCGAGAGCTTACACATGAAATTGCTGAGTTCGGTTCTCTCCTGTCTTGTGGCGAGCTTGCTGAAGTATGGGACGGTTAGCTCGACTATACTTTTTAGGTTCTCCAGGGGAACCTTCTCCACTAGGTACTGGGTTATCACGAGAACTTTACAGATAGTTTCAGGTTTCTTGATTGATCCGAGCATGATGAAAAGTTGGTTTAAGAAGTCAGAAGCAACCTCTGGTTTAGATATATGCGGAGCAAGCTGCGTGAGAATATCCAACTTCAATCCAACCTTTTTTAACATCTTCACGTTCTTATTGGACGCTTGGATCCAGGTGTTGAAGTGTATCAGGACTGTGTCCAGCTCTGCTAGTGCAATTTCAATTCCGATCTGATCATAGTTGGTCTCTTCTTCCGTCTCCATGTCATCAACCGGAGTGACGAGGTTGTTGATAACCTCCAGGACGCAGTCAACAACCTTCCCGGCAGTGGTAGGTTTAAGGAGAACCTTGACAACATTCTGAAGTATCCTGGTCCGAAGTTTGGGTTGTTTAACCTGGAGATATCTTCTATACTTCGGCTCCCTGGACCAGCATAGGATCAACTGAAGTAATCCGCTCGGACTATGAATATAGTCCTTGTCAAAGTTTTCCAAGGGTTTCCAAACAAACATCTGAAAAATGGTCGTCTCAGCCTGGGAGGAATATTCGTACTCTGTAAACCTAGAGAAGAAACTTGCAAGCTGAGAATAGATAGCATTTCTCACAGCCTTGTATCCGACAACCTTCCCATGGGTATTATGGTGTGAACTCAAGATAAAACCGATCCAGACAATGGTCTCCAGGATGTAATCCAGGTTCTTCACCATCAACTTCCCCAGCTTATTGATCACGGACTGAATCATCTCTACACTGGCCTGAATCATCTTTATACTCTTCTCTGGGGCCTTCCCACCCTGGAGAATATACTCATACACGTTCTGCCCTTCCTTGATCCCCGACCCACTGTATAACTCCGTGTAGACTAGATCTAGGAAGTATCGAATGTGCGCCTCGGATAGATCCATCAGATGATGAAGGATTAGAGTTCGACGCGACGATACTGCACCTTTGCCCCCGTCCTTCTTTCCCTTCTTAACGGCACGCATGCGCCCATAGAGGATTCTTAGTACTACCGGGATAACTTGGTCTCTGTGTTCCTGCTTGATTTCAGAACTCTCTTCTCCTAAAGGGAACCCCACCAGTTCACTTTTAAAATCCTTGTCATCCAGCAGTTTCAATAAGTTATCCTAAACAAAACAGAAATTTCAAGTTTTGATTGTTTTTCAATCGCAACAGAAAAATTTAAACTTTTAAGGGCTTTTACGGTTTCTTTTTGTGAAGATACAGTGAGACTCATAGAAGACGACATTCAAGCAATCTTGTGTGTACTTTATGTTGCTATAAAGCAACCTAGGTTTACCAGTTGCTTGAAAACAATTTATTAAGGTAAATGGGTCAGTTTAAACTCCACGATTGCTGTGCTTTATGTTTTTATCCTTAAAATCAAAACTTGAGTCTAGCAGTCGTCTTTCGTTAATTCACGGTTTTATGAAACTCCCTGTAAACAATAATTGTTTACAGGCAACCAATCTTTTTGTTGCAAAATACCAGAAATACAGGCAATCCTTTCTTCAAATTTATAATTTCAGAGTCAATAATTTTTTCACTTAGTGAAAATTTAACCAGATCTTAATTTACCGGATATTAAAAATAACTGAGGTTATTTTGTGTTTTTTTTTCAATATTAAATCATATCATAAAATGAAAAGAATGTTTAAAAAATTGTCTCACCTTATATGGTAGAATAAACTTGAGTTTGAAAGCAATGAGTATCTCTAGAGCTATCCTCTGTACCGGAGCTACACGATGGCTGAGGAGCTCGTCTACTTTGCTCTTCACCTCATCTACTCGATGTAAACTCTTCAAATCCTAGAAACGTCAAAGTTGGCATAAAAAAATGCAGGAAAAACTTCCGATGAATATATTGAAATGTTCATAAGATTCATAATTTAATCGGGAAATAAGGTTTAGCATAAAAAATATTAATCAAAAGGTGGTTTACAGCATTATATCTGACTTGATCATAAATTTATTATGTGTGCATTCATAACAACTGAGCTGAAAACTTTAGAATGAGATATCCTTAATCCCGATTACTAAATCTGAGTATCCAATGGACACACTTTGGATTTTCTTCTTAAACCACTCTTTCTTGGATATAGCAGAGAAAAATCAAAAACCGGTTTTTTAAATTAGCGAGTCCCTCCCGTTTCTGTTTAGTTATCTTCAATGGCGCGCAAAATTTCAAATTTATCGGGTTCTGATATGCGACTCTGATTGGTTGAATTTTATACACTTTTTAGGACACAAGTACAAGATTAGGTTCGTCTCGATATTAAGAAAAAGAGAAGATCAAGCATTAATTTCAATATCTACCATTCTAAAGTTTTCAGCTCAGAATAAAGAAATTGAGCTTTTGCAACAATCTCTTATTTTTTAATCCCATTATCTTCGCAATCCAATGTCTTAAGCCAAAGATATTTCACTTTATGATTTCCGTTAGATCAAATAGTCTAAGTGTTAAATATGAAAGGTTTGTACCATCAGGTTGCAAAGAGATATAGAAACTAAGAAAATTTATGTTAGTGGTAAAATCTCAGTTCCTTTGTAATTAAAGCAGAGAAGCGAACAGCAAAACAAAACAAAATAACTAAGGTTGACTTGGATTTTTCGTTTAACACTATGATGAACAATGATGGCCAGAACTATAGTGAACTAATATCATTTACAGTTAAATCAAGAAATTCTCATTATACTCCAATAGGAGTCCTGAGAATCAATACCACATAAACATAAACTAACAGCTTCTTCCTGACTGAATATATCAGCTTATTAGCTGAAGGACCCGGGTTGCCCGTGAAAAAAATGTTTTTAAATTTTTTTTTTTTAAATTCCGATTTTTGTATAGCCAATAACACTCCCCGGCCACCCCTGAGGGTCTACAAAAAAAAATTCAGCCCAATCGGTCCAGCCGTTTGACCGGCTATAGGCAACATATATATATACGAATTTCTTGTTTTATTATATAGATCAAATATAATTAAATCGTCATAATAATCCAACATGGGTAAAAAAAAATAATTCATTTTCTCTGAAAAAAGTTCAAATTTAAGAGGAAGAAAACACAAGTTAGAAAAAAATATGAGTACTTGAAAAATATCAGGAAAAAAGTTCAAAAATAAATCCCTACCTTGAAGGAAGTGAAAACGTTAAGATGTGCGATGAGAGAGTTGATTGTAGAGTTGATTACTTCTTTATGATTTAACCAAACATCACGGTTATCCGACAATCCTCTTCAAATACAATAATATTAAAGACTAAATGAGGTGCCCGGCGTTGCCTGTGGAATTAAAAAAAAATTATTGGGGAAAAAATAAATTAGAATTTGTGTTACCCCCGGGATACGCCTGGGTGCCCTCAAAAAATTTCAGTCCATTCGGTCCAGCCGTTTGGCCGGCAATTTGGAACATATAAACGAATGTATTTTTTAATTATATAGATAATCACGAGCTGGAAACTTTAAAATTAAATGTAGTTTAGACTTAATCAATGAAAGTTGGGAGCTGAGAATTTCTATTCAAGATGAAGAAAAGTCAGCAAAAGGATCCACGTTTCCATGCGAGAATCTACAAGTTTCAAAAAGAACCCAAAGGACTTTTTAAAATTAATTTATTTACAATATACATTTGGAAAAATGAATAGGCACAGAATTTCTTCTGGAAATGTTTAAATATTCAAGTTTAAAGAACTTACACGTTATTTCAAAGGTTTGTACCTGATGGTTTTATATTCTACCGTGCAGAAATTATCCAAGAACAAGGAAACAAGGTCACGATTCTTTGCTTCAGATACATCAGAGAACTTGTTCAAGAGACCCCAGAGCTGGTTTCTGTACTAAATATAGGAGATTATATCAGGGTTCCTAGGCTCAGATACATCAGAGAACTTGTTCAAAAGACACCAGAGTTGGTTCCTGAACTAAATATAGGAGATTAGATCAGGGTTCCTAGGTTCAGATATATAGGAGAACTTGTTCAAGATACCCCAGAGCTGGTTCCTGTTCTAAATATAGGAGCTTAGATCAGGGTTCCAATGTTCAGATATATCGGAGAACTTGTTCAAGAGACCGCAGACTGATTTCTGAATTAAATTTAAGAGCTTAGATCAGATCCTAGGTTCAGATTTACCGGAGAATTTGTCAAGAAACTCCAGAGCTAATTCTTGAACAAAATATAGAAGATTAGATCAGGGTTCAAAGGTTCAGATATATCGGAGAACTTTCTCAATAGATACTAGAGCTGGTTCCTGTTTCAAATATAGAAGATTATATCAGGATTCCTAGGTTCAGAAATATTAAAGAATATCTCAATAGACCGCAGGATCGATCAGATTTATAATATCCTTGCAAGGAGAAGTTCCCGTCCTTTCCCATAATTTCCTGTAAATAAATCAATTTCTATTGCATTTCTCCTACCTTGATATAATCTACCCTCTTGCTAGCCTCATTACTCCGGGAAAAGGATCCGTCCTGCAGCTCCCGGAGATAGGTTTGAATATCCTGATCTGCTGAGAGCAGCTTTGCTCCGAAGATATTCCAGAAATGTTCTCTCTTGATATAGTTTCCATATCCGGCCACCAGACTTTGTACAGGCACCCAGAGCAGGGTGAAATTGGTGTACAGACAACCTGGGAGTAAAATAAATACATAAATAGAAACCAGAGATTTGATATTTAAAAATAAAGCCTGGTCTTGTTCAGAAAGGTAGAATTTACATAGTTCTACCGAGAAAGAGTTCCTTGGGTGTAATGGGCTGTAAAGTAACTAAGGTTATTACTTCGGTTTACTTTTTTTAAATACCAACTTACATGTTAATTGTAGATGATGTATCGAAAAATAAACTATAATTTTCAAATTTCAATCTGGCGATCAGAACACTGCTTTTAACCCCATATCAAAATATTTTATGATAAATATCATTAACATCTCTAAATCACTTACCTAATAAATATCGGAGAGGCATAGTATTCAATCGTTCATCATTTCTAAACAAAATGGTATTAAAAGGCAATTTACCAATAAAGAAAATATACAAAATTAAATTAAGAACGATAATTAACAAACTAATAAAACAAATATAATAATCCAAAGTATACAAAAACGTCATCGATTTTTTTCCAATTGTTTTTTTTATACCTGATACTTGAGTGTAATCTTTCCGCTTCTACTCTCTGGAGAAGGTTCAGTTTCTTCTTATACTCGGACAGATTCTCCGGGGTCCGTTCTGCAGCTAGCATCGTCTCAACCAGGTTCAGGACAGAGAGATAGTTCTCCTCCGGGACCTTGGTGTACTTCTCCCCTAGACTGGAGAGGATGAGGGAGAGACTGTGCAGGGTGAGTTGTCTCACCTGAGGTCTTGGGTCAGATAAAAGAGGAAGGAGACGGGTTATAATTAGCTCCAATGTTTCCGAACTCAGTCTACAAGTCTCTGTCCAAGATTCACAAGTCAGAGCAAAGTTGAAAAGTTTTAGAATATCTCTGTTTGGATCTTCTAGAAACAGCTCAGCAATACTAGCTACGTCGAAGTACTCTACCACGGTCTTGGGACAAGAGAGAGAGGAGACAGCTTGCAGGGCCAGGGGTAAAACAGGAACTAGAGACCAATCCTTTTTTGCCAAAACCTGCCGGGATAGTGTCGTGATTTTCTTAAGAACTTTCTCACTGCTGATAGGACGGATAGAAGAGCAGATGACTAGAGCGTGTTTAATCGTCTCCGCTGAGTAATGCTGGTCAATCTTATCCAGGCACAGTGTTGGGAAAAGATCCTCGGTTTTTATCTTCCTCAGTGCAGGAACAAGCTGAAGATCAATGGAGAAGCTTGAGTAAGATTCCATTTCGGATCCATTTTCACAAGCAGGATTTCTCTGCAACAGAATTGCAGCAAGATGGGCTGATAGAGGTTCAAAGTTCTCTTTTATCTCTCTCTGGACAAATGAAAGATAGGGTTTTATTAGATAACGGTCGAAAATGGATTCATCGTCGAACTGGGAGACAAAATCCATTTTTTGTTGATTGGAAAATCCGGTTTCAAGAACTAAACAAACTGTTTCCCGAACCTGATCTTCAGTTTTAACGATCTTCTCAGATTCTACCACAGACTTGATGCAGTTCATTAATTCGTCCGACGCACAGCCTTTCTTCACCAATCCGTTAAAAAAGCAGAGCAGAGATTTGAAATCTTTAATCAATCTACCCTGTTTATTAGTTATTAAGATTTCTAAGCATTCAAGAATAATGTTTGTCTGAACATCTTGACCAGCTTTTGATAATTCTATTTCCTCATTGGATATCTCGGAGGTTTTATTTATATTCTCCATGGTTTCATCCACCTTCTCCAGGGTAATCCTGAGTATAGGATCTACGTTTTCTGGACCGGTGTGATCACAGCTAAATTGGAAAATGTTTTTCAAAATTTCGTTGAAATCTCCCGGAAGTAGTCGAAGGAAAATCCGCCAAGACGGCTCCAGATTGTTGTTGAATTGCGCATTAACCGTCTTGATGCTCTCAAAAAATAGTTTGGCAACCGCCACGTGGTCAGTAGTTCCAGTCATCTGTTTTTAGAGTTATTTAAAAATTCATTTTCAATGCATATGGGGTAGAATTTCCCTTTAAAAGATATACTTTTTTCTGAATATGATTGATAATAGTAAGTTTTGTTAAATGGTTTTGGTTTGCACTTTTCATCGAGGAAATAGTCAAAAATGTGCTTGCAAGCTTGAATCCCACTGTGTACTGTTTAGGAGGGGGGGGGGGGGGGGGGGAATGGCTTAAAGCTCATCTAAGATTAATCTGGGTGAATACTGATCATTGTTATGTACAGTGTGAAATGAAATGAAAAAGATCGTGAAAGACCCCCACCGATTCAACCTGGCACTGTACATCCATTAAACCCAAAAAATGCCACTAGATCTTGAAATAACTCTTTCCTGTGTGAGAATAAATTTGCAAAAATTTTCTTTGTCTCTGGATTTTCTGATGAGAAAAGAGACGGTTTCGGCTCCAAGATATCTTAACAGAAAGACAAATATTTAAGAGCTAAGTCGAGAAAAAGAAAACAGAAAAATTAATGCCAAAAAAGGAAACCAGTCAATGGAAAAGAATAAGCAGGCTTAAAAAAAAAATATTTAAGAGAATGAAAATGAGCGAACGAATAGAGAAAAAAGTAAAAAAATTAACTTGAGATAGCTTGGAAGAGTTCAGAGATAAAAAATATTTTAATTAAACATTCTGAAGAAAGTGAAGACAAAAAATAACTAAAATAATTTTAAGAAAAAGATGAAAATTAATTCTCTAACCTGATGTAGTCTGGTTGCTTGAGCTCGAATAGGTTCTTGAAATACCCGTAGACCTGTTCCAGGTTCGAGCTGATGGGTCTCCACAGTATTTTGAGTAAATGTCCCAGGCACCTGAAGGCCCATTTGATCACGTTGGCATCCTGAACCTTAAGCGTGGTGCTGGTGATCAGCTCGACAAAGATCTCCAGGTTGGGGTAGAACTCATGCTGCAGATCAGTGGCTAATCCTAAACACGTTACGTCTAAAAATCAAATATTTGTTGTCTCTTCCAGTTAGATAATTTACTCTTGACAGAAATAAGACTTATTTTGAACTAAACTTTTTTCTAAAACACTGCTATTAAAATAGTATTTGTTGTTAACACACTAAAAAGAACAATGTACCTGCAATAAGCTCCAGTATTGGCTGAACGCTGAGCGGAGTACTATCTTTTAACCCATCCCGGAGTATTTCAACTATACTGCTCTGACTGAAGATAACCTAAAGAAAAAATATGTCGGCAATGGAGGAACACAATCAGTTGAAAGATTTTACAAAGTCTTGGGAAGCATTTGTTCTAATTGACAGGATATGTCGACATAATTTTAACAACAGAGGACCATGTCCGATTTACAACTGTAACCTCGACAAATTTTGTATGAGCAAAAGTTATAAAGATTTTCTAGTTTTTCTGTTTGATAATTTCCAATTGCAAATTTGTGCGACAGAGAAGAAATTAAATTATCATTTTATAACGACCAATTCGACATTGTTGACAATATAAGCCATAGTGTTATTTGATATTGCACTTCATGATTCAGGGTCAAAATGGAACACCCTATTGGACATATAACTAACTCTTTAAATAGGAGGTACTTAAAGTTTAGATTCTGTAATAAAAGAATACCTGTGGCAAAGTAACGAATTGGTTTAATTTCTTCACAATTTCTGTAAACTCTGCGGTCAGGTTTAACTCTCTCCAATGCTCGAAGGTTTCACGGAATACACTAGTTTTCAACTCGTCAGAAACCTATTTAAAAAAACCAATTAGATTTTTTAAGACCCAAAATTTTTCTCGGCTGAGTCTTCCGACTTTTTGTCGTAAATTTTGTGAACAAAAAATTATTATCTTTTTGAAGCTCTTCTTGGAAAATTCTATTTATCGACGTTTTATTCTTTTTTCATTTTTTGAAGGTAAGACAATTAAACAATTGAAAATAAGCAGAAATAAAACATAGTTTCCCCTAAAAAATGTCATTTTGTACCTTTGTAAGATTAGCTGCCCCCGCCAGTTGATAAACAATACTGTAATCAACACTAGCAATCTGATCAGCAAAGTTCTCAAATCTGAAAGCTTTTCGAGGTTTAGCCTCTTCATCAGGGTTCCTAGAAAAAAACCATTAATACTAAAAATTAAAAGCGCTTCGCAACAGTTTAGGAAATATTTTATTAATATTCCTGAAGATATGAAATCAATTTATGAAAACATAAACTTACTTTTTCCCGCTAGTTTTCTTCTTAAATTCATTTCGTTTCCTTTTTTGAATATCTAAAAACGATTTCTTCACTTTCTTCTTCCCAGACACCCTTCCCTTCTTCATTTTACCCATTTTTAAACCTGAAATAATGAAAATGCGAAGCGTCCTATCTAGAAAATTTGCCCTTGGAGTTGGGCTGCCGGAAAATTTTCGTCTTCTTGTAGTTGTTGTCGCCTTTTCCTTGTCTTGCCCGACCCTTCTTACTCGGTGCCACACCGATATCAATGTGAGGTGGAACTACAAACCCGTAGGAGTTACCAACGGCCTTCAAGTCTAGAATAAACATTAAATCATGAAAAAGTTAAATAACTCTGTGTCAACACTCAACATGTGTCTTGTGAGTAATAAAGGTATTTGATGCAGTTTTTGTATTGGCATATGATGCGGCAACTTTACGGCATATGTAGCCTCGTTTGATGTTGAATTTGTCACGTGTTTGTTGTTGTATTTGGTAAAATATTTGTTGTCATCTTTGTTGTAACTATTGCGGTATTAGTTGAGATACTTTATATAGTATTCGATCCAATAATTGGTGTGGTATTTGTTAAGAATTGAGATAGTTATTGTCATATTTGTTGCACTGTTGTATCCGATTTCACATTTGTATTTGCCGTTGATATTTGTTGGTATTTGCAGTGACTTTTGGTGTATTTATAAATAGTTCTTAATTTAAAAACTGACCTAGATTTTGGACGTCGTATATATGTTTGAGAGAATGGGATTCGTAGGCTCTCACGTACGCTTTGTATGCTTCCTTAGCACTCAAATTTAAGAAATAGTTCTTGGAGATTAGTTTCTCCAACTGAGCCTAAACAGAAATTAATATTATCAAAAAATAGGAAACTAAATAACATTTTATTCGAATCATCTGTTTAAATCAAAGATTTAGTCAAATTAGTAAGAAGAATAAATTTCCCTGTCAAATCCATTTCTGTTTCTATCTAATATCTATCTATCTATATATCTAAAATAATTTTCATCTATCTATCTATTATGTCGCGTCTGCACCCTCTAGGGACTACAGAAACCCACCCCTCAGACTAATACCGTTTGTATACGCATAAAAATTAATTCATGTATGTGAACATAATAGATCTTTTTTTAGAAAGGTCAGGGTTCTCCAAATCTTTCTCTTGATACTCCTGATATGTCTGATTAATCATGGTACCCTTTAAACTTTTGTCAGAACTATTGGAGATATTCTTATTTGAAAAATGAGTTATTAATAGTTGCTTTACATAAGTGATTTGCCTGTTTTTGCAATCATGTAATTGAAAACTAAGGGACACTTCAAATTACATTAACAGTCCCTTTAAACCCTTTAAAGGTGGAGGAGGGGGATTTCCGGATTGTGTAAATTTGTTACCTGAATATTTGCAACCTTGTTCCATGAGAACTCAAACTCGTTAAGAGGAACATTGGCCTGTTTGAGGTACCTCAGGAACCCCAACTCCTCAGGACGCAGGATCATAAGGGCGTGTCCCTGTCCACCCTCTCCTCTAGCAGTTCGACCAACTCTACAACCAAAAAAATGATTATTCAACAATCTCATCTACAATCTATATAAATATACTTTGCTTGCTTGTTTGTTTGTATCCAATGGATGTAAAAAGGCTATCGGACCCAAATTTTTTGTATAAAGGTTTTCGGATGTTCAAAGCAAAAAAGTTGATAAATCCGCGAATTTTTTGTTGTTTTATTGATAATTTAAAAACAAAATTGCCGCAGTTGGAGCGACAAATAATAGTTTAAATCTAAGACATGCGCTTTAGCATAGTTAATGAATAGATAAAAGTAATTTTAGTTTTACCTGTGAATATACTCTTTAGGATCATCTGGGGGATCGAACTGGACAATCCAATCCACGTCAGGGATATCCAAACCTGCACAAAACCATCAAAATAATAAAACTACAAAGGGGATGGTGGAGTTGGCACATTTTATGTAGGGGGGGGGGGCCTGCCTTCATTTTTGGTTCAAATCTTACAATTTTTTGGGTGCACGCCTAATTAGGGTTCGAAATTCCTATAATAAATTCAAATTGAACTTTAATGACCTCTAATGACCTCTAATGACCTCCACAAATAGAAAATGTTTCAATTATGGCTTTATGTATATCAAACGAAAGCTAGGAGTCCAGTAGCAGCAACAAATCCAGTGTTTGACCTTCTAATGACCTCTTACGACCTCTAATGACCTAAATGACCTCCAAAAATGAAAATGTTTTAACTATGGCTTTATGCATATCNCTGCTACTGTATTCCCTGGGTTCCTAGCTTTCGTTTGATATGCATTAAGCCATAGTTGAAATATTTTCTATTTGTTGAGGTCATTAGAGGTCATTAAAGTTCAATTTGATTTTATTATAGGAATTTCGAACCCTAATTAGGCGTGCACCCAAAAAATTGGAAGATTTGAACCAAAAATGAAGGCAGGGCCCCCCCCCCCCTACATGAAATGTGCCAACTCCACCATCCCCTTTTTATAAAACTATATAAGTTTTATCTTGAAAGAAACTGACCATTTGTTACAAATTCTAATTTTCTAATCATTCAATGACGTATATCTTTACTATTTCTAACTACGAATTCCGTTACATCAAATAATCGAGATTTAGAGCCAGCGAGCAATTTTAACCGGTGATTGGCGGTTCAAATACGCGGTTGAAAATTCATTGAATTCAGCCTCAGGTTGAACAGATAAATTAAGGGAAGGGATTAGAAAATTAGAGTTTGTTACCAGTGTTCAGTTCCTTAATTATGTCATTTAAATTCTGTCAGTTCAATAAAATAGCATTGCATTCAAACTTAAGCTTGAGTCTAGACCTATTTTTTATTTCAGATTTTAGGATTGCAAAAATAAAATTGTCTAAAAATTATCAACATTGATCATCCCCCTGACCTACCTCTAGCTGCTACATCTGTACAGAGAAGAATACCCGAGTCCGCGTTACAGAAGGAAAAGAATGTCGTCGTTCGTTTAGTCTGCTTCTGCTTACCATGAATACAGGCAACAGGAAGATCTAAAGGAAATGAAAATGTTTATAGCAAGGTTTATTCGAACGTTGGACAACTATTTTCAATATTTCAATGAGTTAATACTGAAAGATTGCACGCAAATATTAATTCATAATTTGGTTTCTGAAAAAGTTGCTCTGTACGTCACACTATGAAGTATAATAAGTTTCGTTTTTCGACTTTTTATAGAATTGAGGATGCTTTAGAGTACGATAATCTTATGTGGAAAAAATGTAATATGGAAATTCTTAAACAAGATAAAAAAATCATGATGTATTCTTTAACAAAGGCAGCAGTTGATGCTACATTTAGATTTTGCATGTTGAATGTGCTCATAGTTTTTTATGATGGAGAGAAGGTAGATAATAGTAGTGGGTTGTCTCAATCTACTGACTGAACAAAAGCGTGAAATCATTTACAGAAGAAATCGTTTGCTGGATATTAGATCCTAAATCTTCCAAAAAGAGGAGAGAAAATCAGGTTATCTCGCAAGAACTAGTTCAAGAAATTAAATGATGATCTTTGTCTTTTATTCATGACTGCTGAGGTACTTCAAAACACAGTTTTAGCTGTCTATTTTGTCCAAATGTGGAATTTTGGAAAATCTCTTTTTGTTCAGTATCCAGTTATAAAGCTCTATTGGTTCAGTTTCCAGTGGAAAAGCAGTTGATTGAAATTGTGAAAAACATGATAACCTTTACATTTTGGAAAAGCTCTGAACGTTCTATTAGAAATATGCAGAGCTTTCCAAAAGCTTACAAAACTTGGTTTGCAATAAAGAAAAACTAAAAAATTGTTTGAATAAAGTAGGCAGTCGGGCAGTATGCTTGGAGACTCAGACAGTTTGATGAAAATGCCTAACGCTGAATCATTCATAATGAGATATGTTAATTATACACCGGGGAGAGGGGGGGGGGGTCCCCCTTCCACTCTTCTGTCAGGACTGAGCTAGGTCAAGATTTGAATGGAAAATTCTGAATTAAGGTTTATCAATATGTCTACAAATGAAAGGGTAAGTAAGCATGATGTTATGAAGTATAAAAAGTAAGTTTTCATGTCCTTATAAATGAAAAAGGTGAGTGTGCATGTTGTTCGTACAAAATAATAAAGTTACTATCAATACTGATCTAATTTGAAAAGATCAATAAAAGGAGCGTGTAAGAATGAATTTTCTTCCAACTAGTGTAATAGTTTCCATTCTTTATTGCTTGGAGCGTGTAAGAATATACATCCTTTCACGCTCTGACCGTGTAATAATTTCCATTCTTACACGGTCTGAGCGTTAAAGAATGAAAATTCTAAACCTTCAGTGTAAGAATAAGCATTCTAAAACGCCAGGAAGCGAACAATATTTGAAGATTTTTCTTCTGAACTGTTTAATAATGGGAATTCGTACACGATAGGTTTACTACTATGGACCCAAACAGAAGTATGCCACGTATCAATCAATTAACAAAGGACTTTGTAATCCAAATAAAATATGACATGTTTTAATAACTGTTGACAATCCCTTTATTAATTTGATTTACCAAGGGTTGTAACAGTTATTAAGATAAACAAGTAGAATTAATATCTCACCAATATAGTTGAGGAGCTCGTGGTGGAACTTGACGGACATACAAGAGGAGAAGAAGACCATCACCTTCTTCTTCCTGTTCTTCTTCAAGAAGGTGAAGAGGAGCAGGAACCTCTTCTCAGAGGGACAGACGACATATCCCTGCTCTAACCCAGCAACTGTAGCCATGTTCCCCTGAATATCAGAATAATTACAATGAACCAAAAAAAATTTGCGGTAATTCGTTCTTTAGTTATTTGAAGACAAATGTCGCACAGTTGAAATCCATGAGAGGCTTTTCGATTTCTGCAAAAGCAATATGTGGATTTCATATGAAAAAACGCAGATACTCAGAGCTTAAAAAATACTTGACATTGGATTTACACTAGATGGTATTATGTAAAATAAATAAAATTTACCGTATTCTTTTCTTCAATCCCGATATATATAGGTTCCTTCTTCAACGCGACAGCTATCAGGTCTTCCGTCTTCTTGGTGGTGGTGGCGCTAAACAGCATCGTCTGCCTCTTCTTTGGCAACAGCTTCACGATCTTTTTCATCTCCTCCTCGAACCCTACGTCAAGGATTCGATCCGCCTCGTCTATGATGAGGCACTGCAGGTTCTTGTACAGGAAATCCTTAGTGTTCTGGAGGTGGTCTAGGAGACGCCCCGGGGTCGCGACCACGATGTTAATTCCCTTGGCCAGCTTCTGGGCCTCCGAGTTCCTGTTTGCTCCTCCCATTATTAGTCCGTAGGTGTGGTAATGGTGCTTCAGCAGTTCCCTGTATATGAATTTATATTCAAACTTTTATCTCAATTAAAAAAGAAAGGAATTCGAGAAGATAAGTGATACAAATTTGAGGAAAAATTGCGAAAGGGGTAAGGGGGGGGGGGAACAAAACAGGGAGAAGATTAAGATTAATTTAAAAAGGGATTACAATGGCGACTGAAACTGGGAACGTTAGAAACAGTCCACTAACTCCGCCAAGGAGAAAGATATTGAAAACTGAAGGGAATAGGAACAAGAAAAATCCTGTAAGAAAGGGAACACCCCAAAATGAGAAAATCAATATTCCAAGATCATTCAAACATTATTAGCAATTAATAAATGATTAACCTGAGCACTCCGAAGGTTTGCATTGCCAGTTCTCGGGTTGGAGAAATCATGATAACTCCAGTCCCGTTCCTGATTTCATAACAATCTTATTAATATTCTAAACATTTAAATCTGGGACAGGTCTCTGGGAAATCTGCAAGTGGCAAAAAAAATCAAATGACTCGGAAAACTAGGAAATATATTTCAAGAAATTAAGATTAAAAGCATAAGTTAAAGAGGGAGATTGCAAACCACAAATGAGGGTCAGGGATATTTGTTTTATTACTGCACTTGTGGGGTAAAGGCATGTATAATTGCCGAAAATCATCGATAACAACTGTTAAAAATAAGAATTGGGTTTTTTCCTTGGCATAAACTTGAGTTTAAAGATTAACTCCACAGCGGGGATCAGGAAAGCTAGTGTTTTACCGGAACCTAAAAATGAATTATCGTTAACAAATATTTATATTTTTCTTTAAAAAATAAGAGCTCGCTGATTTTTTATATGTTGATCATAAACTGCACCTGTTTTAGCTGCTCCCACTAGATCCCTTCCTTCCAGAAGATGAGGAATAGTCTGAGCTTGGATCTCTGTCATCATAGAGAATCCCATCTCTTCAATACCCTGCACAACAGAATATTAATACAGAGTTGGACACTGAGAAGTTGTTAAACCGTAGTTAAACCAGTTAATCACTGGTTGAGCCACTTCTCTCTATCAATAAATATAAGGTCGAAACTTATGAATAGCAAGAACCATCTTTTCTGAACAAACTAATTCAAGTACACAGCTGAAAGCTTTGAACCGCAGTGATATTAGAACCTTTTTTTTGTTAGTTTAATATAAATTGCAACCTCATAATTAAATGGGATGTTAACTTAATTTGAAATAACTCTACATTGTCACTCAAAAAAAGCTTTAAAGGGTAACGTTCTTAATCAGGCGTGCATGAAACTCTTCCCATGAACGGTCTTTTGAAATACCGTCGACAGCCTCTTCTTAATTTGAACGATTTTACTATTAGTAAAAGTAAATAGTTACTAAGGCGTAATCCTAAAGTTGGACACTGGACAGGATTGGTTCGAACAAAACATCCCGATCTTCACTGCTATGAACGTCAGCTACCGTTCACAGCTGGCTCATCGAAAGTCTAATAACTAAATCATCATAACTGGTTATTTCTGAGACTTTTATGTTCTACTTTCCTACAATGATCCCTCAGACTAGTTGCTCTTGTTCTTGTTATTCATTTATCTACAATATTCTGCTGTACCTTGAGAGTAGCTTCTGATACTGAATCCTTGAGTCCGGAGAAAGATCTATCGGAGAGGATTCCTGCTCCGAGCCTTGAACCAGGGAGAGCTGACCCACCGGTCCTATCGTTATCTCCTGAAAACAAAAGGAGGTTACAATAGGAAATATTTTATATAGAAACCCTCCCCCTCTCTTTGTTTTTCCCTCGCTATGATCTATCACATCTAAGGTTTTAACTGTTAAATTCTTTTAATTTTGAAAAAAAAGCTTAATTCCCCGCCTCCCAAAAAAAATACTTCAAGTCGTAAATCACTAGGGGTAACGAATGTTCTCTTGGGATTTGTTAATTGAGAAATATTGGGTTGATTTTTAATTCAATTTTGAAATCATCTTTTAAAAAACGTTTAAACTCGAACCTGTTTCTACATTGTCAACCCGTTCCTCGCTTTCAGTAGCATCTTCTACACTATTGGTCTTACTTTCTGGATCTGGAATAAATAATCATTGAAGAAAAACTGGATATCAGGCTGGTAAAATAACGGTTAAAATGAAAGTTGTTTAATTTTAAGTGATCTCCATTTTATTCTGACAATTTTCTTCCCATGTTTCTCGACAAGAAATCCGAAATTCACTTTTATGAAGATACTGATTATTTGAAAATAATCAATTTTAAAGTTAGGAAAATGGATATTTCATTCATTCTTGTCAATACAAAGCTTTAAGGGGGTGAATCAGACATGCATCTCTTAAAAAAAAGGTCACTTGAAATTAAAACAAATTTAATGTTGAGACTAAATTCTAAATCAGATTACTTTAAAGTTTCTTACTTTTATTCTTCTTCTTTTTCTTCTTCTTGGGGCTCCCTGATTCTTCTTCCTCGAGTTTATGTTTTCCCTTGATAGGTTCGGGTTCAATATTCTCTGCTACAGAAGTATCTAACCCACTCTCTTCATCAGAACCTTCTTCTAAAATCATAATTAGTCAAAATTATTGTCAAAATTTAAGATGAATGGACAAATCGTAATCGAGGAGCAAAAATCTTTTTAGTTCAAATTTTTCCTTTATTAACAAATTTTATTTTTAATGATAAATTACCATTTACGGATGTATTTGCGTCTTCTTTCTTTTCTTGGAGCATTTGTTGTTTTTTCTTTTCTTTCTTTTTTAATTTTCGAGCCAAAATTTTATCCGGCAGAGCCATGATTTTTGACCAAGCTTTCTGAAATATAATTTAAAAATTTAACACAATCTAACATAATGGTGTTAACAGGACACAAATCTGTCAAATTCTCCTTCTTCTTATTTTCCTCTCTTGGTTTCGTTTTCCTTCATCCGTTCCTGTTCTCAAACTCTTGACTTGGGAGTAAACCTACAAAACAATTCAGCGATTAAGAAAATCAGTTAACTATGTTTTAGTAAAACTAAACTCACCTAGTTCTTTGCTCTTTTTTCTCCTCTCCCATTCCCTGTCCATGGACTTTCTAAACAGAGTAGTTTGTAACGACAAGCTTTTAAAATTAAGTACTCTAGATCTTCTAATTTTCTAATAATTTCTGATAAAATATTCTGAAATTAATTCTTACTTGTGGAGGGCCCACTCTTCTTTTCCGTACTCTCCTTCAGGAATGTTTTCTACAAAAATAAAAAAGATAACTTTCACTTTGCCATAATACATAGTTACATACTTAATATACGTTGGGTTTTCAATTGTAAAATTAGCCCCCCCCCCCCCCCCGTGAAAAGAACGATTGGTTATGAATAATAAGAATCCGTATTGTCAGTTTCTTAAGTCTAAATTAATTAATTAATTATTTTCATGGTGAATGCCGATTGGTTTTAAGAAAATATCAAATTTACCTATTTCGAAAGAGTCTCCCTTGTACTGACCAGCAGCCAAGGTGACCAACTCATTTATTACTGTACAGGAGGATACAACATCACCGGCCATATATCGAACAGCAAGTCCTTAAAACAAATAACCATATAATTGAACAGAAGGATACCAAAACATAGGCCACATATCGAACAGCAAGTCCTTTAACAAACTTAATAATATTTAATTGAACAGGAGGATTCAACATCACCGGCCATATATGGAACAGAAAGTCCATAAACAAATTAATGTTTATTTGAACAGGAGGATACAACATCACCGGCCATATAGCGAACAGCAAGTCCATAAACAAATTTGTGTTTATTTGAATAGGAGGATACAACACAGGCCATATATCGAACAGCAAGTCCTTTAACAAGTGATAATATTTAATTGAACAGGAGGATACATCACAGGCCATATATCGAACAGGAAGTCCATAAACAAATTAATGTTTATTTGAACAGGAGGATACAACATTTAAGCCTTATATCGAAGAGAAAGTCTTGAAGTTATAATATATCAGAAAAAAAATAATTGATTAATAATTTTGAATGTAATTAAGGACACACTTTTTAGGGAGGAAGGGGTTTATTTCCAATAATGTTACCTATTCTATCCTGGTCGGAATGGTTTGGTTGAGAAGAATGAATAGTTCTCCAGGCATGAAGTGATGCTTCTCCAGCCAGAAGATTGCAATCAACTACATCCTTCTTATGTTCCTAGATTAACTAGCTAAAGTACGCTAAAAAATGAGAAAAAAGCGTTATGAAAAATAAGTGCGTGTTCACAAGTTTGATCCTGTACCTGGATAAGTTGACCTAGGACAAGATGGTACTCTGTACCTGGATAAGTTGTTGATCTGCAACCACCTGACCTAGAACCAGATTGTACTCTGTACATGGATAAGTTGACCTAGAACCAGATTGTACTCTGTACGTAGATAAGCAGTTGATCTGCAACCACCAGACCTAGAACCAGATTGTACTCTGTACCTGGATAAGTAGTTGATCTGCAACCGCCTGACCTAGAACCAGATTGCACTCTGTACCTGGATAAGTAGTTGATCTGCAACCACCTGACCTAGAACCAGATTGTAATCTGTACCTGGATAAGCTAGTTGATCTGCAACCACCTGACCTAGAACCAGATTGCACTCTGTACCTGGATAAGTAGTTGATCTGCAACCACCTGACCTAGAACCAGATTGTAATCTGTACCTGGATAAGCTGACCTAGAACCAGATTGTACTCTGTACCTGGATAAGCTGAACTAGAACCAGATTGTACTCTGTAACTGGATAAGCTGACCTAGAACCAGATTGTACTCTGTACCTGGATAAGTAATTGATCTGCAACCACCTGACCTAAAACCAGATTACAATCCTCCGTTCTTCTCCGAGACATGTGTGCAAGCTGACCAAAACTATTCGATCCTCTAAAATATTGAACTTTTTGAATTTTGATTCTAATGAATAACAACAATAAAAACTGAAAAATAGCTTTTTATGTTTTAAGCATTATAAGGAAAAAACTAAAACTCCCAAGTACCTATAACATATTCCTTAACAAAAACGCCAAATTTTGTAAAAACCTAATCAATGTTAGCCTATTTTTCATTTTTTGTGTTTCAGTTTTCATGTGAACAGTATTGATTATAATGTAGTGCATACAAAAGCGTTTCCAAAACAAGTCAAAAAGCAAACAGAGTAAACGCTAAAGAAAATCCAATAATTAATCCTTGAGTTCAGTTGCACAGGAACAAGGTAATATTTAGGTTTAAAATATTATATTTTTTGGTGAAAATAAAATAAGATTGGACATCAACTGGAAGTTTGACCAATGACCAAGACCACTCTTTTAACTATTTATCCCTTTTTTATCTAGAATGAACAGTTTGTATTTTCTTGATTTTAAGGAAAAATAGAGAACTGCGAGAATGAAACTGTTAAGGCTTCTAGCTTTGATTGGTAAGTATTGTAAAAAAAAAATTATGCCACTGCAGCTTTATACATATAAATATACAATTTCACTTTTTTATGTGGATTTGAATATAATTTATTTGAGTTTATTACCCCGTTGACATTTTTCCTAATTCTTTTTTTTTTAACGAAAAATGCTTAATTGGACAATCAAAGTAATGTTACAAATCACATCCATAACTTTTTGCACGCTTCTTTCATTTGTTTTAATACCATTTACTTTTATTTTTTTTCCTTATAAAATCATTTATCGCCTTTATAAGTTTAGTGATGAAACCTTAATAAGTCTTATTTGAGGGAATGTTTGTTTTGCTAGGCCAAGCTTAATTGGAAATTTCTTGTTCAATAATAAACAAATCAAAACCATGTTTAGGACTTATTTCTGTTGAAGAAGAAACCGATAAATCCAAGTTCAAAATGTTCTCCCCAAGGAGGGCAATTTCCTACATGATATGGATTGGTGTCCCAATTGGCTGTTTAATTTTTCAATTAATATTTCCTTATTTGTCTTATTCATCATGGTCTGCATTCTTTTCCTTAGATGCCTATAACTTGGCAAGTAAATCTATGATTTTATCTAGTGGTGTCTTACTTCTTCTAATTCCGAGGTTAATGACAAACTTGGTCGATAAGTCCAAGATAGACCTGGATACAACCACGACAATCAAGAAAAATATTATCACAATAATTTCTTGTATAACTGCCGTAGTATTCAACATCTTTTTAGTAACTGTAATGATGTTACCACTAGCCTCGTCGATGAAATTTGCTTTTCTTAATTTAGTGATGACGATAATAACATTTTGTGTTCTAACATTAGGGATTCTTAGCCTACTTCTGACCATTCAGCTCATTTGTGACGATTTTAAAGATCGAGTTTTGGAATTGGGAAGACTTAAACATGCTAAAACTTTGATCTGGCAGCAAACCGAGCTCGTCAAGACATTCAGAAATATTAAAGAAGGTTTGAGTCCAATCCTCTTTATTATTATCTTGCTATTGGGTCTAACTACACTCTTGCTATTCTTCGCCGTTAAATCACTATTAGCTAATGGTCTTGTCGTTACTTTGAATATCAGTAACGGAATATTAGCTCTTGCAATCCTTTATAAACTAACATCTCAGTGTCATCAGACATTTAGAGTTCTCTCTACAAACAATGATCATCTCAGGTCAGAAAATAAATGTTTGGTTTTTTGTTTCTAAATTTTAAAAGAGTTTTATCTATCAAAAATATCAACCTTTGGAATAAATCCCTTCCAATTTTCTTTTGATGTTGAAATCTTTGTCGCCATTTTCTAAAGAGAACAAAAAAATCTGGGAAGTTGTTTTTGTGTAATGATGCAAGGAAAAAAGTCCTAAAATCCTTTAGTATTAAAAAAAATGTCATAAAATTTGTTTATATTTAGATTAGTTTGCAAGGACAGCACAGATTCAGAGAAGTTTGAAATATTAGCAGGTTAAATATATTTAAATAAAAACTATTTTTCTGGAAACAAAACAACCGTTCTTTTCAAAATTCTGAAATTAAATATTATTTTCGAAGCTTTGATAAAAATTTAAAAGAGCAACCTTCATTTTATCCCAAACATATTCTGTGTTTTGAACCTTAAAAAACCCCAATACTGCGGGAACACGATTTTTTTTGGGAGGGGGGGGGGGTGAATTTTGAAAAAATATAATCCCCTTTTTATTTTAGTTCTATCAATGATCGAACAGGAAGGAGGATTCACAGCGTTAAACTTCTTTACAGTGGACAAATCAACCTTTATGAGTATTGTTAGTAACGCAATTGCATATCTTGTAATAATACTGCAGTTCTAATTGCATATCTTGTAATAATGCTGCAGTTCTAATTGCATATCTTGTAATAATGCTGCAGTAACATCTCATAATGATATTTCAGTTCTAATTGCACAACTTAAAATAATACTACAGTTTTAAAAACATAACATTGTTAATTTTAATTGCTTATCGTATACTAATCATGCCGGTGGTGAAAAAATCGACATTTTATTCATTAATATATTTGTTGATAATATTGATATTTATACTTTCACTTAATCTTCTTGATGTAACTTAAAAATTGACAACGACGGGCTAGATTTCAAAATTTAGATGTTTAAATAGTTTCAGTTTTATTCAATACCCGATTAGAACACTTTTTATGTTGTAACACAAACGATTATTTCAAGTAGAAGTTGTATATTTATATATAAATTCACCTTATAAACTTAACACAGCCATTTTCAGTTCTAGAATCAGACAAAGCAATCCAGGCAGTCACGAGCTTAGTCTCAGGACCTTTAACACAAAAAAATAAATTGCAAAATAAAAACGAATAAAAATGGCACCGGAAGACAATAGAAATTTTTCTACATCAAACGATACACATCCTTATATCCCCATCAATCTTAAAAGGAATTTAAAGGTTATAAATAAAGCTTTTAGAGCCAGATTTAATGAATAGCAAGAAACTATGTATTGTAAATGTACTTGAGCCAAATCTCTTTTGAGCCGGTTCAAGTTGATGAGAGCCGGGTCAACTAAGTCTACGTGGTGTAACTACGTCTTACAGTTTATTAGATCTGGTCTAAGGACGGAGATTAGGAAAATATGTTGAATTATTTACCTAGATGCGCATATGCCTCGTCCTGGTGCCAACCAAAGCATTCACTACTTCTCTTTGGTTTAACAGTTAGATCTGAACTCCAGATTAATATATCACTTGTATTCAACACCTAACATAAAATGCTAATTTTAGTCATAAAAAAATGGGCTTAGAAAATACGAGACAAGTCTTTCTCAAAATTCGTGCTCCTTCCTCTGTTTGGTTAGCCCGATAATCCCTGGATCCGTGGGTTAAACTTCATGAGGACGACGACTTTTGCTGCAGGGTTCCACGCTCTCTCTCTCCTCTTCCTGTGTACTGTACTGCACCTTTTGCGCAGCTGGTTTTGACACGTCATTACAGCCTGTTTAGTGTTCACTCTTCAGTCTTCTACCTTTCTTTGCTTCACTTAGTTCTTTTATCCCTCCTTCCCTCCCATCATAACTTCTTTGTTTCTGGTGATAATATTTCTGTGTTATGGTTTACGGTTACGGTTTTACCCTGTTACTATTGTTTTACTATGGGTTTATTTATGGTTCTCCGTTTCCGTATTTCCATAGAACTGTACCTGAGTTTTATATTACACTACCGTGTGTTATTCGCAAACCCCCGGCTTGGTTTTGGTTCGCTTTATCCGACTGACCGAGTTTCCTGTTTACCCCTCTCTTCCCTGTATTTAGGTGATCTGTTCTCTTCCTGTTCTTTCTAGTTTCTCCTATGGCGTGGATTGCTAGCTCGGTAGTTCGTGTTCATTTAATAAACGAGGACAAATTACCTTGAAAACTTTTTCAAACGGGAGTTTTTCTTATGGGAATATAAACCCTTGGTTATTTGAAAAGCATAAGAATAAAAAGAAAAGTCTGAACAGATCCCCGAAATGGAATCCCCAGATTGCCATTGGAAGAGAGGCCATATTTCCTTCATCATAATCTTTATTGTTTTATTATTTTTAATGTTTGATAAGGTTACCTGAGAAACTGCCTGAATAAGCCTAGGATGCCTGACAAGGTCTGCAGCCCACTTTGCTACCATATGAAGCCGAAATATCCGGTTTCCACGAATTCTTTTGATCCCATCCTTGCCTAATAACACTAAAACACTGTTAAAACGATAAAGTTACGAGAGATTTTAAAAGACCCAATTAATGTCCCAATTCCAATGGTGGTAGTTTTTGGTGACCCCAAATATAAAAAATGAAATAAAATAGAGACGTGCCCGATTCACAACGGTAAATCTAAAACCATTGTCTAATATCTAATTATAATGTGGAAGATATTGTCAGTTTTCTAGGTTGGAACAGTGTTTAATTCGAATAATGCCCATAGGTTTTCTTGCAATAAAAACGCGTAAGTCACTTTGGGCATATAATTCAACGCTTTTAAGGGTACCATAATAAATTCATGTCTTGTGCGATATAATTTTCGATTTAAACAAAAACAAAAATGTCAGCGATTCTTAAATTCTGGGTAGAACGATAACCAAGAACAAAGCTAATTAATAATAATAAAACTAGAATATTTTACTAACCTTGTGATCCATAGCGTCGTAGATATTCTTTATATTTATTCATATAATACTCTGTTTCTGCTGAATCAAGAACTTGGACGGGGAAAATAAATCCATTTTTCAGGAAGGATTCCCGACTATCACAATGCATTTCTGAAAAAACAAATTTAAAAAAAAATGAACGGCAGTGATATTTGAGCATTTTCAAAAAGTAAACCATTTACAGTTATATAGCACAAAAATACAGTTCAGAAAAAAAAGACACTAAAAATGCTTTTATATTGAGAATACAATATTATGGTAACTTTCACACATCTCACAAACAGAGAGTTCCGTAGAATCATGATCTGCGGCGAGTTCTGTCATGGATTGATTTGAGCTAAAGAGAGAGATTTATGGTGCTGCGGCTGCGAGGGGGTTCTTAAGAACAAGGATAACGGAGTCTCCGCGCAGGAACATCTTGGCGATAAACCTGTCCTTGTTCACGGGTTTACCCTTCTTCTGTCCCTTTCCGGTCTTTGGCATCTCAGTCCACATCTCTTTAACCTGGTCCAACACAAATGAAACTTGATGTAAAACTTTTAAGCAATATGCAACTTTTGGAAATAATTTTCCTTTCTGCTCAAATAATTAAAGATCAGAAATAATGATTTATCTATTTATATAAAGTAGAAATCTCTGTTTATTTATACGAACTCGGAAAAAATACAAGAGAGTCTCCAATTTGGTTTAAAAATTAATTTTAGTGGGTTGGTTTTAAACGAGAAAGTTTGGTTTCCAATGCTGGCTTCCAAAGTTGTTTAAGAATAAAGTTGTTTCCAGACAATGCTGGGTTCCAAAGTTGTTAATGGATAAAGTTATCATTTCCTGTTCTAGAACCATGTTGCAATGCCTGTCAAAAGCCTTCACTCGGCCCAACAGCTTCTTGTTGTTTCTACAGTTGATCAAAACCTGGGAAAAAATAAAAAAAAATTTTCTTTATCTTTGAGTCATAACTTTTTTAAAGCCCTAGAAACAACTCATCAATCACGTTAGCCAAAAGTTATTATTAATCGGAATTTAGACTTAATTATACCTTAGCAATTCAATGTTCAGACAAAAGTTATAAAAGTGAACACATCACAGCGAGAAAACAGCAGTTTCCTACAGAATGCTCTTATGCATATTCTGAACAGAGGGGGGGGNAATCAGCCAGGCCTTCTCACATGGGGAGGGTTTATATGAGTTTAATGTTTGATGAAGCTTTCCATGTGATATGCAGGCTTAATTTTGTACAAGAAGGGGGAAAGGGGGAATAGGAAAGGAAAGCAGATCGGAAAGGGGATGGGTAAGGAAATGGGGGGAAGAGAAAGGGAATGGGAAAGGGAATAAAGGTAAGTGAAGGGGTAGGGAATGGGAAAGAGAAAGGGGAAATTGATAGGGGAACTTAGACTTGTCAAAATGAACTGTGATCCTACTGTTTTGATAACTACCTTTCGACTTGTGTTAACGACAACATGCACACGTACCTGAGTGTTGTTCTTTACACTGTCTGTGAGAACACGAAGTGGTCCCGTGTTAAACTCCTCCTGCTCCCTCGCCTCCATCTCCTCGGGGGTCATCTCTACCTTACTCATCTTCAATATATGCTACAGATAGTTCTGAAACAATATTTCACTTTATTTGACATGTTTCACGTTTAACAATCGTAGAAATAAATTCGCACAAGACTTGTGTCGTCATAAATCTATATTTAAAATAATATAGCCTTTACGCAAATTCAAAATTTGGGTCTGTCCTAGTGAACGATTTTTGGGGGGGCCCCCTCCTATCAATTTTGTACATGACCATTTATTTTTCACCAAATTTATTATTATTTATTTTTGTTATTTAGGGTTAGGTTAGGTTAGGACACTTTCTGGGCCGAGCGCTGCGGCTAGGAAGGGCTAGGGGGCCGAGCGCTGCGGCCACGGGTTAGGTTAGTTAAGACACTTTCCTCCTATCAATTTTGTACATTGGTTTGACAGAAAGTATCTTAACTTAACCTAACCCGTGGCCGCAGCGCTCGGCCCCCTAGCCTGTCCTAGCCGCAGCGCTCGGCCCAGAAAGTGTCTTAACCTAACCTAACCCTAAATAACAAAAAAATAAATAATAAATTTGCTGAAAAATAAATGGTCATGTACAAAATTGATAGGAGGGGGGGGGGTCCAAAAATCGTATACTAGGACAGACCCAAAAATCGTTCTCTAGAAAATTACCCAGAAATATCGTCAAATTGGCGAAAATTCGTCTGAAATTGTGACGACACGTGTGTTTTCATTCAAAAATTATAACACATCTGTGATATTGATGCGGCATTCAGTCCGCGCTAATCAAAATATTGGGAGATTGCAACAATGATTTAAAAAACGCAACAATTTCAGCAACAAGAATTAATTAATGTAGCAGTTAAATAATTTTAACGGCTCTCTGCATACTCCTCCTATATTTCTTCCCTCACCCTTCCATACTCCATTCTCCTCCCCTTCTCCCTCCTCTCTTCATACTTCTTAACTCCTACTGTGTCCCTATCCAGTTTCCATACCCCACCCCCCGGCCTTATTCCCTCCATACTCCTATACCCTTCTCCCTCCATATTTCTCCCCTCTACCTCCATGCTTCTTTCCTCCACACTCCATGTCCATAGTCCTCTTCTCCTTCTTCCATACTTCTCCCCTCCTCCCTACTCCTCCCCTCCTCCCTCCAAACTCCTCACCCCGGTTCCTGTAACATATTTATCCCTCCATACTCCTCCCCTCATCCCTCCATTCTCTACCGTCCTCCCTTAATACTCCTTTCCTCCTCCCTTTATATACTCATCCCCCCTATACGTATTCCCCTCCTCTCTCCATCCTCCTCCCTCCATACTATACCGTCTTCCCTCAATACTCCTCCCCTCATCCCTCCAATCTCCTTCCCAAAGTTATCCAAGGTTGCAAGCTCTCAAACAAAAAGCAATCATAATTTTTCTAATTACTTCTTAAACGCTAAAGATATAAACAAGTGCTTCACTGTTCCATTTTTTAAAGGTTCAGGGCTATCAAAAAAGTATACGTGAGTTACTTAGGTAAAGTCGAAGTGGACCCAGTCTTGAACATTGATTCAACTATTCAGCAGTCATGATAATATTTGACTTGTCAGGGGCGGATACAGGGGGGCGGCAGGACCTTCGCAACCCCCTGAGGTTTAACGAGGCAAAAAATGTTTCCAATTTGATACATAGTATGTGTATGACTTTTTCAAGTTATTTGATTTTTTAATGGGATTATAATGTTTATTGAATTATTGAATCATTAAATTACTTTTCAAATTTGTGATTTTTTTCAGAAGAAAATAAAATTGTGCTTAGCATTTTGATGTTTTTGATTCTATTTTTGGAATTATTTGTTCCTTTTTCTCAATAGCACTTTAAGGGGCAGAAAACCTGGTACAAAACAGGAAAAATATCTATCTTAATAAACTATAATGTGTGATAAGTTAAAAATTTAGTTTTTTAGTCTTTAATCATTAATTTTGACTTTTTTTAAGTCTTTTCAAGTCAAAAAAAAAATGTTCACCTGTGGCGGTTCTTTTGCTTCCTAAATCAAGATAATTAATTTTTTTGTTCCAAAATAAATATAGCACCCCGTCCCCCCTTACCCCTGTGCCTTGTTTCCAAATTACCCTTTCTTTCAATTTGGTGTGTAAAATTTATTAAAAATATTGGTTCGTAGAACCATGTTTGTTCATGTTCAATTAAATGTATAAAGTTTAAGCCGCCCATTCTATGGATCAATTAACTAAATACTTTAATTTTCCGATAGTTACTGTAAACCAACCTTTTACAATGCAAACAAAGTTATATATTTTTTAATAGAGTTTAGTAATAGAGTATAGGAATAGATTACCACAAGATGTTAAATCCGCCAAAAATATTAATGTATTCTGCAAAAACAAGTATGACCACTACATTAGATTCACAATGATCACTGGGATACATTCACAAATCTAGAAGATACCATTCTTCCAGCAGATGATCATTAGTTCCTGAAAAAATCCTCTACATATTCCTAGATGGAACACTGAGTATCAACACACAAGTATCAAGTAAGTAACACAATAATTGACCTTCTACGTTGCTGTCTTTTTTCTTTTCAAATTTAGCCATCAATATGTCTTGCTGTTCAAATGATAAATGCGTTTATAAAATATAATTCCAATCCAACCGTTGTTACATCCTATGGATGATATTGGCACTTTTGCTGCTCCGACTCTAATGATTATGTCCAATCAATAGACTGCTGCAAAGACTGTTGGTTTATACGTTTAGAAAACAGTTACTTCTTGAAATACCTGATAATCAGCCAGGCCTTCTCACATGGGGAGGGTTTATATGAGTTTAATGTTTGATGAAGCTTTCCATGTGATATGCAGGCTTAATTTTGTACAAGAAGGGGGAAAGGGGGAATAGGAAAGGAAAGCAGATCGGAAAGGGGATGGGTAAGGAAATGGGGGGAAGAGAAAGGGAATGGGAAAGGGAATAAAGGTAAGTGAAGGGGTAGGGAATGGGAAAGAGAAAGGGGAAATTGATAGGGGAACACGGAGGAAAAGGGAAAGGTGAGGGGAAAGAGGAGGGGAAAGGAAAGGGGATGGGAAAGGTGAAAGAGGAAGGTTGAAAGGGAAAAGGGACGGGAAAGAGGCAGAGAAAGGCTAAGGGAAAGGGGAAATAGGATAGACGAAGGGAAGTGGGAAGGAAAATGGAAAGAGGAAAGAAAAAGAAAAGGGAAACGGAAGGTATACAGAGGAAAAGAAAACAGGAAGGGAAAGTGAGAAATGAGAAAAAGGAGGGGGGAAAGGGGAAAGGGGGAGGAAAAGACAAAGGGGATGGGATGAGAATAGGAAAGAGGAATAGGGAAGAGAAAGAAGAAAAAACGGGAAACGAGAACTTTGTATGCCCAATCATAACTCATGAGCCCCTTGGCTGATTAGCCTGACATTTTGATTGGGTAACTTGGAAGAAACAAGGAAATGCTCTAGCTTGGTTTTAAAGTTCTAATTTGATTAGGTTGACTTAAAAAAATACATATAGTTCTATAGGCAAAGCTTTGATAATATAAATTCAGAAAATACTTTTTACTTTACTGTTTATATCCCCCCCCNCCCTCAGCCTTATAAGGTGTATCACACTTTAAACTTAAAGTTCTCATGTTGTATTCTTGAACATTATTTATTTTAGCATAATTGGAAGGAATTGTTTAAATATGATAAATCACATTAATCTAATTCAAGGCCATAATTATGCATTCAATCTTTTCAACAATATAATTAATAGGCGCGGAAACAACTGCAAGGAATAAAATATTTCACGTTTTCGGATTTTGAAATGTGTTCTGATTTTTTATCTTATTTTGCATTCGAAAGATAAGAAAACTACATAATTTTGAGTATTTTTTTTTGTCGATTTTCAAGAAAATAAGATTTTTTTAGGTACTATAATTGTTGACTATTATATTTGATTTTAAAACTATACTGCATGCACCACCTAGCTGTCGTTTTTCTACATATAAGTTATAAGAAGATATAAATTTGTGGAAATCAAAATTATTAAAAATAAATTCCTTTAAAATTTCGAAAAAAATCAAAAAAAAAACTTTTAGAAAGTTTAACGCATTTATGTGAGATCAAAATTTATAGTTCCCTTTAACAGTGGTCGACTATAAATGGCTATTCTAGCTGAAAAGGCAAGGCCATGTTACATATTTTTTCCATCATTATATCCTTTATTTTTCCTTTTTTTGTATTGTCCTTAGTTCTCTGTCCAAATCCTGAGATCATCTATCATTCCTCCACATATATTTTCAATACCTCATCACATGTCACGATGTCCATATTTTATCTCATCCCAACTTATCCAAGGTTGGATGAGAATATGGATGAGATATGGGTGACTTTTTCAGAAGTTGGCAAATTATGAATAAAAGATAAGAAAATACAAGAAAAATCTGTTCTCTCCATTCCCCAGTTTCTTTGGAATAGGATATCTGTATCTAAAGACAATGGCTGAAAGAAAGAAAGAATTATGAATCTGTTTGATTTATAGGATATTTACAATCTTCAAGGTTTATCTATACAAGGTTGTATTTAATCATGAAACGCTTTAAAAAGGATGAAAATCACGACTTAACACCTTCCATGCCATTCAATCAACCCACCCACCCCCTCCTCCCTTAATACTCCTTTCCTCCTCCCTTTATATACTCATCCCCCCTATACGTATTCCCCTCCTCTCTCTTTGTGAGTATTGTTAGTAACGCAATTGCATATCTTGTAATAATACTGCAGTTCTAATTGCATATCTTGTAATAATGCTGCAGTTCTAATTGCATATCTACCCCTCCCCTTAGATCATATATACTATGAATCGGAAATCCATCCTCCAATTTGCTTCCGTCTCTGCAATTTTCTGTAATCTTTCAGTCTTCCTGTGTATTTACAATTGATCTGATCAATTATTGTCAATTATCTTGATCGAATATGAACGAAACTCTGTAATATTAACACCGACTCTCGCAGTGTTCAAATCTATGTATGTAGTACAGTGAATCCCAGATATATGAATACATAGACCGTCATAAGTTTTTTGATAATTCTAAAGAAACTTCTTTTTATTTTTAATTCAAGGTAAGATTTAAATGCAATTAATATATTAGTTTTAAACTCATTTTTCCGCGGCATTTGATCTTAAATATGTAATACGACATTATAAAAACTCTTGCTATGTATTCATATATCTGCGATTCACTGTATGTTTATATTTTCCTTGTTTGTAATCGATCCGATAAATCTCAAAACCGTTAAACCGATAGGACCCAAATGAGGCAAATGACCCCATGGAAGAGTTATAGCTGGTTGAAATTGAAAAATGGTCACAGGAAAAATTTTCCGATTTTCAAAATTATCTTAACATATCCACAAAAATGTTCGTTTATTGTATCTATTTAGATTTATATTTTATACATATATATCTATACAACAGATAAATAGGCATAGATTAATAACAATTCAGATAGAACACTAGATGTCGTCTTTTCAAGATTAAAGGTAATTTAGTTCACAATAACCGACCTGTTAAATTATTTCCCTAACGCAACTTCCCCAAAAGCAATTTCCCCATCAGCCGATTACCCCAACAATTTCCCCAATCACTAATTTTCTTAACAGAAGCTTCCCCAACAACAATTTCCCCATGCAGTAAAAATAGCAATTTTCCCAACAACAACTTCCCCAGGCAGCAAAATGTTAAATATTTCCGTTTTTAAACATTATTCTAATGACAATTTCTGGGCCGAGCACTGCAGCTATAATTGCAGATAGGGGGCCGAGTGCGCTGCGGCCTCTTAAATGTTGAATGTTGATTTTAGCTGATTATTTCACGCTTCTTCTTCAGGTTTTTTTTTAAACTTTTGCATAACTGTAATAGTCTGTTCTAGCCAAAGCACTTGCCCCCAAAGTAGTCTTTACCCCCTCCCCCCCCCAAAAAAAATAATGAGAATAGCACATTATTCAGCCCCCTAACCCATACTAACCCCCAGCGCTCGGCCCAGAAATGGTCTTAACCTAATTCAAAATAATGTGAGAGATGCTCGGCCAGATATTGAGAATTTGGTTATTTGGGATTTTGTAAAGTCTTTAAAAAAGTGTTTAAATATTTAACCCTATCCCTGCTGGGGTACTTGAAAACCAGGATACGCTGGGGGGGGGTCAATTTGCCCCCCCCCCCCCTCTAAATCCCATGTTTTATGTCCAAATATGACAAATGATACATCATTAGAAAGCTCTTGTGCTCTACTTTTAGAATCTGCAAAAAATTTGCAAATTTGCGAAAATTGAATTTTTTATCGCAAAATCCAGTTTTATAGTAAAAATGTTTGCAAAAAAAAATTTGTCCAAAAAATGACAAATTATACATTTTTGAAAAGCCCTTGACCATGCCATTTCAAATATGCAAAAATTTTTGCAAAATTTTAAATAACCTGATTTTTAATCAAGAAAAACTAAAAATGTGCAAATTTCCTTTGACAGGTTGTTTGCAAAAAATTTGCAATTTTTTTTCGCAAAACTTGTGCAATCCGTTTCCTTATGTCATAGGCTTTCCAAAAAGCTAAATTTTATCAAAATCTGATAAGTGAAAGTGGGTCAAAACAAAGATTTAGTTTGTTACAGGCAAAAGCAGTCATTCAGGCAGTGTGCCTGAGGACTCAGGCAGTTAGTATTAAAGCCCGGTTTTAGGCCTAAAGGGAGGGCTTTGGGTATGTTAGAAAAGTTAGAAAATTTCAACAGCCTCAGACTAATACTTTTTGAGTTATGTAAAAAAAACTACAGGGGGGGGTCACCCCCCCAGCGGGAATAGGGTTAATTAATTTATTTTAATTAAAGAGTTTTACTGCATTTGAAAAATCGTTGTTGGGGAAGTTTCTGTAGGGGAAATTAAGAATTTAACTGGTTGGGGCAGTTGCTGTTGGGCAAATTAGTGACCGGGGAAAGTTAGTATTTGGGAAATTAGCGGTTGGGGAAATTGCTGTGGAGAAGTTGTAACGGGGGAATTTGTGTCGGGGAAGTTGCGCTGGGGAAAAGACGAAACCCTATCTATCAGTATTGTTATTAATCTATGATACTAGGCTTCCACAGTTCATAGAGCCTTTCTCGCACTAGATTTAGCTTATATGGCCAATGTTTGTTTAACGGAAACCATGTTTCTTTTTTATCTTCCAAATTTTTAACAATGTAAAATTTCGAGTGGTTTCCTGTTTTATTGGTAGATTTCAAAAATGTTGTGGGGGCAAAGTTTAAAGATTTTGATCGGCTATAAATCTTCCCTTGCGGTTAATGTGAGTTCCCATAAAAAAAAATGGTCCCGAGAATTCCAACTGCAGTACGACATTTTTTAATAAAACAAACGAACAGACAAGTCAAATTTATTTGCAGGTTTACCCACAAATGATGATTGTGTAAAGACGACCTGATCTGATGATTCCAAGCTTAGGTTTGGGATTCTGCCTTGAATTTAGTGATTAAGAAAAGAAAAACAAATTTTCAGTTGCAGGAAATCATTGATATATTGAAACAAATCGTATAAATTCGTCGTCTCTGAAGTTTCATCCTTTGTGGGAAACTCTGTACAAGAACATATTTTTCATACAAGAATTCATAGTTGTGTTTAATCATATGGCCATTCAGGATTAAAATATTATTCAACAGCAAAATTGTTACTAGAATTAGAGGCTTGTCTATAATACTACGAATTTAAAAAGAGTGTAAACGATACCTGTTTATATAACGTTGAAGTTACCTGCTAGGTTTTATTGATATCTTGTAAATCATGTAGTATACTTTTATTCAAATAATCTTTTTTTCAGATTCCAAAATATATTTCAGGGATAGTATGATTAAGGTAAAGAGGGTAAATATAATATTAGTATTACTAGGTATCACAGTTGTAAATATTGAACTACAATTGATTAATGAAAATAAGATAGGATTTATTGGAAAAAATTGCAGTGTAATATCTTTGCCAATTAGAAAGTGGGTAGCGCAGTACAATATTTGGTAAATACAGCATTCATACAATTATTCAGACATACTTAGTACTAAAAAAATATTAAAATATTTATTCAAGAAATTAATCTTAATTTCAAATTTAAAAGTTTCCTCGAATGTTTGTCTAAAAACTATAGTTGATCGATTACAGCAGTTTATCTGTCTCAGATCAAGTTAACCGGCTTCATAAATCCAGAAAATATTTCTGATCACTTTTAAATCCAAAATAAATCAAGTACAACTTCTGATCAAACAGCTGATATTAGTACACAAATCACACAATCAACCCGCAGCCGACAAACATGACTCCTAAATCCTGTCCAACAGTCCAGAACAGCTGGCGAACAGCTAAAGCCGAAAAAAAGTAGCTGACAGAATCTCAAAAGCTGACACAGCTGCTGATTTGTTTTACAGAACAGCTGATAGCCTGATATACTCATAAAGCAGGTGGATAACAGCTGATCTACATCCTATGCATAGAGTACGAGGAGTTAGGGTTCAAGTTATTGAAGAACATGGACCGGGCAATTTGCATCTTCTTGGTGGTGCGGGAGGTTCGAATAACCTGAAAAATGTAAAAAAAAGCATTTTGTAAACAATGATTTATTTCTATTATAAAAGATGATCAACTTTAAAACTTCCTCTTCCAAAGTGTATGGTTGCAGGCTGCATTTTTTTTGTTCTCCAAAGTATTTTACTTACAGTCGTCGTTGCACAAATCAATACAATTAAGACGACTTTTGATTCCAATTTTGATTTATATCAAGCTCTTAAACAACATATGGATATAGAAGTCAAGAGAAGCTGTTAAATAAAAAAGCTTCTCTTTGATTACTTTTAAACTTGTAATTTGAAAAAAGTTTGTTAACAATCAAAACTTAAATAAAAAGTCGTCTTCGTTGTATTGATATGATCGCCTACCACTGTATCAAATATGAACCAAATTATATTTACCTGGAGGACCATCTCCTTACAGTCTAAACACACAGCTAGAGGAGATCCTTCAAGCTTCTCTCTCTCAATACTCCTGGAGGAGACCATACTCCATCTTCTACTCACCCTGGAAAAAGAATTAATTAGTTTAACAGTTCGGCTGACTAAAAACTCCTTTCAAACTCAAAACTCCTTTGCAATCCAATGGTGACCAAAACCTACTTTTATACTTAAAACCCCCTTTTTATCCAATGCTAATTAGACACTACTTAAATAATCAAACCCCATTTTCAAGTTGAAATCCATTGCCGACCAAAACTTACTTTAAAAATCAAAAACCCTTTGCAATTAATTGCCGGCCAAAAAATACTTTTATATATACCCAAAACCCCTTTGCAATGCAATGCTGACAAAAAAAAAACTACTTTTATTCTCAACCCCCCCCCCCTCCCCTGCAATCTATTGCTGACCAAAACCTAATAATTAAAAAACCCCTTGTAATCAATTACTGGCAAGAAACTATATTTTAACTCAACAGAAGTATGCAAAAGAAACTTAACTATTGTAAATAATAAAATATAAATATAAATACTGAATTGTTACTTTTTAGGTAGTGTATTATATTTATCATGTATAGGTGGCAGGCTGAACGGCTGGAATAAACTAGGGGTCAGGCTGGTCGGTGGCAGGCTGGTCATTCCACTGATAGTACTAATGCCTGCAATATAAACAATGGGGTTATTTTTGCTAGGCAAAAAGTAAGAAACCTGAAAAAATCGTTAAATTAGAAATATATTTTAAAAAAATTTTCTTGACAATTCGGTGTTTTTAATAATTCATTATTTGAAAGCCTTAATTGTAGTTCAAATAATTCATTATCTTAAATAACTCATAGTTTCAAATAATTCATTATATCAAAATTCATTGATTCATTTATCATTTCAAGCAATAAGTTTTTTAAATAAATCATCGTTACAAATTAATTGTTCGAAATAAATTAATTTTTACCGTCTTCTCTGAATAGAGAGTTATCTATTGAGTTTGAGCCGGACTGCTGGGTTAAACCTCCCTCACTGATTCGTCTTGTTGACCCCGGACTGCTGGGAGCTGACCCTGCACTGTTCATACCCCCTGAAAGAAAACAAATTGAAACAAATCTTTTATTTTGCAAAACTTACAAATTCACTAAAAATGTTTGCTGAACTGTCCTGGTACTGAAGGAACACCCAGGAACTGACCTGGTAGTGAAGGAACATCTAGAAACTGACCTAGTAGTGAAGGAACTCCTAGGAACTGACCTGGTAGTGAAGGAACACCTAGAAACTGACCTAGTAGTGAAGGAACTCCTAGGAACTGACCTGGTAGTGAAGGAACTAGAAACTGACCTAGTAGTGAAGGAACTCCTAGGAACTGACCTGGTAGTGAAGGAACACCTAGAAACTGACCTGGTAGTGAAGGAACTCCTAGGAACTGACCTGGTAGTGAAGGAACATCTAGAAACTGACCTAGTAGTGAAGGAACTCCTAGGAACTAACCTGGTAGTGAAGGAACTCCAAGTTTAAAAAGGGGAAGACGGTTTCCGTAGTTCAAACTTTGTTTTTGTTTTCCCCCTATATCCTGGGATGGGGAGAGGGCGTAGACTGGGGTTGCAGTAAAGTGTTCCACAGGTATATTCATCTAAATAATCATGTATTAATTAATTATTTTATTCAATATTGTAGAGTGAATTATGTATAGTTGAGAACTATAGACTTTTAATCATTTAACAAATTTAGACGGTATTACAAGTTGAATCAAATAATAGACCTCCTTCCCTCCTCTTTCATTATCAATGATCATTCTCTAATAATGAACAATTATTTTGAAAAGGCTGCTTCTATATTTCATTTTTTTTTGACAATATCCTTTCAGGTTTCAGGTTAAGCTTAAAGAGACTGTAGACATACTTCAAGTGACTTTCCATTTGTAGATTTACTTTCCCCATTAACAACAGTACCCTAAAAGCTTTGTCAAAATGAATGAGATATTTATCATTGTCTCTTGGAAAATTGATTATTTTCGATTGTGGTTTCTCTGTAAAGAGTCTTGTGCATTTATGTTTTAGAACCAATGTAGAACATTGTCAGAATTAAACACATTTCAGATAAATGCATTAGACATGTCGAAGGTCGCCTTTAACTATAATCCCTTTAACCGGATTGAAGAAAGATCCAAACACGAATATACTAAAATATGTTAATCCGGTTACATGCAGCTTAACTAATCCTAATTTTTGCATCGTGTGTACACTAGTAGCCTCAAGGTGTTGTATGTTTGTATTTGAAGTTCTTTGTAGGCTCATTACTGGACTTAGTACTTCAAAATTCAAACATTTTAAATCATTAATCCTTGGTCTGCACTTTATTCAGGGGTAGATAATAACAAGCTACAAAAGAAGAAAAAATAAAAGAAAAATAAGAAATATCTTTTAGTATCTTAAAAAGAATTTAAAAATTTCTATGAATTTAATATGAAACATATCCATCCCTGACCTATACTTCGAGATGAATGAAGTATCTAGGTGCGGTTTAAAGCTTGAAGATGAAAAGATGAATTTGTATGAATTATTATTTATTTAAATCTTGAATCTGTAGTATTTGTTTAGTCTAGAGAAGGTGGGCAGTTAAATAAATATTTATGTATTTCTAAAAAAGGGTTTAATAGATATAATATAAACCCACACGAAGTTTAATGGGAAAAAATTGTCAAAATCTTTTCTTAAAATACAACACTTTAAACAAGTGGACAAATGAAAGCGTTGGTAACATCTTTGCAAATTGACCTCCCCCCCCCCCAACGTCGAGTATCTTAGGGGGTCATGGGCCGGGGGTGACTGTTTTGTCACAATACTCCTATTAAAATGCATTCTTGGTGAGAATGGACAAAATCAATATATTCTGATAATCTTTTCATTTACAAACATTCTATTAATTGTAGCTTGTATTGATTTATAATGATTTCAATTTATAATTACTTATTATAGCTTTTTTTACACAAAATACAACGGATTCAGGATAATCTAGATATATAAATAGATTCTAACAACCATTAATTAAAGATGCAGGGGCGCCACAAGCCAGCCCAAGTATTGGGTTGGGCTCTGATTCGTGTAAATATAAAATATAAGAGTTTTCAAGGAAATTACCAGTTTTCCGTCGTATTACGATGACTTACGAGACTCAAGCGACCGAGTCTTATTTGACTCGAATATGAGGTTTATGGTGTAAACTCAAAATGCTTACCACCCCCCCCCCCCCCCCCCCCCCCCTCCCCTTGGGGGGGGGGGGGGGGGGGGGGGGGGGGGGGTTAAACCCACTCATATTCTCACAAGTAGAACGCTAAATGTATTCATGATCAGTATGCGTAAATGTATAGTTTGAAGATCTAATAGTTGAGAAAACACATTAAGATCTTGTCATCTCACGAAAACAATATTTTCTCTTTCTTTTGTTACGCACTAAACCTATAATAGCATTAACACGTACGTCCATATTTCGCAAAAACATTAACATTTTACAATTTTGCAGACAAGATATAGGTTCATATTTTGCAGATTGCACACTTGGAAACTCAGATTCCATTATTTTTTACACAACTAACTTGATTCCCCGTTTACAAATACTACTGCACAAATTAATAAAAAGATAGATTTGAAATCCCTTTATATAGAATATCAAATTTTTTCCCCATTAAGTTTTGTTGTAGATTGTAATAGCAACATTTTAAAATCAGTTAAATTTTTTCCCATCAACCATCCCCCCTCATGAAGTTTTGATCGCAAACTTTTTTATTGATTTTTTTATTTTTGATTCATAATTAAGTTAGGGTTAATATAATACCCCTTCAAAACTAATGGAGTATTTTAGTGAACCTAGACTAAACAATTTTTTCTTCATCAAAAGTATTTTCTAACTCAAAGTAACCTGCAAAATCATTAATGCTCTGTTTCGTTTGATTTAGTGTTGAAATCCATTTTCGCGTCAAAATGTTATTTTTGATTATAAAGTGTAATATTCATAATTCAAGATCTTTTGGTAAACCCCGTGTCATTCCTAAAAAAGTAATGAATCCCTTTTACACAATTACCTTGGTGTGACACTTGGCACAGACCATCTGTTTGCACATGTCGCACTTCTGCCCCCTGGAGAACAGGCCGAACCTGGTCTTCATGCAAAGGAAGCAGACCTTACCCCGTCCTACATTCTCCTTCACCGATCCATCCAGGGGTAGGCCCTGAATACAAAACGTAAAAAAAAAACATTACAAAGTGTTCCAAAATAAAAACATTTTTGGCATTTTTATATTTGCTTTACTTTTTTTCGAAAACGCATAGAGTTGGGAAAAGTCGGAAAAAATCCGATTATTACCCAGATCGCGAACTTAATTGAGATGAATATCATAGCTGCCAAAAGATAATTTAATCTATATTAAATGCATAAAGATTATAAAAGGGTGTGTATAATGTGCAATAAAATTAGGCTAAATCTCTAGATAAACACCCTCTATCAGCCCACGCTAAACCCAATATTCAAGTTTCTTTTAAGTAGAAATAAAACTGGTTCAGTTTAGATAAAACTGAGAAAGGTGCGAGTCTTTTTAATGTCATGCTTCATAACTAATAGCTGTCATAACAGACAGGAGAATAGCTGTTACATAACAGCTACCAAATTCTGATTATAGCAATTTAAAAATAAAAAAAGATAAAAATTTGTAACAGCTGTTTGGGTACAAAACAGTTTTTAAAGTTAAACTTTCGTTTAAAATTGATGTAAAAATTTCACGTCAAGATCTGATTTAACGGCTATCAATTTTGTTATATATTTGTCAAAACTACATATATAACATCTTTTGAACCAGCTTTGTTATTCTTAAGGCGGTTATGAACAGACGTGGATCGCATTTTCCTTAAAATAAGCGCATAACAGCTATCATTCTCAACCTAGCTGTCACATAACAGCTATCATTCTCAACCTAGCTGTCACATAACAGCTATCATTCAAACCTAGCTGTCACATAACAGCTATCATTCTCATAACAGCTATCATTCTCAACCTAGCTGTCACATAATAGCTATCATTCTCAACCTAGCTGTCACATAACAGCTATCATTCTCAACCTAGCTGTCACATAACAGTCATTAGAGTTGTTTTAGTTTCCCATAGCATTAAGGATTTGATTTCACTATTTTGTTTTGTCACGTTTTCATGAAGTTGGCTGAGAAACTTTATTTCACCAATTCAAAAATAGTTCTTCACACACTTCATTGGATTGGATTGGTGGGGGGGAGATGAAATCAGAGGAAGGGGGGATGTGGACACTGTTAAGAGAAACAATGCAACTATAGTCAAGTAAGAAAAACAAGAAAAGTGAAAGTGTAATTTTAAAATAGCCTTCAATATAAATCTTATTATAATAATTCACGTTTTTCATTAATTCTTTTGTTTATGCATTATACAATCCGAAGTTCGTACTGCCACAGAATTTCGTCTGGAAAGGTTTGGTTAGGCTTAGGACTACCAACCCTGGTTGATCAAGAACTTCAGCTCCTTGATACTTCTAAGACCGGACCAGCGACAAAAACCCCAGCTATCTCAAATAAACCACTTCTATCCAGGATAATTCAACTTGGAAGTATGATAATTTCTTTATTTAATAAAAACTTGCGCTTGCAATTTGTTCTTTTTTGAGTTTAGAAAATATTTACAAATAATGCCTTTTTCCAATCAAGATTAAATAATTTCAAATTAAAAGGCATAGTTTAAAAGTTTACAACATTCTCTACAATTAATTATGATATTGAAGACGAAAATACTGAGATTATGACATTTATTGCATCTGTTATATAAAGAGAAGACTGGAGAAATCTTGACAGATGATGATCAAACATGATAACTTGAAATATAGCCCCCCCCTTCCTACCCCTTCCTAAACACAAACCATATGATGGGGGGGGGGGTTAGAGATATTTTCCATCTTGACAGAAAAATACTACATAATGAACAATGTACATACATTGAACATACAAAAATCGATGAATTGATGAATTAAAGAATCAATGGTTTAATGGTTTAAGAAATTTCTCCTTGTTTCGTAATCAATCCATGAACAATAAAAGAGTAGGGAGGGATAGAGAGCTGATTAGTAACGTATTTCTTTCAAGCTGTTTATATTGCATTTTTACAGAGAAAATCCGCTGCCTTTATTGTCTTTTTGATAATCAAAGACAAAAGATAAAAGTTAATTTAAAAGAAACATTTTGAAGATTTAAATACATAATTCTCATAAAATATTAAAGTCTAACATATACCTTTTGTTATAATGTACAGTTAAGATATGATCTCATTGTTAAGTTGTTAAGTTTAAGATTGTAAAGATTTGATAGTTCATGAACAATTTACATTTTTTATAGATAAAGGAGTATTTTTATATATTACCGTTACAACACCTTTCAACATTGACAGGAATCAATGTCTGCATGGAGATTCAGGCCAGGGGGGATTGAAATATAAGGAAGCATAAATGGGTTAATTGAAATATAAGGAAGCATAAATGGGTTAGTTGAAATAATTGTATTTGAAACGTTATACAATTTCAGCAAAAAAGTTACACATGGATTTTACAGAAAAGGACAGTGTGAAAGATCTTACATTGTATGTTTGTACAAAGTACATATAATATACATATTCCAGTATTCATAAATAAGGGAGTTAAAGAAAAAAAGGATGATAGTGAACAGTTAAAAGTTTCAGTTCAACAGTTAGCCCAAGCTCCTCTGACGGGAGAAAACGGAAATTTGCAGGGCAAAAATTGGGACAATTACGACAATTTTCCAAAAACAAATACAGAATTGTAAATCTACCACAAGCTCTGCTTTGGTTAGGACAGATCTGATATGTGCGACCTCTTCTAGAGAGAGGTTTAGAAACATATATAGAATTATAAACCTACCTCAAGCTCTGCTTTGGTTAGGACAGATCTGATATGTGCGACCTCTTCTAGAGAGAGGTTTAGAGTCTGTAGAGCTCTCTGCCATTCAGGACTATTATACTCCTCCTGCAGGTTAGCGTACATCTGGCTTGTGTTCAATCTGTACACAGGGCTACTCTCATACCTAGACAGTACAGTACATAAATACATAAACAACGGGCTCCTTTCATACATAGACAGTACAGTACATAAATAAATGTACACTACTCTCATACCTAGACAGTACAGTACATAAATAAATGTACACTACTTTCATGCCTAGACAGTACAATACATAAATACATGTACACTACTCTGTTACCTAGACAGTTCAATGCATAAATACATGTACATCAATGTACTCTTACCCGGCCATAAATGGAAGTACAGAATGCACACTCAGAAAGTCCATATATTTGTCTGCGTATCATGACTTTAATCTTACTTGCCTTCCCCCCCCCGCATTTTTTCTTTTTTCCATTTCTCTTTCCCTATTTTCCCATTTTTCTATTTTCCCATTTACCACTTTTTCACATTTAGCTCTCTCTCATTCAACTGCGTGTTTTCTCTTGTGCTCTATTTCCTTATATCCTCCTTACTTTTTTTTCTTTAACCTTGCCCCTCATTAATACCTTCTTCTATTTCAATCTTCCCCTCCTTTCAGACAATTCCATTTCCACCTAAATATTTTTCTCAAAAAAAAGGGTCCTTCACTTACTGACTATTATCATTGGAACTGGACATAGAGTTCTTCGGAGAGGGTTTCCCGGAGCTGCAAGGAGTACCAGAGCTAGAACTAGACCCGGAGCTGGAACTAGAACCGGATTGTTTTCTCCTGAATTCAACCATACACATTAATAAGGCAGTAAAGATGTTTAGATAAACTGTATTTGTGTGCAAGGTTAGTTCAAATCAATGAAATTGGTTAATAATTAAAAACTTAATTAAAGCAGAAAACAAATTGCAAGAACCCATTAATGACCCACCCAGGATCCCCAGGATAAAACTAAAAAATACAACTATCTAATGATGATGAAATTAATATTCCTATAAAGTAAATCAAATTTTTTACTCGTTAAACATGGAAAAGGACTGATATAATTCATACAGTTTGTTTGTGTATGTTTGCCTGTATGTATTCTCGCAGTTTGAAATAGAATGTCGTCTTTCCACCCTCTCAGTACTCCTCTGAGCCAGATCTTTCACAACTGAAAAAAAAATATTTTGACAAAAATTCTATATGGTTGAATTCTAATCAATATTGATTACATAGTTTGTAATTAGAAAGCAAGAATATTAAATATCATAATATGCCATTTGCCAATGGGGCATTGAGGTTGTATCACTTTTATAGCCAATCTTATCATTTCCTTTGGTCTTTGTCTTATACTTCACACTTCGTTTGCCTTCATATATTATGCTTTGAAAGTCGTTCAAATCAGTCTCTTTGTCCAAAATGAAACTTTCTTGGTTCTTTATGTTACTTCCTTTTTAATCATATTGTCAGTTTATTTGTACTTTTGTTCCTTCCTGTGTACTTATGTTCCTTCCTTTGTACTTAACTAATGTCACTTCTTTTTACTTATGTAACTTTCTTCACCCTGAAGATTGACAATCACTTCTTTAATCCGTTAGTTCCATCGTCCTTTATATTGTTTCCTTCACTTTATTTCCTGTAANTTTTTCTTTTTAGATCTAGTAATTGTTTATTTATATAAACTATCGTGTGAGAAGACAGTTTGATTTATTGTTGAGAATATGAATTTGACCAGGAATTCATGAGTTTAAAACCTGGATAAAAAATCAATTATTTTCATGTTTAATAAAAACAATGCAAATTATTCCATCATTTAGATTAATTTCCGACAGTTTAAAAAATTTACAACATATGCACTGATAAGAAATTCTGGGCCTTGAAGACGCATGAAAATATTTTAGGATCTCCTATAAAAAAGTAGTTTTATATAAAACAAATTAGACGAAATAAGAAACAAAAGTTGAAGCAGTTAAAACATTAAGATGGTCTTTTAAAAAAAATCTGTCCGACGACATTGGGAAAAAGAACATTTGGCGGATTTTTACACTCAGCAGCTTAACGTTTTTTTAGACTAGCTTGGGAACCCAGCATTTCCCTAGTTACTCATAGTTTCTCCCGCCGTTTACCCACACTAGGTCGATTTTACCGCGAAACTAAACGTTTGCTAAGTCGATCCACTCAACACTTAAAACCAAGCTAAAAACATTACCGTGGTTCTCCCGAGTTCCCCTATCAAATTAAAGCAAATTGGTGAAGGGGTTCCTGAGTTATGATCGGACATCCTAACAGACAGACAAACAGAGATTATTACTTTGAACTATTTTTAGAAGAGTCATCCATATATTACCAATGTGGATTGAATGAGCAATGAAACACCAATTCCAAAAAAATCAACAAAAAAACCTTTCCATATTGCATTGTTTAAAAGATGAACAAAGACGTGTCTAAGATTATCGATATAAATTCAAAGTCCAGTGCTGACATCAGAATTTCAGAAATTTCAGCACTCCAGTATCGATACAAAGAGAGTAAAAACCTGATATTGGCTCGTGCAATTTATTCCTTTGCATGCACTGTGCGTGGGGGCGCGTACCAATCTTCATAATAATTAAATATAGATTTTACATGAAATCTAAGCCAAGAGAGGGAGAAGGAGTTAACAAACAAGTAATTAAATATTTGCAGACACATTTTAATACTTGTTCCCTCCCCCACTGAACTAATTGGCCCCCTTGCCCTCCCCACCATTGGAATACTTCAAATTGACCACCTTGCCTCCCCTTCCTTTCCCTTATAATACTTCTAATAGACCACCTTTCCCTCCCCACCTTAGAACACTTCTAATTGACCACCTTGCCTCCCCACCTTAGAAAACTTCTAATAGACCCCCTTGCCCTCCCCACCTTAGAAAACTTTTAATAGACCCACCTTGCCTCCCCTTCCTTATTGTACTTCTAATAGACCCACCTTGCCTCCCCTTCCTTATTGTACTTCTAATTGACCTACATTGCCTCCCCTTCCTTATTGTACTTCTAATAGACCCACCTTGCCTCCCTTCCTTATTGTACTTCTAATTGACCCACCTTGCCTCCTCTTCCTTATTGTACTTCTAATTGACCCCCTTGCCCTCCCCACCATTGGAATACTTCAAATTGACCCACCTTGCCTTCCCTTATCTTATAATACTTCTATTTGACCCCCTTGCATCCATTCCCTGAGAATACTTCTAATTGATCCCATTCCCTCCCCACCCCCCTCATGATCTTCTTCTGATATTCCAACTGCATTGTCTAAATACCTTAAACGTTACGGGCATTTAAATTGATAATCCATTGTTTAACTTAAGTTTATTGTTTAATAGCCCTGAATTCGACGGCCTGATGCTCACTGCATGCCTAGGCCTAATCTTTTATTCAATTCATGATGAGAATTTACTTAATGAATAATTTGTAGGTTTTTACTTCCAAAGAAACAAACCGTGTTTTTAATTAAAACATTATATTCGTTAAAAATTTTCAATTTCTTTGCTTTATCCAAATCTGTTTTCTACACTGTTCATCTCAAATCAATTTTAAAAATTTCACTTATAAGTTAAAATTGCACAAAAGAACGAGATATAATATCACCGTATTAGCAAGAATTTTTGAATTCACAAATCTAAAAAATCCGGGAAAGAATTGAATAAAATAAAGATATCAAATTAAATCAATTTGAACTATAAGGTTTGTTGCCAATCCTAATTAACTATAATTGGGTTTAACTCTGGGTGAGAATTTATGATAAATTTTTCAGTACAGGTTTATAAAAGGAATGAGACTACGACATTACATTACATTATATTTGTCCTTAAATACATAAATTCAGAGAAACACACTGGCATACTTCCAATCCAACATAAAATATCAAGATGCAAAAAATCAAAACTAGTTCTCACGGTTCTCTAGTTTTATGTTTTAATTTACAGCTAAATCTCTGCTATAAATGTTATGAAGGACTATATGCGTTATTTGATTTTTCTTTTTAGATCTAGTAATTGTTTATTTATATGTGTATTATCACGAGTGAAGAGCATGTTCATTGTTCAACCAGACAAGGAGCATGTTCATTTTTCAACCAGACAAGGAGCATGTTCATTGTTCAACCAGACTGAGGAGCATGTTCATTGTTCAACCAGACAAGGGGAATGTTCATTGTCCAATCAGACTGAGGAACATGTTTATTGTTCAACCAGACAAGGAGCATGTTCATTGTTCAACCAGAAGACTAATGGACATATTCGTTGTTAAACTGCATACTTAGGAACATATTCATGTTTGCAATCACACTAAGGAATATGTTCATTGTTCAACCAGACTATGGAACCTGTTCTATCAGACTTAGGATATGTTCAACCAGACTATAAAGATCATGCTCCACCAGACTATAAAAAGCCAGACCAAGTATTTATCTAAATTTACTTTGCATGTTTAAGTCTGTCTGTTTGTAAACTTTGTATCCATAAACATCAAAAGGGTTGAACCGATCGGGCCCAAATATTTAAGGAAAGTCAAATTAAAAAAAATATTGTCTAGAAAAAATGTCGACATTTATTATTTTTGAAAATGCAAGAATTTATTTCGAAAAATCCACAAAAAAAATAGTTCTTTTTAGAACGGAGAAGAAATGAGTTAAAAGTTAAAATTGTTACTAGAAAAAGGCGCAATTAGTCTCAACAAAGGAAAAACGAGATTCCTAAATAATCGGGATGGTTCCTAGCTTGGCGGAGGGGGGGATAGATAAAACTCCTATTATTGAGGGTTAGGTTAGGTTAAGACTATTTCTGGGCCGAGCGCTGAATTATCATAAAAGGAGAAAGAAAAGAGATTTAATTTGCAAGAAAAGGAAGGATTATTTAACATGGCAAAGAAAAATAGGTATTAAGAATGAAAATAGAAGAAGGAAGAGGGAGATTAAAAATTGAAAATAAGGGAGGGGGAAGAATAAGGGGAGAAGAAATGATGATAAGAGGGAGATATGAGGGGGAGAAGAGTGGACGGGAGTTGGTATTAAAGAAGAGGGCGTGGATTAACCTGTTTTCTGCCAGTCTGTTGGACTTGGAGCTTTCTCTTCATTCTCATCCTCCTCCTCACTCTCCAGGTCATCTTCGTCCTCCTTTAACAAAATACAGAAAAATTTTAAAGAAAAAAGAGTGATGAAGAATGAAAGGATGATTAAAAGTTTTAAAAATGTGCATGAGAACCATGTGATATGCAAATAATAAGAAATGAATGAATGCATAAATAAATTAATAGCTCTTTAAATACTTCAGGTCATATTAATGAAAAATGGATGGAAAATTATTTCCTAAGATATTTTTAATAGTTTCATGGAAAACTTATTTTTCCCTTTCAAATCATTCGTTTTCTTCAAAGAAGGAAATTCAAATCGAAAGATGGAGAAATTTATATTTTAAGGTGAAATATAACCCCCTGGAATAAATATTATTGAATTTAGAAATGATTTGCAATCGATCGTAAATAAATTTCTGAATGCAATGAATAAATCATTGTTTCTGTTTCTTGATATAAAACAGAAAATGAAATTTCGAAATAAATCCTAAAAGTATAGTGTATCATACTGTTTTCATGGTTTCACACAAGGTTAACAGAGACCAGAATTTTAGAGAACATAAACTTCACTTAAATACTAGAAAAACTCATCTTCAGATAAATAAACTATTTCAAGATGAACTGAACCTATCAGAAAACCTAAATCTATGTTCGAAAAAAAAATCGAAATATTTTGGAAAAAAAATGAATTAAGAATTGAAATATCCAACCAAACAAAAATACATAAGAAGCAAACTTAAGTCCAGTTGCAGAATTAAAATTTCAAGAGTAGACCAAGGAGACCAAGGGAAAAACAAAAAATGTAAAATCTATTCCGTTTTTCTCCTGAAATTTTCATAAATACAGCATCTTCTTCTGAATATTTGAGGGACTTCGGATTCAGGGGTGGGGGAGGGAGAGTTTATATGTATATTTTGACAAATTGTGACAGTGTTAATTAATGATTTAAATATAACCGTGTATACAAGATATATGTAAGTATATATACTAGAATACGCCTATATTTCTGCACTATACAACCATGAATGACCTTGAATATTTTTCTACCGCCCAATCTTGTGGCGGTGCAACAGAACCCCCATATAAGCCAGGAATAGGAAGTAAGATGTAGCTTCAAGAGTAAAGATTGATTTCGTAGTTAAAACAGGTCTATGTGTACTAAAGATGGGTTATGGAATTATTAGGAACTGAAGCACAGAGTTTGGTGAAGTTATGATTTGTTTAAAGTTGCTTCATTGGTCTTCTTAGGAGGTCTTCATACGCGGATACGTCATATGAAAATATAAGGTATGGAGGTTGTCTTTAACTGGTGTTTGGTTTGGAGATGGTATTAGATTAAAAATTAGTATGGAGAACTTTATAGTTTTAAAGATGCGGCATAGAGAAGGTCTTATATTAAAGTGTGTAAAGTCTTGGAGAAGGCCTGGTAGTCATGACAGGGTTTGGAGAAGGCCTAGTAATGATGATGAGGTATGGAGAAGATCTAGTAATGAAGATGAGGTATGGAGAAGGTCTAGTAATGAAGATTAGGTATGTAGAAGGTCTAGTAATGATGAGGTATGGAGAAGGCCTAGTAATGATGATGAGGTATGGAGAAGGTCTAGTAATGAAGATGACGTATGGCAAAGGTCTAGTAATAAAGATTAGGTACGGAGAAGGTCTAGTAATGATGATGAGGTATGGAGAAGGTCTAGTAATGATGAGGTATGGAGAAGGCCTAGTAATGATGATGAGGTATGTAGAAGGTCTAGTAATGAAGATTAGGTATAGAGAAGGTCTAGTAATGAAGATGAGGTATGGAGAAGGTCTAGTAATGATAATGAGGTATGGAGAAGGTTTAGTAATGAAGATTAGGTATAGAGAAGATCTAGTAATGATGATGAGTTATGGAGAAGGTCTAATAATGAAGATAACGTATGGAGAAGGTCTAGCAATGATGATGAGGTAAGGAGAAGGTCTGGAAATGAAGATGAAGTATGGAGAAGTTCTAGTAATGATGAGGTATGGAGAAGGCCTAGTAATGATGATGAGGTATGGAGAAGGTCTAGTAATGAAGATGACGTATGACAAAGGTCTAGTAATGAAGATTAGGTAAGGAGAAGGTCTAGTAATGATGATGAGGTATGGAGAAGGTCTAGTAATGATGAGGTATAGAGAAGATCTAGTAATGATGATGAGTTATGGAGAAGGTCTAGTAATGAAGATAACGTATGGAGAAGGTCTAGCAATGAAGATGAGGTATGGAGAAGGTCTGGAAATGAAGATGAAGTATGGAGAAGTTCTAGTAATGATGAGGTATGGAGAAGGCCTAGTAATGATGATGAGGTATGGAGAAGGTCTAGTAATAAAAATGAAGTTTGGAGAATATCTAGTAATGAAGATGAGGTATGGAGAAGGTCTAGTAATAAAGATGAGGTTTGGAGAAGGTGTAGAAATGAAGATAACGTATGGAGAAGGTGTAGCAATGAAGATGAAGTATGGAGAAGTTCTAGTACTGAACAGGTATGGAGAAGGCCTAGTAATGATGATGAGGTATAGCAAAGGTCTAGTAATGAAGATTAGGTATGGAGAAGGTCTAGTAATGATGAGATATGGAGAAGCTCTATTACTAAAGATGAGGTATGGAGAAGGTCTAGAACTGAAGATAATGTATAAAGAAGGTTAGATTGAAGTTTAATTATCTTGTAACATAATAAACCTAAATACAGGAAGTAGAATGAAGATTGTATACAACAATACTCTAATTATATTGTATACACTATATACTCATAGTTTACGCCAAGACATGATATAGGAAAATAATCCAAAGCTCAGAACTTTTGTGCTCGGGATCAAGCATTGATCTCCATCCTCTGCGGATTAGTTTAACTCCTCTTCGATATCCCTTCGGGGTCATAACTTTAGTTGTCAAGCATCTATCGTCCCCACAATGGATATTGAGATCAATCGTTCAAGATTAATTAAACGCCGCACAGAAGTTCCAACCTCTGTCCACTTTTCCTGGATTTATCAGACAGGATTAATCACTTTGAATTAATTTCATTCTCACTTTCATTGAACTGTCAATTTTCTCATATTTTTGGTTTTCTTTTACCACAAGGGATCAGTTTCAAACTTTGCAATGTATTTAATGATAAAAAAATTAGATCTGTAGGGTCTGAAGCCTCTGTCATCCGACTATGTACCCATAAAATCATATACTTTTCAATTTTGGCTTCTCCTTTAAAAGTAAATTGCGGTTTTCTGCTACCAAAGCAGATTGGAGGAAATTTTCAGAATTCTTTACCATTAGACAAAAAAACTACTGGAATGAAGGGGCCAGGAGTGGAGGTCTTCTCAAATTAAGCTGTTTGAAAATTCACAATTGTACAGACAGTGTAGAAACAGCTAGGATTGATGTTTTATTATAATCTAACGGTATTTTAAAAACTAAGAAAAACATTGAGGGCTCTATCTTTAACATTTTTTGCCATTTACTTAATATATTTTACAATATAATATCTTTTACACTTTTCTTTATCCTATCATATTCATTAAACAATTTTTTTTAATTCAACATGTATCATATATAGATCTAATTGAATAACGTTTGCACAATGGGTGCTGTAAAAAACCCAGCGGAATTCAATTTATTGTGCAATTAAATTGTACAACTGACTGAGACTTACTGAAACATATACTCTTAGATATTGCATGATCTAGTATTTGATCAACTTAATGGAATTTATACACTAAATGGTTTACTTTAAATCATGCAAAATATTGCGAGAAAAATCATGAATAGAATGAAATAAAAGTGTGCTTGTTTTTACTGCAAGATTCTAGTTCCACATTTTACGTTACAGGGTTGCCCACAAAAAAATGAGACTATAAAAATGACTGACAGCGGATACACTTTAAAAAATCACTTGAAAAATTAAAATATACCGTTGTGAATCCGACATGTTCTTCGCTCAATGAAGGGTACCTTTATATTACGTTCACAGTTGGCCTGGAAGTGTTGAAGAAGAAAAAAATGATATTTAAACAACTAAAATGAACTGAACACTGGGACATAATCTGAAACTATAATGAACAAAAATGATAATTTAGCCCGGTTTTATAGACTCCGCAATACCCCGTGCATGAAGAATGAGGTGGTCTGATAAAAGGGATGAGGGGAAATCCCGGAATTCCGGTTTACGCAACAAATTTCCGGATCATTCCATTTCCAAAATGGAAATTTTTTTCGGGAAAAATGGAAACCCTATGTGCAACACATTTATAAGAATAGGTAAAAAAGGTTTAAGATTTTCATTCCATGCAACTCATTGTATGTAGGTTAAATGAAAGGTTTGAAAGGTTATAAAATGAACAATGAAGAATGATGAGTCGGGTTCTCTATGAAGAATAAACCCATGACACAACTTGGATTTTTAATCAAGATTCATCATTCACATCGTGAAGATGTTGAAATTCTCAAGCTAAAGACATAAAAGTCATAATTCGTGCATAATACTCATAATACGCATCTTACATGCCTAATCTCCACGAATGCAGAAAGAGTATTNTACTGTACTGTAAAGTACTGTACTGTAAAGTACTGTACTGTAAAGTACTGTACTGTAAAGTACTGTACTGTAAAGTACTGTACTGTAAAGTACTGTACTGTAAAGTACTGTACTGTAAAGTACTGTACTGTAAAGTACTGTACTGTAAAGTACTGTACTGTAAAGTACTGTACTGTAAAGTACTGTACTGTAAAGTACTGTACTGTAAAGTACTGTACTGTAAAGTACTGTACTGTAAAGTACTGTACTGTAAAGTACTGTACTGTAAAGTACTGTACTGTAAAGTACTGTACTGTAAAGTACTGTACTGTAAAGTACTGTACTGTAAAGTACTGTACTGTAAAGTACTGTACTGTAAAGTACTGTACTGTAAAGTACTGTACTGTAAACTACTGTGCTCTAAAGTACTGTACTGTAAAGTGCTGCACGGTAAAGTATTGCGCTGTAAAGTACTGTACTGTAAAGTGCTGTACTGTAAAGTGTTGTACTGTACTGTTCTATGATGCACTGTACCGTACTGTCTGTTGTACTGTTCTAGAAATTCATTCACTAACCTCATCAAAATTTAGAAGTTGACTCATTGCTAGCAAATCTGGTTTTATCAATTTCCTACTCCCCTCTCTCGCGAGGGAACAAGGTCCCTCACCCTCCTCGTGATCCTCCGAACATACGGAGGCATTTCCTGAGTAATCTGCCTCCGAACTACCCGTGGTACTCCCGTCTGCCTCAGAACTGCCTGTATTGCTTTCTACCTCAAGTCCCTCAACTCCTTGGGACATTCCTGGAAAAAAAAGTTTAGATTATTTTTAAATCAATTTTAGTACCCGCCACAAACTCAAATTTTCAAATTTCGAATTTTTGAAAGTGGTGATAATATTTATATTTCAATATTTGACTATTTGGTTTAGGTTTGGAATATCAAAGGTTGACGACATCAGGCTGCAATGACATAAGATCGCAAGTTTTTGATGAGTTGCTGAAACACATCATACAACAATTAAATCATTCAAATCTCAGCTGGATGTTAACAATGATTAACATTTCTTAGTTGGGTTTAAAGCATATGCACATTGCGCAGTCTGGGGGGTTCATAACGGGACCTCTTTTTCAGATTTCTTTTCTTATAGTCTTAAGCCATCATAGCGTGAAAAATCAAGGCATTACAAATCTGCATTTTATTTTCAAATAATTAAAGTTAAAAAATTTAAAAATAACATTTGAAGATTTATCATTTATATTTCACGAACATCTTTTATTGAATGTTTTGAGGTTTCTGATAAAAATATCAAAAATTACTCCAATTAAAACATAAAGGAAAAAATTCAACATTCTTTAAAAAAAATAATATTAAAGCTGTTTAAATTGTCATAACATTTTAATTCGAAACAAAAATCTACTGAAACGGATGAAACAAAAATGTGTTAATCCTATTAATCACAACAAGCTCAAAATATATAAATGAAGGATACAATATCATATTGTATTGTCATATTCGTTATCTATTCAATCTTAGAAGCCCTAAAGGGGGGTGGGGAGGTTGGCCTAAATACATTCCTGTAAACGCCCCTGAGTCTCAGCATAAACTTTCGACCAGAGAAACTTGGCATGGTAGGATGAAAATTAGTCAACTCAATAACTTGGTTTAAAAACTCGTCTCGACTTGAATCAAATCCAAAATTGATGAATTCAATAACTCGTGATTGAAAGGTTTTTTTAATGCTGGGATTTAGATTGTATTAGGATGGAAAGATGGGATTTAGAAGGAATGATGGGATCTGGATGAAATGATGGAATATAAATGGATCTAGATGGAATGAATGGATCTGAATGGAATGATGGGATCTGGAAGGGATTGGAATGGTATTTGGATGAAATGAGAGGATTTAGATGGGATCTGAATGAATGGTGGGATCTGAACGAGATCTAGATGAGATGAATGTGATCTGAATGGGATAAATGGGATCGCATATGGTTCTGGATTGGATGATGTGGATAATGGATTTGGTTCCGATGATGAAATTATGGATCTGGATTGGATGATGAGATTATGGATCTGGATTAGATGATGTGATTATGGATCTGGTTCCTATGATGAGATTATGGATCTGGATTGGATGATGTGATTATGGATCTGGATTAGATGATGTGATTATGGATCTGAATTGGATGATGAGATTATGATCTGGATTAGATGATGTGATTTTGGATCTGGATTAGATGATGTGATTATAGATCTGGATTGGATGATGTGATTATGGATCTGGATTAGATGATGTGATTAAGGATCTGGATTGGATGATGTGATTATTAATCTGTATTGGATGATGTGATAATGGATCTGGATTGGATGATGAGATTATGGATCCGGATTAGATGATGTGATTGTGGATCTGGATTAGATGATGTGATTATGGATCTGGATTGGATCATGTGATTATGGATCTGGATTAGATGATGTGATACTACGAATAGATCTGAATGAATTCAATGAATTCCTTCTATTCTAGTATAAAGGCCACCTAGCGTGTAGTTTCTCTTGCGACATCTATTTGTAAACAATAGAACTATCTTGCACACTTCCCCCCGCCCTGTCCCTGGTTACTGTCTAACAACCTTTAGCGTCAATCAAACATAAACAGAAGTTGTTACCTAACCCATAAACATGACTTTAAAGTATGATTCACAGGAGATATTACAAACATTAAGGGGAAATTTAGATTTAAAGAAAAAAGTATTTGTATACAATTTTTCGGTTTTAGAATATAAATCATTTAAAAATATTGTACAAAAGTTTGCAGACCGGGATGCTAATTCACTTTATTATCCCAAGGGACAACTAAAGAAAATTAGCAATAGGATTTTTCCAAGGGAGTTGCAAAGAGGGGTGTTGTAGAATGGAGCAGGATCCAAGAGTTTTCCTCAGATATCTCAATAATTTGATAATTTTTTGGTATAGTGCGCGCCATGGAGAAGGCTCTAAATTTGATATAAAACAATTTATATTTTGTGACTTTTTTAATGGCACAAATCAATTCAAGATTTTTTTAGGCGAAAAATTGGATTTTTCTGAAAAAAAAACTTGGAAATAACTTATAAAGATGTTGCAGATGAATTAGACCATCTCAAATGAAACCTCAATGTATCCATCTAAAAAAATATCTTAAAACCCAGCAGAGCCATTTTTTCAATTTTTGGATTTAAAGTACCCTTTATTAAGGTCTTTTCATAAAAGGTCGGAAAAATTTTGACATTTTACTCTAAATCCCAGGGAGCAACTTCAAAGTCCTGGGAGCACTCCAAAACCCTGGGAGCAATTCCGAAACCCTGAGAGCAGCCACCCCTCCCTACCTGACCCCTTGCACCCCCCCCCCCTGCCCCCTGGCTACGGGCCTGAATCATGCCAAAGGCGTGCGTAATATATTTACCAAAACAAAATTAGAAAATACACATGCAATGTTATTATTCATAAATAAAATGGTCAAATCCTTTTCAATAATATCAATTGACTGAATATTCTCATTTCTCACAGAGTTAAAATATTCATAAAAATCATATAAATGCGCGCTGTTGAATTTAAACATAAGAAAATTTCAAGATTATAAAACTATAGTTCCGGTCATGCAACATTCAGATACAGGAAGTGTTGGACAAGTGGAAAGGAGGGGGGCAAAGGGGCGTAAGGTATTAAGGGGCTCAAAATTCCGGGAGTTCATGTGGTGGGAACTTTTAAATAAACTGAATGAGTTCAACGCATTTAATTCGCGTGAATATAAGATTATTAGAGTTTTAATTGGTCAAAACTTTTGAAGGTTTAATTTATTAAATTTCCATAGAAAAAATAAGTTTATCTCATTCTTTTCACTTAAAACTCCTCTACAAGAAAGAAATTTCGGAAACCTTCAGGTTTTAAAAAACTAAAATGGATCTCGCTTAAAATAAATGTGCAGTCAAGACACTGAAAACAAGAACCAATTATTTGAAGCAGGATAATTTAAAGAACAGGAAGTATACCCCTGATCTATCTTGAGGGCATTATAGTGATTATTATTTTAATCAAAGCCTTCTTTGTAACCCAGGCTATAATGAGGGGTGGGTGGTGTGGGGGATAGGGGGTATCAAATTATAGTAAAAAAACAACCTTATCTCACTTCTCATACCCCCTCTCTTCTAACCTTCTCTATGAGCCGATAAAAAGGTAGAATATCAAAAATTACGACCCTAAAGACTTGTTTGTACAAGCTATAGTTCTGGGAAAATAAAAATCGAAGGATTCACCATCAAAACTTTGCAAAATTGATTCCAAGTTACGCTGAAGATTTGCGAGTTTTCAAAACTCATGTTTCGTAGATTTTTTCATTTAACAGTCCTAATTATTGTGCTCTGATATTAAAATGTTAGCAAGAGGGAACGTTTAAAAAAAATATATTTAACACTTTGTCATGCATATAGTCCTTGAAGGTTTGGAAAAAGGACCAAGAAAAGCTAATCGTCATCAACTCTGTATAAAATGTTGTTTAGGATGTTGTCAACTCTGACAAGACAAAAATAGATTTAGTAAATAAAATATTCAATAAGTAAATATTATTAGTGAATATCCCCCCCCCTCCCCCTTCCCACGCATTCAGTATTTATGTATTGGATTTGCATAAGCAGTATTCAATGACAGATATTAAATAGAATATGAATACGTGCATAAATATACACAAACAAAATATGGAACCAAGGAAAATTGTTTAAAATTACCAAAAAAATGGAAATAAAAAATGTTCATAGGCCCCAAACAAAGGCCAAAATAAGGTTGCAAATATATGAATACTAACTGAACCCAGTATTCTGCGTAATATGAAACTGTCGTTCCAAGAACTAAGAATGATAAAACAGGGATTAATTTGACCTTCAAGAGATCACAGTGTAGAAGGAGGGTAGAGGGAGTAAAGTTGGATGGAGGAGGGAGTAAAGATGGGAGATGAAGGGAGTAAAAATTGAGGAGGGAGTAAAGATGGATGGAGGAGGGAGTAAAGATGGGAGATGATGGGAATAAAAATTAAGGAGGGAGTAAAGATGGAAGGAGGAGGGAGTAAAGATGGGAGATGAAGGGAGTAAATATGAAGGCGGGAGTAAAGATGGGAGATGAAGGACGTATAGATTGGAGATGAAGGTAGTAAAGATGGAAGCGGGAGTAAAGATAGGAGATAAATAGAGTAAAGATGAGGGCGGGAGTAAAGATAGGAGATAAATAGAGTAAAGATGGAGGCGGGAGTAAAGATAGGAGATAAATAGAGTAAAGATTGAGGCGGGAGTGAAGATAGGAGATAAATAGAGTAAAGATGAGGGCGGGAGTAAAGATGAAGGATGAAGGGAGTAAAGATGGAGGCGGGACTAAAATTCAGGAATAAAGGGAGTAAAGATGGAGGTTATAATAATGGAGGCGTTAGTAAAGATGAGGAATAAAGGGAGTAAAGATGGAGGTTGTAACAATGGAGGCGAGAGTGATCAAGGGATGATGGGAGTTAAGATGGAGGCGGGACTAAATTTGAGGAATAAAGGGAGTAAAGATGGAGGTCATAATAATGGAGGCGTTAGTAAAGATGAGGAATAAAGGGAGTAAAGATGGAGGTTATAATAATGGAGGCGTTAGTAAAGATGAGGAATAAAGGGAGTAAAGATGGAGATTGTATGGAGGCGGGAGTAAAGATCGAGGGAGTAAAAAATAACATACATAAGAGAAGAACTAAAAAAGATTACTTACGGAAAAGTAGATAAAATTTAAAAAGTTTAAATTGTTTCAATTGTTTGAGAAATTGACAAAGTTTTTGCTCCTAATTCAACATTCTTCAAGCATAGATAGATTACAATTCATCGTCACCAAGCCAAGCCAATTCTTATTGTGAAATAAACACACGTCAAGATCTCAAGATAAATATAAACTATACTGCGCGCCAAACATGTGCACTGTGCACCATGCATACTTTATGGGGTTATACCAACCTTTACCGTCCTAAAATATAGGGGTCATCAGTGTTATAATGAATGCTATGACACTGATAAATGAAAACCCATGTTAAGAAATAGACTAATCGTTGTGAAAACTAGACAAGAAATTAAAAGCTTGTCAATCATGTATTATCAGTTTCAAAATAGATTAAATTAATTATTATTGAAACAATAAAAAACAACAAGTAAGGGTTCTATTTTGAGTATAACTGACGAATTCTGTTAAGTTATTGGTATTTGATGGATAAAACTTGCAGTCACATAGAGAAAACGAGGATATTATAATCATAAGAGTACATTTTTATCAATGGAGTGAGTCGGATGTATCAGAAATTTTGAGGATACCGGATTTTGGATTTTCGAGATTACTGGTTGTAATGAAATACAGAACATAGTTCATATATAGATAATAATTCAATTTGGGAGGGTATATAAGGTTGGTTGGTGTAGGGGGGATTGAATGGTGTGGGGGTGGGGGGGTTAATCGATGTGGGAGGGAGGGGTTAATGATTATTAGATACATAGTTGATACAAGGTTGATACATGGTTTACAAGATACTTAGATTCATATATGAGATGGCGAGTTACTTATTTAATTGGAAATCTTAAAAGGATATGGTTTACAAGGATACAGAGAAGCAAATGAGATACAAGGATACAGAGAAGCAAATGAGATACAGGGATACAGAGAAGCAAATGAGATACAGGGATACAGAGAAGCAAAGGAGATACAAGGATACAAAGAAGCAGAGTACACAAATTTAATTCAGATGAGAAAAGTAAACATAAGGATACAGAACAGCAAAGTAAATACAATTAGGTACACCGTACAGAAGACGACAGTCGATTTAAGAATAAAGAACAGCAAAGTAAATACAATTAGGTACAGAAGAAGACAGTGAATACAAGGATACAGAATAGCAAAGTAGATACAATTGAATAAATAGAAGGATAATGAAGACAAGGATACAGAGACGAAAAATAGAGATAAATAGATAAAGAGAAGAGTAGGAGATACAAGGATACAGAGACGAAAAATATAGATAAATAGATAAAGAGAAGAATAGGAGATACAAGGATACAGAGACGCATATAGTAGATACGATTGGATAGATAGAAGGATAGTAGATACAACTGGATACATAGAAGGATAATAGATACAATTGGATACAGATAAGAATAGGAGATACAAGAATACAGAGAAGCAAAATAGAAACAATTTGAATTTGATACAAAAAAGGAAATTGGATACTTGGATATAAAAGAAGAATGTTGGATATCAGGAAACGGAGAAAGAATATGTTATACAAGGATACAGTGAAGAATCCTAGGAAGGATTAAGGATACATAAAAGATATGCACGCAGAATGAAGAACTGCATACATGCAAATAGTACAAAAGGTGACAAAGCAGAATGTGTACAACTCTTCTCTGAAGTGGCATCATTTGCGGGTAACCCTGTATATTATAACGCAGAGCTACTATTTAGAACGTACCAAAGACTCTCAACATAGAGAGTCTTTGGTATGATGTATATCGGATAAAGGAATGGTAGATGGCTTATAGAGGTTTGATCCCTGCCTAGCTATCTATCTATCATCATACTTCCGTGTATGGTCAAATTTGGCTTGAAGGCTTGAATTGTAGACAAGGCAACATGAATATGAAATATGAAACATAAATATGAAAGGCATTTTAAAAAAAAGTTTTAAATGTCAAAATCCAATCCAATTTCATGCCTATTTAACAAACATATAAAGAAAACAATAAAACTTAATCTTTTAACAAGAATATAATTATGACAATTAATTCTGCTTGAAAAAGATTTTATTACAAACAAAGAATTGAATTTCAAAATTTCCACTTTTAATGATACATTCGGTGGCAACCCTACCAACTGACTTGGAAACTATCTTACAAGTGGCAACCCTACCAACTGACTTGGCAACTATCTAACCAGTGGCAACCCTACCAACTATCCTGGCAACTATCTAACCAGTGGCAACCCTACCAACTGACTTGGCAACCATCTAACCAGTGGCAACCCTACCAACTGACTTGGCAACTATCTAACCAGTGGCAACCCTACCAACTGGCTTGGCAACTATCTTACCAGTGGCAACCCTACCAACTGACTTGGCAACTATCTTACCAGTGGCAACCCTACCAACCATCCTGGAAACCATAAAAGGTAACCCTACCATCCGTCCTGGCAACTATCTAACTAGTGGCAACCCTACCAACAGTCCTGGCAACTATCTAACCAGGGGTAACTCTACCGACCTCCATGGCAACCATCTAACCAGTGGCAACCCTACCAACCGTCCTGGCAACTATCTAACCAGTGGCAACCCTACCAACTGACTTGGCAACTATCTTACAAGTGGCAACCCTACCAACTGGCTTGGCAACTATCTTACCAGTGGCAACCCTGCTAACCGTCCTGGCAACTATCTAACCAGTTGCAACCCTATACCAACCATCCTGGCAACCATTAAAGGTGACCCTACCATCCGTCCTGGCAACTATCTAACTAGTGGCAACCCTACCAACCGTCGTGGCAACTATCAATCCAGTGGCAACCATACCAACAGTCCTGGCAACTATCTAACCTGTGGCAACCATACCAACAGTCCTGGCAACTATCTAACTAGTGGCAACCATACCAACCGTCCTGGCAACTATCTAACCAGTGGCAACCCTACCAACCGTCCTGGCAACTATCTAACCAGTGGCAACCATACCAACCGTCCTGGCAAGTATCAAACCAGTGGCAAACATACCAACCGTCCTGGCAACTATCTAACCTGTGGCAACCATACCAACAGTCCTGGCAACTATCTAACCAGTGGCAACCCTACCAACCGTCCTGGCAACTATCTAACCAGTGGCAACCATACCAACCGTCCTGACAACTATCTAACCAGTGGCAACCCTACCAACCGGCCTGGCAACTATCTAACCTGTGGCAACCACACCAACAGTCCTGGAAACTATCTAATCAGTGGCAACCCTACCAACCGGCCTGGCAACTATCTAACCTGTGGCAACCATACCAACAGTCTTGGCAACTATCTAACCAGTGGCAACCATACCAACCGTCCTGGCAACTATCTAACCTGTGGCAACCATACCAACAGTCCTGGCAACTATCTAACCAGTGGCAACCATACCAACCGTCCTGGCAACTTATGTGACAATTCTCTTGGCAACTATTTAATCCAACCAACAAACCTAACCTACGGATCTCAACATTTTTTTAATAAAATATTTTAAGTCAGAAAGAGAGGGGGAGGAAGGGGGTGTGAATTATTAATAACTGTTTTCTTCCTGTATTATTAGAGCGCACGATCTATTTTAGCACGTGCAAAATATATTGCTAGAGTTCGCACAACTTAACTGTTGCAAAATTCTGTAGATTAATAAGACAAAATATTGTTATTATATACATTAAGATCGTATAAAAAGAACACCAATCCGTAATTTTTCGTAAACATGTATTACGACGTATAATGCAAAATACATATTTAAAGGTAAGATAATGATATACGTCCATTTTGTTTATGTTTAAATTGAGGTTTAGTTGAGATGTTAACTGTATAAATACATTTGTTGATATTATTAGTGTCATTCTGAGTCTTATGAGTAAACTGCAACGAGTCAGAAGGGGGAGGGGGGGGGGGGAATCATCCTTTTAAAGGGGGTGGGGGCTATTTACAAAAAAGTTACTTAAACACTTTTAATTACCTGAGGAAGATAGTGGCGAAGTGACATAGTTGAGTCCAGTATCAAAACTTATAGTCCGGTCTCCGATAGTTAAAGTCCTCATTGTTAAACACTATTTTTTCGTCCGGACTATTTTTCTTCACATTTCTTCACGTTCATTTTAAACTAATACCAGTACAATAGTACAATTGTACACTGTACACACTTCACTGTACTGCACGTATACAGTCACACTTTGTTCACTAAACTTTGCAGTATATTTGAATTCAGAAAGTAACATCATTCAACATTTTTTTAACATTTCCATTTTTCTGAAGAAAAAAATTGTTATTAAAAAATCAAAAAATAAGAATACACTGAAATATGTCGTTTTTGCGTCAAATGGTTGAATAAACAAATTAATTTTCTAATAATCCGACCTCAGTAGAACATTACTTTAACCAGTTCTCTAATGCCATATGTTAATATATATCTGCATATTTTAATTGTGCAGTTAATTCTGTCAATTTTGTCCATGGAATAGGAATAAAGGGAATGGAAATGGCGCTGGTCTGCCAAGAGAAAGCCAGTCGCACTGCTTTGCAGACCAGTACTTTAAACTAACACACACTCTTTTGGTACAGACACACAACATGATTACAGTCAAGAAAATTGCAAATGTACAAATGTACTCTCCTAGACTGTACAAATACTGAGATTCGTATGTACTCTATATACCTACAGTAAGTAGTAGTACACACCTTTGGTACTTTAAACTAACACACACTCTTTTTGGAACAGACACACACACATGACGTTTCCGCCCCCTGATTTTGTTTTTGTTTTTTGCCAAACATAAACATGTAAAATTTTTATTATAACGTCAATATAAAACTCTGGAATAGGAAGACACCTTTTATACTCAAGTTTCTACTTTATAAATGGTCCATAATTTAGAGCTAACTGTGCAGTGTTAACAAACCAATTTCACATAATAAGTGAATTAATAATTGTTAATTGAAAAACTATTTGCTTTGTAACAACATCAAATACACTTATCTATTTCTTAAATATTGTCTTAGAACCATTCCCGAGTTTTCTGCTTCATTGTACTTTTTATAAATCAAAGTACATACATTAATTTATTTCATATCATGTATCTAGATTTTGTATTACGATTATATAATTCATTATAAAAGATAAAATGTTTGTACTTAAATTGAAATTAATGAAACCATAATCATTAATTATATATATATATATCTTTAAAATGATTGAAGTGTTGTGCTTTTGGTGCAATTGTTTTTAAAGGGACTGTATTCTTAATTTCGAGTAACCCTCCATTTAAAGACTGGCCTTGTCTGATTCACTTAAATTACTTAAAATATGAACCTCTCTTATAGTAACAATATGCTAAATATGTAAAGTAGTTTTCTTTTAAGAAAAGTGTTATTCTGTCAACATATTTGTCTTTTATCTTCCTGAAATGAAACCACCATGAAAACTGAACGCTCTATATTCAAATATTGTTAACAAGCATGTTTAAATTTTGCAATCCAAAAGAAAATTTAAATGAACAATTTTTTGTTGCAAATACCTAATCTCTAAGACCTCAAAAGTTTGCCTAATTTGAGACCTTTTTATTTTCTCACATAAAATGTTATGTAATTTAAGGGCGGGAGCTAGGATGCAATTTAGTAGGTGTAATGACATGAAATACAGACAGGGGGGAGGGGGTGTATTAGATAGGGTGGGGTGGGTTGCATGGTGTAAATTTAAAATTGTCATGTATGGGTGGTATCTTGTATCTGCTACAGCTGGCAACATTAGTCCATTATCATCATTTAAATCTGCACTTGGAGTAGTATACAGGGTTACCCTCAAAGGATGAGACTTCAGAAAAGACAGCACTCTGTACAGATTTTATTCAGTCTTGCGTTATACTTATATATAATTTCACGTTCCACTGTCACTGTACATAAAAAGTACTTGGAGTAAATAAATAAATAGCACAGTCATTTTTTCTACAATTTGTTGTCCGTCCATAATTTTGGTCCTCAATACTGATACTTTTTTGCTTTTTACTGTCCTATGTTGTTTATCTTCCATATACCTGTTTTAAGTGTTTGTCCTTATATTTTTTGAGGGGGTTAATATGGAAGTGAATGTAGTAAAATATATGTTACCATGATTAGTACGATCTCTATTATCGATGTTTCGTTATCTATTTTATCTGTGTTCATATTGACCCTGACCGCCATTCCGGTCAGTCCTATTTACCTGTATAAATAAATTAGTAATGAATGAGACGTTGATTGAAACGGACGAGACATAGAGCCTTTAGTTTTGGCCAGGGAGATAGTCTGAGAGACAAGATTAGACTAATAGTTGAGTAATCTCGGGAACTAGATTTATTACATGAATTCCGAAAATATCTAGGGAAAAAATACTAATAAGCGTGTGACTGTGTTTGTGCGTATAATTTACAAACTTGAATGATCAACAAATTTTGTAATTTATCCCTTTAACAGGGTTCCGTAATTTACCCCTTTAATTGATCTATTGCAAGCAGCAGGTATTTTAAGGAAGGAGAATTAAAGCGGCACGCTTAACCTTACTCAAACCAGAACTAAGAACCATGGAAGAGAGAATATTATATGTCCCTGACACTGATTACCTAATATTGACTAGGATACAGGTTCCAGAAGGAAACTGTGAAATATTGCTCAATCGGCATTCTCTCTAATATATATATAATATATATATATTCAGGGGAACTCCGAGATCATCCTTAGAAGATTATTTATATTTTTCTTATAGTGGTAATATTGGATTGTTTGTGATTTTGTGATTTGTATCTGATTCATTTTTAAATAAGTGCTCCGAGGTGGGATCTTTCCTTTGATGCATCGTTAATTCTGATTCTTGATCTCGAAATCCTATGTGGGTATTTCTAAAAATGAAGATCAATGCTTGATCCCTTTAATTTAGTTATTCCTAAAAGGGATGGCCATTGACCAACACAGGATATTGAAGAGGACTTAAATTTTACCGCATAAGTATAGAGATCAATTTCTGACTTCTAAACATTTAATTATATATATTATCATTTATAAGGATTAGATACAGATCTAAATAATTTAGAAAATTTTAAAATATAAAAAAAAATTTAAATTTTTTTATTTTTGGGTCAACTTGAAATTGTAAAACAGGTTGTCACTTCAAATAAATGAATAAATGAATAAATGATCAACCATCATCCCGTACAAAACCGATATCAAATATTTTTTTATTGATAAAATGAAAGAGGGTCAAAATATTTACTTGTAGATATGCAAATCAAAATATGTTAATATTTCATGAGATTGTGCAAATCTTTGCTTAAACAAAATTATAAACAAATATAAACTTTAATCTTCAAATTATCATTTTCATTTTTATTTAGATGGAATTTTCTTTATCGTCTATTTTTTTCATAAATTGATTGGACAGTATAATAAAAATCCATTTGAATAATAACGTATTTTCATGTAGATTATAAATATGCATGAAAATAGCCTATTCTATGCATATACTACTCTGGTCCCTGCCCTCTACCCATGATAAACACGAAATCTAAAGAATACCGGTTAAAAGGTTAATTTTCATACGCTAACTAGAAAATCATAAATTCAACATAAACATGAATAATTTAAATCGGGAAAAAACATGAAAATTTCTAAAAATCTCAATGATTATGGATAAATAGAAATTTTTTATCATTGAACAATAAAAGATAATTCAAATTGAAAAACAATAATATTGAACTGGAGGTAGAAATATATAATTTTAAATGACTTCAAACTTTTTAAGATACATTTTATAGAAAAAAACTACATTTTTTCTCTTTTGCATTTAGAAAATTTCCGGTCATACTTTCTGTTTTTAGCAATTTCAAATGTAGATATCCAATTGAATAAAATTAAAAACATGGACTAGCAATACGTAAGTAAAAGGAGTTCAGAATAAAGAATTACTTTAGTATGAGTTGCTCTATAATGTTAAATCTCTGTAAGGGTTATAAATTAACATTTAAATACACTTCCTATTCACGTTTCAGTTCAAGTAAAGGTATCTTTGATTTATAATTACAGTCAACTCAAGTATTGAAAATAAATCAATAATTAATCAAAAAATGAGGTCCCGTGTTTAATTCTGATATTTCCTATGTTTTCCTGCAGATATAGAAATGCACAAATCCCTTTTGCAGAAAAACCATAACAGAAAATAATCTATATTTTTTTATACCCTTCTAGCTAGAAATAGACTTTATAACTCAGGATATCACCTCGTATACCCTTCTAGCTAGAAATAGACTTTATAACTCAGGATATCACCTATACCCTTCTAGCTAGAAATAGACTTTATAACTCAGGATATCACCTTGTATACCCTTCTAGCTAGAAATAGACTTTATAACTCAGGATATCACCTCGTATACCCTTCTAGCTAGAAATAGACTTTATAACTCAGGATATCACCTTGTATATCCTATACCTAGAACTAGACTTTATAACTCAGGATATCACCTTGTATATCCTGTACCTAGATCTATACTTTATAACTCAGGATATCACCTTGTATATCCTGTACCAAGATCTAGACTTTATAACTCAGGATATCACCTTATATATCCTGTACCTAGATCTAGACTTTATAACTCAGGATATCACCTTGTATATCCTGTACCTAGATCTAGACTTTATAACTCAGGATATCACGTTGTATATCCTGTACCTAGATCTAGACTTTATAACTCAGGATATCACCTCCACTCTAAACATTAAAACCTTGCACCCTTAACCCCGTCTTGATGCAGTCCCACCTGGCTTCAAAATTAGGCATAAAAATACTTTGATGCATTGCATATATACAGGGTGTCCCAACAAACATGGACCTTTATATAATTAAAAATCTAAAGGCTTCCTCTTGAATCTAGATTTACAAGTATTCTTGAAATTATTAAAATAAAATTTTTTTTCTGATTTTACAAATCAAATATATTATAACTAAAATTGCTAAATTTACAAAATCTCTTAATATTTCTAAGATAAATTTGTAAAGATTTGAAAACCTTAACTACTTACAGTAATAACCACAAAACTCTGAAAAAGGAAGACGACTTTTTAGCATTACGTAAGTTTATTTGATTTGTTATAAAGCAGATACTTTTACTAAACACTTATCAAATCACTTATTAAGTGAAAGGGGCTTATTTACACTGCACAATTTCTGTGTCTCCTGCTTGTTGCATTATTTAAAGTCATAACTTGAGTCTTAAAGTCGTCTACATAT